AATGCTTACGTGGAGTTCACAGCAGATCTTTTCTCTTTGCGCCCTGAGAGAAAAACATCTGCCACTGCATAGGATTGAACACTCAACCTTCCAAGTAAGAGGTGAGCGTCTTCGCCTCTAGGCCACCATGCCACTCTACACATTATTACAAAATAATATCTATTACAGAGGATACATGGACAAGTAGCTTTGACTTTTCTAGACATGTCATGGTCCAACATTTTCAGTGCTTTTAAGAGCAATTGCAGTCTAAGAAGATCCATCCTAAGGGCTTAGGTGCGCTTTTCCTCCAGGGTGTTTTCTTTCATGGAGCAGAGGGCCTCCTACAATAACTGCTACTCCTCCTTACCCTGCTAAAGAAAATATCTATTCCTCCTGAAAGAGGAGGAGGTTGCTTTGATAGCAGTTATTGTGCAGAGTTCCTCTGTTTCTCTCACTTCTACCCCACAGTAGCTGGGACCAATTAAATGAAACTGGTGATGTCACCTAGAAAACCAATATCAGAGAACACCAAGAATTTCACAGTTCAAATCCGAACTACAAATTGTTCTATTAGTAGATGAAACCTAGTTAACCTTGGGTAATCCCAAAAAGCTAATTCGGGTTGGTACTGGTTAAGTACCAGGATGGTACAAGGTGGTAAGCTAGAATAGAAAGTTGAAAAAAAGCCTTGCAGGAGACAGCAGTAGCAAATCTTACACATTAAGGAAATTCTTGTGACAGCCTATAAAGGAATCGGGCTTGACTTGAAGGAGTCTCATGGCTGGAGAAGATGCATAATTTGGAATGGGATTCCTTTTAATAGTAATAATTTTATTGTCACTTTGAATGTACACCAATCGGCATACCATTTCGCTGCATACAACTCTCAAAAGGGTCACCACCTCCGATATACACTCCTTGTCCGTACCTTAAAATTAAATTTCGCTGCATACAACTCTCAAAAGGGTCACCACCTCCGATATACACTCCTTGTCCGTGGCCAGCTCAAGTTACATATCTTCCATTTTGGTCTGTGGGGAGCGAACGATGGCAAACAGGACAGATGGAAACAAACGGAGCTCCGTCTGGATTAGCCCTCAAATTAGCTTGTATTCCTGCACAACAACTTGCCTCCTTTCCTTTTTCTGATCCTGTCTCTTCCACCTTTTCCTTAAAGAGGCCTTGCTCCTTTTCGCCCCTGGAGCAGTGATTCTCAACCTTTTTAATGCCGCGACCCCCAACCGGTTGTAAGTCGAGGATTAAACTGGTCATAAGTCGAGGACTACCCAACCGGTCGTAAGTCGAGGACTTTCCCTGCCAGGGAGCACCGCACATGCATGGTGCTGCCCCCTGCATAGCTGGCAAGCGGCAGAGACGAAGCAGGCCAACCACCGGCTGGGTGACCCCCCCCCCGTGAAATGGTCGATCGACCTCAAATGGGGTCGCAACCCATAGGTTGAGAACCGCTGCCCTGGAGAATGCTGCCGCTGCCACCAACTCTTCCAAAAGCCTCTCTCCCTCTGGGCCTGCCAACAGCCTCATCCAGTTCCTTCGCTCCATAACCCTCCCCCCCCCCCGTCCGACCTCTCCTCTGCCTCCTTTGGAAACAGCCAATTTGCAATAGAATCCCTCAGTGGGCCAGCAGTCCGATCTTGCTACTGGCAGAACAATTTCAAACAGCACCAATGACTTTTAATGGTCTCACCAACAGTTCCGAAACTGCTAGAAACTCGCCATGCCAGCAAAGATTGTCGGTCATACGTTACCTTAGTTCCACCACGTTGCTTAAACACATTAAAACTTTCCTGATCATGTGCCCTTCATCCCTTAATATCCCTCCCAAAACTTTTCACCTTGGAGAGCCAATGCAGCCGAAGCTGATCCAAGTGCCGCCATCTTAAAACTCTTTTCCCCATCATTTTCTATAGCGGCAATTGGATCCTGTCTACAACCATGGGACGGGGCTTAATTGAACCAAGCAACTCTGGCTGCCCCCGGAGTCAGGCTTGTAGAGTTCCCTCAAATGCCCAAGAACCCTCCAGTTCCTGCCATGAGGGCAGTTTCTCTAAGGAAAAAGCCAGAACCAGAATGTTGACTGCTATGGTGCCATCTGATGCCCACCCCAATGCGGGGCACTCCCACAAGAACAGTGTGCAAGTCTACCAGTCCCAGACGAGTATGGGCAAGCGTATTAAAACTAGTAGCAGCTCACATCTATTATGAGGGAGAGTCGGGTCCTGATTCTTCAAGAGGGCACATGCTGTCGTGAATTAAGGAATTCCAAGGGGCCTTTTGTAAAACTTGTGAACAAAACACTCCCTCTCAAAGCTTGCTGAGGCAGCGCATCTTCCCAAAAGGCTACTTCAAGGGCTCCCTGGGGCTGTCTTGAATACAAGGGAAGAGAAGAACACCTGCACTGAAATTGCCAGTGAGCCAAAAAATTATACAGGAAGCCTTTGGAGCAACTGAGCCGAGGTGGCGCAGCAGTTAGAGTGCAGTACTGCAGGCCACTTTAGCTGACTGTGTTCAGCAGGTCAGCGGTTCAAATCTCACCGGCTCAAGGTTGACTCAGCCTTCCATCCTTCCGGGGTAGGTAAAATGAGGACCCAGATTGTTGGGGGCAATGTAAATATACATTGCTTACTGGTGTACACTGCTTAGAGAGTGCTTGCACTTAAAGCGGTATATAAGTCTCATAAATAAATAAATAAACTGCTGAAAGAACATTGGAAGAACTACAATACAGTGACAAAAGGGCATTGGTTTGGCTTCTGTTCTTTTTTTTCTTTTCACCTATGGCAGTGATGGTGAACCTTTTAGAGACCGAGTGCCCAAACTGCAACTCAAAACCCACTTATTTATCGCCGGGTGCCAGGTAGGCGTGGCTGTGGTGGTCATGGCAGACTAGGTGGGCGTGGTCACCTTGATGTTGCTCATGGGGAGGGATGGCTGTGGGGGCCAGGCAAGGTTGGGGGAGATCCAGGGGGGGTCTCTGGCAGGTGGGGCAGTGGGCAGGAAGCTCGTCCTGCGGGATGAGGTGAGGCAAGGCAGGGCGGGGATGCCATTGTCGCAGGACAAGGCGAGGCAGGGGCCGGGGCGGCTACTCCCTGACACCATCGGCCCCCGCACACAGAGGCCAGCAAGCGGATGGGGGCCGACAGTGTCCGTTAGCAGCTACAGCCTGCTGGCCCCTTGACCGCCGCACTCTGGGGCTCCACAGCCCACCGCTAGCAGTTCAGAGAAGCCGCCTCTGAGCTGGACGACCAGCCGATAGCTGAGGCAGCGATGCAGTGGGTTGTGCTTGGGAAAAGGAGAGCATGCGAGGCCAGGACAGATGGACAGGGGGAGGGAAACAAACCATGTTGGGATGCATCCGGCCACGTGGGACCTCAGAGAGTTAGCAGGCAGCTAGTTGAAGAGGAACGATTGCCATCTCCAGGGCATGGCGCACGTGCCCACAGAGATGGCTCTGAGTGCCGCCTCTGGCACGCGTGCCATAGGCTCGCCACCATTCACCTATGGAGTTCTCTGCACTTATATGAAACTGGGGAAGTCAGTCCTCTTTCCACACAGGAGCAGGTGGAAGGATTTTCCATTACAGAAAACCTTCATGGTAAATGCATGTCCCAATCCCTTTTTTAAAAAGCATATGATGGCAATATAATTTCTGATTGGATTTAGTTGCAGGGGTTTTCAAATGTGGCCCTTTTATGACTTGTGGACTTCAACTCCCAGAATTCCTCAGCCAGCACGCCTGGCTGAGGAATTCTGGGAGTTGAAGTCCCAAGTCATAAAAGGGCCACGTTTGAAGACCCTTGATTTAGTGTATGAATTTTGAATTTTTAATACACTGTCCAACATATCAAAACGCTTGATGGCTTTCATTAAAGAGATCTGGATTGACTGAGACAACCTCACACCGATTATACCACCTTAAACAATTGTGTCCATTTTGAGATTCATACATTCAGTGAGTGGATCAGATTTACATGTAGAGTGGAGATGAGGAGGAATTTCCTGACAGAACCATCAATCAGTGGAGCAGCTTGCCTCCCAGAGTTGTGGGTGCTCCATCGTTGGAAGTTTTCAAGAAAAGACTGGACAACCCTTTGTCCAAGATGGAATACCTTGCGCAGGGGATTGGACTAGAAGACCTCCATGGTCCGTTCCAGCCCTATGATGCTTCTTAACAGATGTTTTGCTCGCTGCAATTGAAAATTACTTGCCCTTGTCTGGGATCTGCCCAGCAAGTGAATGATCAAACCTGTTGCAGGCCTACATAGTAAGATTGTTAACACGATTTACAGCATTATTTAGACCTTAGGCTTGGTTTTACTGAAACCATTGGATTGTGTAGTCCAGTAGTGGCGAACCTATGGCACACGTGCCAAAGGCGGCACTCAGAGCCCTCTCTGTGGGCACGTGCGTCATGCCGCGGAGATGGCAACTGTCCCTCTTTAACCAGCCGCCCGCTAACTCGCTGCGGTCCCACGTGGCTGGATGCATCCCAGCACCCATGCATTCGCTGGCCTGTGTGTGCAGGGGCTGATGGTATCAGGCAGCAGCTGCCCTGGCCCCTGCCTCACCTTGCCCTGTAACAATGGCACCCCCGCCCTGCCTCACCTCTCCCCGCAGGACAAGCCTCCCACCCATCGCCCCACCTGCCAGAGATCCTCTGGATCTCCCCCAACCCTGCCCGGCCCCCACAGGCATCCCTCCCCACGAGCAACATCGAGATGATCATACCCACCTTGGCCACACCCACCCAATCTGCCATGACAACCATAGCCATGCCCATCCAGTGGGCCACGCCCACCTGGCAATAAATAAGTGGGTTTTGGGTTGCAGTTTGGGCACTCGGTCTCTAAAAGGTTTGCCATCACTGGTGTAGTCCTTCCAGAAGAATATTCTAAGAATTCCTCATATCGTTAAAAAACAACAACCCTAAATCACTTCATTAAATAATTCCGAAGAACCAGCTCATTCTCAATATTCAAATAAACCACAACAGCAAAGCATTTCACATGTAATCATTTATTACTTTATTTATCTCTCAACATTTTTCCAAAAAACTAGATTTCCTTTTAATATTTTTTAGCAAAAAATAGTTCAGAAGCAGCTCTGTCAAGCCAAAAAGAATTTTTAAAAAAACCACATATGGATGGAACAGCTAAAGCCTTCAGCGGTTCAAGAAGACTCCACAGGGAAGGCTAAAACTAATGAAGGACTAAAATAAGTTATTCAAAGCAGATGGTGGGAAGACAGAGAAAGAGGATAAGACAACAATAATGTGATCTTAGCATCTGATGGGATAGCACACACACATCTACAGTCATGACTGACATTCAACAGCTCAACAGCACTTGGAACTGTCCTTGCTCCAAATGGCCAGCATGTGACATTCTAGAATAGATAAATGGCAGAAGAGATAGAAAAGAGCATCAAAGATTTAAGAGACATTTCAAATGGAACATCTCATGAAATCAGCGTAAAGAACATGGGACAGAACTTGCAATTCTATTTTTTTTAAATTGGTTATTAGTAAATTGCAAAAAACAAAACAAAAAAAACAGGAAATCAGAATACAGGCATTGGAGCAATTAAGGAATAATAGCATTAGGAATCTGCCAAAAATATTTCCGTATCATTACTTTAAAATGCAAGCTAGTGTGAGGGCTACAGGAATCCAGGCTCTGGTGACAGCAACACAGACGTAACACTGAGGCTATTCCATGTTCCAGATGGTACCGGACCACAACTCCTGTATCCTTCAACATAGGCTATGATTGCTGGGGTTCTTAGAAACTGTCATTCAGTAACATATGGAGGGCCACATGTTCCTCATCCCAGCTTATAAAGCATGGACTTTGATCCAATCCCAAGAACATATTGGAACAGTCACCTTGTCTGATCAGGGGAATTCAAAACAGAGAAAAGTTACCATACATAGGTCTATTATTTTGTTTAGGTCATCAAAGCCTGACTAGAAAGTTTTAGGTATCTTCAGAAAAAGTCAAGAAGAAATCTTGGATTGCTAAACCCAAGTTAAAAAGCCACAGCAGGTCCCACCAACCTTATAATTGCATGCTCCATAAGGTCTAATTCAGGGGTTCTCAACCTTGGCAACTTTTAAGACTTGTGGACTTCAATTCCCAGAATTCAATTCTGGGAGTTGAAGTCCACAAGTCTTAAAGTTACCAAGGTTGAGAACCCTTGGACTCTAATTTCTCTTCTGAGACACAGAAGATCAGGGTTTCAACTATCTAAAGATGAGAAGGGTATAATCAGCTGACATGTGATTATACCCAAAAAGTATAAGGAGAGAGAGCACTTTTTTTTTTTCCTAAGATGGATCTGCACCATAAGGAAAATAAAGTCAGATCCATGACCTGGTCAAACACCAGAGTAGTACTGTGCAAAACTGAATTCATCAAAGGGAAGGAATCGCGCTCAGAAGGAATCCAAAATAAGAGCTAGATAAGGAATCCACCAAAGTCCAAGGATGATGAGAAACTCTTATCAGGCATAATTAGGTGAGGGGATGGGAGGGCTAGGATGAAGCAGAGGCCTCAAGGGATAAATTCAGCTATGTGCAACAGCCACAATGGCATCAATTGCAGATCTTTATGCGGGTCCCCTTAGAAAGAATGCGGAAGAAGGGGAAGATGCGCTCGCGAAACGAAGCGTTGAAGGTGTGAATATGAGCCATGTTTTCAGCATTGTAGAATCCTAGCTGGCCTCGTTCGTAGTCCAGGTAGACACAAAAGCGCCGCAATTTCTCAGCTGGACAGAGGGAGGTCTGCTCAGTGGTAGTCAAAGCCTGGTACTTCTTACCGTTGGTTCCTACACACCAGATCTCCCGCTTCTGGTGGGAACCACTGCAGGATTTCTCTTTTCGTCGGGCCGATTCGCGGGCTGCCCCCACAGCCCACCCTCGCCGGCCACCCACCTCCACTTCCCAGTAGTGGCGACCATACGCAAAGCCCTGCAAGGCCAAAACACAGTAGTCAGAATCAAAGCGTTTGGGGTTATCCGGCAGATCCCGCCAGCGCTCCCCAAGTCGGACGCTGCGGAAGTCGGAGGAAAGAGTGAGCCGTGGGTGAGCTGTTTCAGGGTCCAGAGTCAAATCAGCTGTAAGAGAAAAAAAAAAAAAAGAGCAAAAACAATTTAAGTAGGGAGCAAAACTTGGTGGTCTCTGTATCAGAGTTTCTCAAAGCTTGACGATATCTGGATTTCAACTCCCCGAATTTCCCAGCCATGATCTGCCCAGGTTTGAGAAATACTCATCTATTTAAACTCCTGCAAAACATCAAGCCTTTCACAACATGAATTATATGAATCTCTACTTCTGCGCAGCTTCCACTCTTCTTCCAGTGACATTTACTACAATAAATTCTTAGCTTCCATTGCACAGTGGTTGAATACATGGCTAGGAGCAGTGGTATACCTCTGTATTTCTCATTGCAGGAGAAAAGGAGTTCAGTGTCCTTACCTTGAGGGGCTTTGGTAAAGACCTTCTCCATCTTCCTCATTAAAACATCTATAAGGAAGTAATTGCGGTATTTTTTTCCTGTGTCCACTGGCACCATCTCTGGATCTTGGAATGTGATATTCTCACACCTGACGAAGGGACCGTATAGGGAGCAAACATGTTAAGACGAGATAAATGGCAACCAGCAAGAAAAGCACTAAGAAGAACAGAAAATATAACATACTGGGACCTGATAAGTCCCTAGGGTAACTCTGCTGCTACAGCAGTACTTCTATGTGTAAGTTCTCCTTATTATTTTCATACAGAAATGGAAGAGAAGGCAAATAATTCATTAAAATGATAGGAGAATAATAAAAAAGGACCATGGGCGAGTTTTATTGGCCCCTCATCAAATCTATTTGCATCACTGCAGTCAAACTCTGCCCGCAAGCTGGAGTTCAATCCTGACGGGGCTCAAGGTTGACTCAGCCTTCCACCCTTCCGAGGTTGGTAAAATGAGGGCCTAGATTGTTGAGGGGGGGCAATATGCTGTCATTGTAAACCGCCCAGAGAGCACTATGGGGCGGTAGATAAGTCTAAGTGCTATTATTATTACTATCTCTACAGGATCAAGCAGTTCTCGAAACAGGCAGATAAGATTTTTTTCACTGAAACTACTTATTCTGTTCCCCATAAGAGTCAGATGTGACTGTGATCAGTTGATTAACAGGCTACGGTCACGTGTATCACACTCACAAAACCAACTACTTTGCCACAAATAGAAAGCAGTACTGAAATACTGCAATTCCCCTAGACCAGTGGTGGCGAACCTATGGCACGTGTGCTAGAGGCAGCATTCAGAGCCCTCTCTGTGGGCATGCGTGCCGTCGCCCCAGCCTCACCTTCCCACATGGCCCCCTCCTCACCAGTAGCCCCCCGGAGGATAATTGCCCCTGACTGTGGCCCACGTGGAGCAGCACAGTCAAGAGCATGGCAGCCAGGCAGTGGGGACAAGGCAGCAGGCTGTGGAGGCTGTGGCCCTGTGGGTGGGCGGGGCAGGGTGGGCCAGGGGCGGAATGGGGGTGGGCTGGAGGCGGGGCTGTTTCTGGGGCACTCGATCTCTAAAAAGTTCATCACTGCCCTAGACCCTAAATTAGCTAGGCATTCTATGGATCCATACATAAAAGATATAAGCAAACAGGTTTCCAATAAATATTCTAACAACATTTTTGAAAAGCCAGTTTTAGCTTCTTAAATTAATTTTGCTAATGACATTTAAATGTAGTCTAATAGACACAGTAGCTAGACCAACGGTAAAATAATTATAGCTGCAGGTTGCCAGTTTCACAATCTTTTGAGCTGAAATTATTAAGATACTGCCCCACACACATTTTTCTCCCATGGCCAAGCATAGATAAATGGATCTAGGTCTCTCAGGCAAACTGCCATACATGCATTAATCAAGCTCAATGTTACTTAACTTCAAGCAAGTCGATCTATTCCAAATTTTTATACCTTTTTTTTTTGAGGTGTGTGTCTTCTTGTTGATGGGCAATTAGTATCTCAGCTAATACTAAACTCAAACCAAGACAATATGGTGAGATTTCCAAATGTTCTGGAGTACTCAACCTGTCATTTGCAGAATTGGCTCAAAGGTATTTGCGAAAAGCCATTAATTTTTTTTTAAAAAAAAGACTTTCAGATACAACCTGATTAACAGTGAAGCAAAATTTCAGGAATGTAAATCAGGAATAACCAACAGAAATTCAACCAACCTGACTAAAGTGCCTTTGAAATCCTAGGAAAAAAAAGAAGAAAAAGGGTTAGGATGCTTATATATATCTAGATGTTATAAAACACAACAAATATAATGAAAGAAATCAAAACAATTTTCTGCAGAATTTTCTGTGGACTTTTTCTGAAAAGGGTCTTCTTGCTTTTTGGAGAGGGATTTCTTAGGGTTCCAAATCTTGTGTTTGTTGTCAAAAAGCTTTCCTTGAAGAAATACTACTTGTCAGGCTTCCTGGTTTGAATGTGACAAGACACTACCCAGATCCTTGACACTGTATGGCTAGATATATTGTGTATCAGGAAGATCCACTTTAAACAGATGATTGCTTTCTTAGTATGAAAGTGCAGTCCCCTCACAGATCTTTGTTATTGCACCTGTAATAACAGCATCTCCCCTCCCCCGCGCAAAGATCTGTATGGCTACAATCCAGTTGCCCTTTCTGAAGGCATTAAAAATTTTGATATTACCCCCAGTATTAACCCTGAGATTAAGCAAGTCCCATTGCTTGATAGCATATTGTTGTTCCAGTGATCTGAATTGGAATGTGGTTTTTTTTTTTTTTATTCCAGGTGTATTCTACAATATAGGTTTTGTTTATTTAAACTATTTGTATAGCTGCTTATCCTAAATCAAATTCTGGATGGCTTACAATCAAACATAAAGCAACATGTACAGAAACAGAAACAAAAAAGAATAAAACCGATCATCAAAACACAGAAGAACTTGATACTGCCATATTTCCCTGTTGCAACATACATGTTATCTTCCACTTTAACCTCACACTATCCCAACACTTGGGAAAGAGCTATGTCTTAAGCACTCTCCTTACTCTATATACTGATTTTATAAACTGTGGATTTGGTTTTTTTAAATTTTAAATCTTTGTATGCCATCCAGCATGTCTTTGGTGAGAGGGGTTACACATTATTTAAATAAATAAATATCTCCTGCAGTTGAAATCTGGAATTTCTCTTCCCACTTTCCTAAGCTTAATGGACCCCCAACTTAGTGCTTCTGATAGTGCTCACAGACTGTTGGCATTATCAGCATTCCTGCCCTCCCCTAGGAAATCAGCCTCCACACTGTGAGCACCATTTAAAAGATTTACAAACTTCTTCACATAAGACTTATAGGTATGAATCAATAAATCATGGGGACCAGCCAGTCTTTCTTTCTTTCTCTCTATGGCTGCTCATCTCAAATTTGGCAGCTAACAATAGGAAAAGAAAGAGTAAGAAACAAAAAGAACAGAAAAACACACAGAAGCAACAGGCAGGATAAAAAGAAATTCAAATTGTAAATCAGCATAACAAATGCATCGGCTCAGTCACACCTCCAGAGCCCCCATTCTTTTAAGGCCTTATGAAAGGCCAAGAGGATTCCCGCAAATATCTCGATGATATGCTACGGCAGTGGTTCTCAACCTGTGGGTCGGGACCCCATTTGGGGGTCGAACGACCATTTTACGGGGGTCGCCAAACAACGCAGTCCGCCATTTTTCCCCCCTTTTCCTTAGCTGTGCTACTCCCTTTTATTCTATTGACTTTTGAAAGCCAATAGAATAGACTCTCTTGAATAGAGTCTAATTCTATTGGCTTTCAAAAGCCAATAGGAATTGTCCAGGCTGTCCCTGCCCTGCTGAGCCCGCCAAAAGTCCCATTCTGCAAACGGTGCTGCACCAGTTGAGTAGTCCTCGACTTACGATCGGTTGAGTAGTCCTCGACTTACGACCGGTTGGGGGTCGCAGCATTAAAAAGGTTGAGAACCACTGTGCTATGGGGAGGGTGCCACAAGAGAAAAGGCTCTCCTCCTGGACCCTGCTAGATGGCCTTCCTTAGCAGAGGGAACCTCTAGCATGCCTCTTCTGCTATCAGAGCCACTGCAGCTTTGGAAAAGTCTTACCTGCAATCTAAATCAGCATGGAACTGATTTTTTTTTGTTATCTCCCACATTTAATAGCTTTCACCTCTAACCAACCTGTTTTAATTCAAACATAGATGTAAAACAACCCATTTCTATATGTGTGTAAAACCATCCAAATAATACGAACTAATGCGTGGGACATCTAATTCAATACAATGACCTAAACAGGTTTCCGAGCTCTAGTTCTGTTCAGTTGAACAGAATATTAGTCAAGTCCCCTTCCAAGTGAATACCTGAATATCCGCAAACCCCGAATACTGTATATTGTTCACTTGAGACTCCAGTTTTCATACATAACGTATCACGTCCACTAAATTCAACACACTGCAACCTGAGAAACAATCGTTGTTCTAAATTGTCCTAAACAACTGAAAAAACCTTCCTTAAAATCCAGTCATTTTAGCATTCATATAGACCAGGGGTGACAAACTGCCCGCCCGCTGGCCAGTTGCATCATGTAGAGGCTACGTCCACCCCAGCTCCGGCAATGCGGAAAAAGTTGCGACACGTGACGTGGCAAGTTTGACACCCGTGATATAGACCTATTATACCGTTGAGCGTTCAAATACAGTAAGAGATGTTGATCAGAATGCCCAGACTTACTCCTGAAATAAAGATGGGAAATACTGAGAGGTCAGACTTTCTATAGAGGCTATCTAATTACGTCATATTTGGGGGCCTTTCGTTAGGCTGGCAATATGGGAAGTGGGACATCCTTGGAAAAGAAACCACTCTCACTGCTACCCTTAACTATTGCTGAAAAGCAGCCTGAAACCACACTGCCAAAATTCAGCTGCCAAATGTCAGTAATGCAATCTGAGGGTTCTAAGTTTGAAATCTACTCTCTTGAGTCTGTCAAGGCTCAATTTCGTCATAAGCATGTCTTTTAGGTGATTGCTATGCTAGTATTCTGCCACCAGGATTATTAAAATCATGCTTGTTAAATTAAACAGGCCAGATAGCTTTTAAAGCAGTGGTTCTCAACCTGTGGGTCGGGACCCCATTTGGGGTCGAACGACCATTTCACGGGGGTCGCCAAACAAGGCTGTCCGCCATTTTTCCCCCTTTTCTTTGGCCACGCCCCTGGCACCCGGTGATATATAAGTGGTTGGGGGTCACCACAACATGGGGAACTGTATTATGGGGTCGCAGCATTAGAAAGGTTGAGAACCACTGTTTTAAAGCAATGCCTATTCCACAGGGTGAACTCATATTTTTAACAGACCAAGCAATCTGAGGCTTATATCGTTGTGTTTGTTCTTAATCATTATAACAGGCAGGTAGGCTTGGGACCAGTCACAAAAAGGAATCCAGGCAAGTAGGGAAAGAATTTACCTTGAGCAGCTGCAGACCGTCTTGCTTGCTCTTGTCTTCGGCTTCTGCAATAAGACGGGTTAGTGCAGCACCTTGCTCCTCCAGGTGAGAGATGTTGCTACTCTGGGTGGCCAGTAGTATCTCATAGCGGTCTTCCAGCTGGTGAAGCAGCATGGCTTGCTCTCCAACCAGGAACTGATGCAGCCGCTCAAAGTCGGACTCAAACTCTTTCATATCAAGTTTCATCTTGTTCTGGGGCAGATGAAGAAAGGAACAGGAAGGCAACGCTGAGAGGGTACGGAGCCAAGATTTGGGACTATACCACTTTGTGGCAGAGCACATTAAATCTCTGTCAGCTTCTTTAGCAGGCAGCAGGACCAGACAATATCTGCCTGGTTTTATAAACAACAGCAATCATAGCAATCTGTACAACTGGCAGATGCTATATCTGTGCTTGTCTATGAGGGAAAGACAGAAAACCCTTTCCCACATCCAAGCTCATGCTTGAGGCAAAATCACAAGGAATAAATCAGCCAGCTCTCATTGAATTTATTACAATCCTTTCTCTGAGACAACAGAAACATTGTATGTTTTAAATCAGCGGTTCTCAACCTGTGGGTCGCGACCCTTTTGGGGGTCGCACGAGCCTTTCACAGGGGTCGCCTAAGACCATCGGAAAACACATATTTCCGATGGTCTTAGGCAGGGCTTGTCAACCGCCTTCTCTCCCTCCCCGCCCTCCGCTCCACCTCACTTGTTTGTGGAAAATGTGCTGCTTGGCGGCAGTCTGCACAAACTCTACCAAATGTGCCCTGCAGGAGGCGCATGAAGAGCGCAGGTGCAGAGCAAGGCCCCGCCCTCCCCAGAGACTCATTGTGCAGCAACTGGATTGACTTCTTCTCGTGCACGCAGGTTAGCGAAGGGGAGGCTGCTGCAGCGCCCAACTCCTGCGCCAGTCAGTTGGCGACCCCCGAACTTGCGCCAGCTGACGCAAGAGGGAGAGAAGGAGGAAGGGACTCTTCCTCCTCTCCTAAGCTTCAAAGCACGATCGGCTTCCCAAGGGCACCACAATCCTCACGAAAGCGGGGGAGGGGGGGAGAAGCAAAGGGGGCGAGAAAGCTCACGGCGGGCTCGAAGCAGCACCTGCCAGCGTTGGTGACGAGAAATTCCCCACAAACCCAGGGAAGGGGTGGAGAAAAGGAGCCCCCTTTGGGAGGAAACCACCACCTTCTTCTCCTTGGCTTTGCGCTCTTCTGTTTCTCGGCAGCCGGGCTGGCAAGCCTCTCCTGGCTGGAACTTCCTTTCCTTCCCTCCCTCTTGGTCTCTTCCTCCTTCCCTCCCTCTCCCCCTTGTCCCTTCCTTCCTTCCTTCCTTCCTTCCCTTCACCTCCCTCTTTGTCCCTCCTTCCCTCCCTCTCCCCCTTCTCCCTTCCTTCCTTCCTTTCCTTCACCTCCCTCTTTGTCCCTCCTTCCCTCCCTCTCCCCCTTGTCCCTTCCTTCCTTCCTTCCTTCCTTCCTTCCTTCCTTCCTTCCTTCCTTCCTTCCTTCCTTCCTTCCTTCCTTCCGCCTCCCTCTTTGTCCCTTCTTCCCTCCCTCTCCCCCTTGTCCCTTCCGTCTTTCCTTCCTTCCTTCTTGTCCAGGATCGGGGCGAGCCTCTACAGCTAATCCGCGCTTCTGCAGCTGTAGCTGCTCTCCTTGGCTCCTGCCCAGCAAACTTGCTTGCTAGAAAACATGCGCTTGCTAATTTAGCAGAAGCGCAAATCTAACTTAGCAAGCTGCATGCCTTTCGCTGAAGCTGAGCAAGTGAGCTGGGCGAGCTCTCTTCTGTCTCTGCCTGTGCACAGGCAGGTTTGCCGCCAGCCACACTGGCAGCCTATCCCCCTCCCCTTGTCCCTTCCTGGGCATGGGGGGGGGGAGGAAGGGACGAAGAGGGAGGGAAGTAAGAAACAATGAGAGAGGGAAGGAAGGGAGGAACAATGGAAGGGAGGGAAGGAACAAAGAGGAAAGGAAGGAAGGAAGGAAGGAAGGAAGGAAGGAAGGAAGGAAGGAAGGAAGGAACAAGGGGAGAGAGGGAGGGAAGGAGGAAGAGACTAAGAGGGAGAGGAAGGAAAGGAAAGAAGGAAGGAAGAGACAATGGGTGAGAGGGAGGGAAGGAGGAAGAGACTAAGCAGGAGGTGAAGGAAAGGAAGGAAGGAAGGAAGGAAGGAGGAAGGAAGGGAGGGACAATGGGAGAGAGAGAGGGAAGGAGGAAGAGACTAAGGGAGGGGAAGGAAAGGAAGGAACAATGGGAGAGGGTGGGAAGGAGGAAGAGACTAAGAAGGAGGTGAAGGAAAGGAAGGAAGGAAGGGACAATGGGAGAGAGGGAGGGAAGGAGGTAGAGATAAGAAGGAAGTGAAGGAAAGGAAGGAAAGAAGGAAGGGACAATGGGAGAGGGAGGGAAGGAGGAAGAGACTAAGAAGGAGGTGAAGGAAAGGAAGAAAAGAAGGAAGGGACAAAGGGAGAGAAGAGAGGGAAGGAAGGCAGGCACTCATCCCAGTCCCATTCCAGAGACCCACAGATTCCCCCCCACAGGCACTCTGCAACCTGAGTGATCAGCTGGCCACGCCCCCTGGCCATTGATCACGTGACCCTGGGACACTGTGAACGTCATAAGTATGAATCAGTTGTCAAGCATCCGAATGTAAATTACAGACCCTGGGGATGCTGCAACAATCATTAAGTGTGAAAAATGATCATAATTTGCTTTTTCAATGCTGTTGTAACTTCAAACAATCACTAAGCGAATTGTTGTAAATCGAGGACTACCTATACTTTCCCATTTTTTCCTTTTTTTTTGTCAAGTTTTTGATACCCCCTCAGCCAGCTGGATGGGGGGTTGGGGGTCACCACAACATGAGGAACTGTATTAAAGGGTCACGGCATTAGAAGGTTGAGAACCACTGTTTTAAATAAATAAAACAATTCCAAACATTATACAGTTTACAAGAAATAAAAATAACTTTCTGCAAAGGAAGAGAGCTCTGCTGATTTCAACTATTCTAAGCATTTTCCGACCTAGGCAGAACCTGAAATACTATTTAACGTCACCTCTGTTTAGACCATGAGTAATACTAAAGAAATTAGAAGACGAGATCAATCCTAATACTGATGGACCCATATACACTCAGACTGTGAGGCAATATCAGCAGATCTTCTGAGATAGATTTAGAAGAATGGAATTGCACAATACTCATTACTGGCAGATAAAGCCATCTATATACTTTGTAGTTAAGACCAGGCTTCTAAAATTCAGACTGACTCCTATGCATATCAATTAAGACTCTGGGATTTCTCCTTTTCTAAATCCTTGACTTCAGGATAAGGAACAAAGATGACCTTCTGCTCTTAAGACCAAGACATTTCTTCTTCACCCAAGTTTTATTAACAAAAATGTACATTAAGAATGAGGTGATCATTCAAACAAGAGACTGACTGGAAATGTAAGAGAATTAAAGAAATATTGAAGTTACCTTGATATCTGTTATTTTCTCCTCTTCGCTTGACCTCTGCTGGAGAACTGACTCCAGTTTCCTTTTCAATGGATCCAAGTGACCCTGGAGTTTAGCCTAAAAACAACCAGTATAACAAGAATGTCACGACTTAATTGTATTTATGTTCTACATTCATAAAAACAGCGGCAGAAACTAAGTTCAAATCCAATGTTCAGAGAAATAATTATTAAATCCTCATGTCCTGGTAACATAGTTATCACACTGTATTTGGATACCTCTGATGCAAATAGATTTCTTATCTTTACAATACAGCTTCTACAAAATCCCATCTCTCTCTTAAATGACCTAAATTTGTAGCTTCTATGGTTAAAGGGGAAAACGACTAAAAACCTGTTTTTTGGCAGAAAATTACAGAGCAGCTAAATAACGAGAATGTTTACTGAGTATTTTTACCGATCTATTTATATTTACACATCTGCATAAGCACATCATCCAGGGGATTTTCTGTAGGCAAAGCAAGGACTCTATATTTATATTAGTATGCCACTAATGTTTGTCAAAGCCTGGCAAAAATTATAGTACTATAAATGCTTTTATAACACAGAAGGCGCCAATTTAACAAGATTACATACTAGCATTTACATCGTCTTCTTGTATTCCATACCTTATATTCTTGCACAACTTCCTCTAGTGGCATAACACTGTGGTGTTTATGGGCTCGTGACTCTCTGCACACTACACAGATGGGCTCTTCATCTGCCTCACAAAAGAGCTTAAGTGGCTCCTGGTGTTTCTCACATAGGACTCTTGGAGCATGACTTGCAGCTAAAGTAGATGGCACCCCTGATGAATTTCCTGCTGCCGCCATGTCCACTACGTCATTGGACGTTATCATAGGCTTCAGTGGTTGTGGATGCATCTGACGGATGATCTGCACCATATTGGCCAGCTGAAGATTGGGCCGGAAATTGCGATGAGGAAAAGTTTTGCGGCACTGAGGACAAGTAAAAGACTGCCGTTGTGGAGTAGGTGGTGTTGCCGGCACAGTATATTCTGCCATTTCTTCTGGCTCTTCATCCATTACTTCCTCATCCTCATCATAATTATCAAAAAATAAATCACTCCCCATAGAAGCATCCCATATTTCCTGGTCCCAGTACTCTCTGTCATCATCATCCCAGACATCGTCATCTTCTTCATCATCGTACTCATCCCTGGACACGTCGTCTTCATCCTCATCACCCATATCTCCATCTCCTAAGTAATCGTTGTCCTCCAGGTCGTTGTCGTAATCCCCATCTTCTTCAGGCCCCAGGTCATCTATCCCCCCGTCATCAGCATCCCCCTCTGAGCCAGAGGCTCCCAGGTCATCACCTTCTTCTTCACCCGAACCCCAAAGCTGAGTGATGCACACACGGCAAAAGTTGTGGCCACATCCAATGGACACCGGGTCTGTGAAGTAATCCAGGCAGATGGCACAGACGGCTTCCTCGTGCAGGGTCGCAACAGGGTTCAGCGGACCTCCGGAGCTCCCCGCAGCTACTGCTGCTGCCATGAGACTCCCAATTTTTCCACACCCCAGCCGACTAGACACGCCGCCGACAGGCCAAATGTCTTCCTCGGCCCTCCCAGGGCTTCCCTTTCCTGCTTGCTCGCCGCCGAAAAGTTCCCTCCCGAAAGATTCCCGGGAGAAGACGGCAGCCGCTCGCTTCTCTTCTGCTCCCGCAGCTCCTCCCCGCCCGCCCAAACCCCGGGATCTGCCGGTCCCGCGAGTCCCCTCCCTGCTCCCAAAGAGCTCGCGCCCGCCTCCTCGCTCGCCCTCAAGGGTGGCAACTGCCGGGGCCAGGCTGACAGTCCCCCGACCCAACTCTACGAAACTATCACCTCCCCTTGCACCCTCACACCGGAACCGAAAGGGAAAGCCCGAGAGGCGTTCTAGACCGCCGGTGGCTCCTCTCTATGGTACGGCAACGCCTCGCCGGGGTCCCTACAAACGCGCTGGGCTGAGTTTCGTGTGCGAGACCTGTCCGCCGGCAGTTGAGTTTCCGGGGTCCACAGCTGGTCGGAGGGCCAAGGGCGCGCGCTTTAAACAAACCCAATAGAAGTCCGTAACGATTTTGACATCCGCGACGTTTCCATGTCGAACGTCGCTATGGTCACACGCCGGAAGATCTGGCTTTACAGGTTTCCGACAAATGCACCGGAAGTCTGGGTGCGCTCTGTATTATTATTTTAGTCTCTATGATTGTGGAGGATTACAATTTCGAAATAGAGGAAGTACTCCCCGAAGGACGGGAGCGCTGTTATTTTCGAACCCCTAAAATGTTCTTGCGATTGCTCAAAATTATTGCATATTACATCTTTCCTCCATTCATCCTCCTCGTCCTCTTCTTCTTCCTCCTCCTTCTAGTGGTAAATTTCCGAATAAAGGTTAATCTACGGGTTACCGATTTATGTTCGACTTTTAAAGACAACTTCTTGTATAAACATTATTTTATATAAATACTTGGTTTTCCCTTATTCTAGAACAACTCATTTGGCGGATAGAAGCAATTACATTTCCTTAAAGTTGTAGCGTAGAACAAAGCAAAAATGGAAGGTGAGCATAAAAAGAGAAGAGAAATTTAGATGGCACAATCTCTTTTTAAAATTTCATCTCCCTTCACCATTTATTGAACAAAGCACATATATGGAGGCAGATGGGTTGATTATGTGCTATGAAGTTAATGTTGACTCTTACTGACCACATAAATAGGTGTTCATATGGAGGCAGATCCGGCCATTACTATAAATAAAAATGGAAATAATAAAGCATATTATATTATAGTAATGTGTACAACAAACTTGAAGGAACAAAACTAACACTCCAGATACAAATGACATGGTATGAATATCTCTGGATATTGTTGCAAGGGGTATTAAGAATATACTATGGAAGTGTGGGAACTGATTTGTGACAATCATGATATGTCTGTTTTACTGCAAGCTTATATTACAAAAGGAGTTGTAGTGTTCTAGGCTTAACTGCCATATAAGCCCTTCTAAATAAACAAATAAGTAAATACAGATGGCAAAACCATGTTATCTAGCTAGTCCTCAACTTATGACTACAAATGAGCCCAAAACTTCTGTTGCTAAGTGAGACATTTGTTAAGCGAGTTTTGCTGCGTTTTACAACCTTACTTACCACCATTGTTAAGTGAATCACTGCAGTTGTTAATTTTAGTAACGTGGTTGTTAAATGAATCTGGTTTCCCCACTGAGTTTGTCAGAAGGTTGCAAAAGGGGATTACATGACCCTGGGATATTGCAACCATCATTAATATGAATGAGTTGTCAAGCATCTGAATTTTGATCATATGACTATGGTGATGCTGCAACAGTCGTTAAGTGGGAAAAACAGTCATAAGTCACTTTTTTCAGTTCTGTTGTAACTTTGAACGATCATTAAATGAATTGCTGTAAATCAAGGACTATTTGTATGTGGTTTGGAAGTTTAACATATTTTAGGCATTCAAGAGGAAAAAAAGGCATTTTAGCTTTATTATTTATTAATTAATTAAGTATTCCCCCCTCCCATATGTATCTTAAGCCCAGGGGTTATAAATCCCAGTAAATGCATGCAGTCAGTTGGTGAAAAGGCTTTTTATAAATAACTAATGCTGCCTATTTTAACTTAGTTTTTTCACATGTATTTTAGACTTGAATATTACAATATTAATTGTTCTACTGTATTTATTGTATTAGAAATACATCAGTGCCAAATAAAGCTTGTAAATAGAATAAAAAAATAAAATGGAACTGAACACTTTGATCCTACAGAAATGGGCATGCTGCCAGAGAAAAGCAATAGGTTGTTTAGATATGATGGAGTAAAACAGACTGCTGTTTCTCGACTTTGTGGCTGCCTGGAAACTAGATATACTGATTCCAAATCTCGGAGCTCTCTGGATGAGGTGAAGGGGCAGGCAGCTTTGCTACGGGTAGCTAAGAACCCTTATTTTTGATATAGTACTTGTGGATACCTGCGGATTTTATTGCAGACTTAAGAAGATTATAGCTTCCGTATTCCATCTCGGCTGGCTGCTTCCCAGAATTGGTTTGCAGGATACTTTTAAAAATGTCTATCGATTCGTTCTGGAAGCCGAATATAATTTACAGAAACCACAAAACACTTTGCAAACGTCTTAGTTCCAGCATTAAAGTGTTGTAGGTTATAGGAGAAAAACAGGAAGCAGCGGGTTTCTGTAGTGTAGTGGTTATCACGTTCGCCTCACACGCGAAAGGTCCCCGGTTCGAAACCGGGCAGAAACAGCTTCGTTCTTTTGCTTTTTACTTCACTGTTCCATAATCTTAAAAAACAATTCTTTAGATGTCTATACTTTAGTGCAAACTCTTCTTTTCCATAATTATTAATGGCAATTCACAGCAAAGTGCTCCAATAGTCTTTTGCTGATTTTAGAGTACGCTGCATCTTAAACTTCGGAGCAATTTTCCAAAGAAAGCAATTTTGGTCAAGATTCACATCATCTACAGAGGCAGTAGTAGTATAGTAGCAGAACAGTAATACAGTATAGTACAGTGCAGTACGATAACAGAATACAAAATATAGAGTTAATTCCTTTTATGTTAAATAAAATTTTGGAAACGCTATTTTCAGGGAGCCCGGCTAGCTCAGTCGGTAGAGCATGAGACTCTTAATCTCAGGGTCGTGGGTTCGAGCCCCACGTTGGGCGAAGTGTTGTTTTTTTGCTCTTCATTTTAATCTTTAAGAGCAAAATACCATAAATTAATACTTCATTTTTCCAAAGTACTAATTAGTTCCATCATTTGCAGCTCAAACAATAAGGGTGGAAATAAAGGAAACGAGGAAATTATTATAGGAGTGTTTTCTTTACCATATTTTGTTTTTCTTCCCTTTTCCGTTCTGCCCTGAGCACACTTCATTGTACTCTGCATAGGTACTTAATCTTGCTTCACTGTTTGTCAGCAGTTTTTAAATTCTTTTGTAAGCCTCAGCTCTGAAACATAACCCCCAGATGCCTTGAAACATGTGCATATGAGACAAGAGCAGATCATGCAACATCATTTTCTGCTTTTCAGCCGCAGACACACACAAAGCTTATTATAAACGGCCCCAAGGTCAAGTTGAGGGAGACATCTCTAGCTCAGTGGTTCTCAACCTGTGGGTCGGGACCCCATTTGGGGTCGAACGACCATTTCACGGGGTCGCCAAACAACGCAGTCCGCCATTTCCCCCCCCCCCCCTTTTCCTTAGCTGTGCTACTCCCTTTTATTCTATTGGCTTTTGAAAGCCAATAGAATAGACTCTCTGGTATAGAGTCTAATTCTATTGGCTTTCAAAAGCCAATAGGAATTGTCCAGGCTGTCTCTGCCCTGCTGAGCCCGCCAAAAGTCCCATTCTGCAAACGGTTCTGCACCAGTTGAGTAGTCCTCAACTTACGACCAGTTGGGGGTCGCTGCATTAAACAGGTTGAGAACCACTGCTCTAGAGTAATCTTCCTTAAGGCTGGATCCTTCGGGTTTTGGATCTATTCCATTTTGCTAACCAAATAAATCATTTTATTGAGGTATGTTTGTAGATTTTTTCCTTGGATGTCACGTTCAAAAGATGGCAAAAATAATTACTAGAAGACATTTAGCATTAACATTCACAGAAGATAAAAGGAAAGGGTATTTAAAATCATGCCTTATTTCTTTTATGCTTTGTCCTATTTTTGAAAGTGAATGTTTAGGCCTCATAATACTAGAGCTCAATGCTGAAACTTTTTCTTTCACAAGATTCCCTTCAGAAGCTGCAAAACCATGCATCTATATGCAACTTCATACAGCCCATTGCAACCAATTTATATATACAGTATGTAGGGAGAATCCCCATCCCATTTATAATATAAGAAAGCCCCCATATTAGCAAAGAAATGCCTCTCCCCACCTCCAGAAGAGAAAAGACTTCCCTGAAGTAAAATCACTCAAGTGGTCAGCCCCCGTGAATGGATATTTAGTTTCACAAACTATTCCATTCATAAACAAAACGCCTTCAGCTACAGTCACCACAAAATGCTGGATTTAAAAAAGCAAAGAGACAAAGACTCCTAAAATCTACATTCCCCACCCAGTTCCAAGGACAGGGCACGACCTCCCAGGCACAATGGGAATCAGGCAATAATAATTAGAATGCTAAAAGGGCACATTCAAGTACAGATTAAAGTACATTTCACAACAAACCTGGGCATCTAAATCATAAAGCCCTAGAACCACATAAAAACTAAGGTGACCAACTTTTTTACAATGAAAAGGAGGACACAAATAAATTGAAGAAAAAAAATATTGTAAATAAAAGAAACATTTTATTCATTGCAACAATGATACAGACAACTTGCATGTGCAAAGTTTGCCAGCCGGGTGTTTTGGCGCACTCAGCAACAATTCCTATTGGCTTTTGAAAGCCAATAGTGGGAGTAGCACAGCTCACGCAAAAGTTGAAAAAAAAAAACCATCAAAAAGAGGTGCCAGAACGCTGTTCTGAGCGTTCTATGAGGGGAAAAAAAAGCCCTGCAGATTAGTCTTCAAATATCGAAAAGGAGGACATGAAGGAGGACACTTTTTGAGGGAGGACAGAACTTACAAAAGGAGGACTGTCCTCCCTAAAGGAGGATGGTTGGTCACCTTATAAAAACCTATCCACTCATCAGACTGCTTTGTCAGCTGTCCCAGAACCTATTGCTTCTGATTCCTAAATAAATGGAGACTTCCTTTCCAACTGCAGTTTGCCTCCTCCTGCGTCTTTCTCGCAGCTTGGAACCGGACCAGATTTTACTTCCAACAAGTATAAGCACACCACACTGATATATACCTGCACATGCACACTTTGGTCATATTATGCCAAGACCCAACTTTTTGGAGAAGGTTCTGATGCTGGAAAAGGTGGAAGGAAAGAGAAAAAGATGATCAGCAACAAGGTGGATAAACATGATAATGAGTGCACCTTTGGGAGACTTGAAAGACCAGGTTAGGTTTAAATTGTTATGGAGAAAATCTGTGTATGTGGTTGCTAGGAGTAAAAAACAACCGGACAGGACACTGTGTGTGTGTGTGTGTGTGTGTTTGTGTGTGTGGAGGGGAGAGAAGGGGATATAGAGAAAGATACATATGATAGGCTAATCACAATATCTTTTATTAATTTTTTCAGAGAAAATGTTACTGTTCTGTATTTAGTAATATTTAAAGGTCATGCATCCAACCAGTAAGGCAGTGTTTAGAAGAAAATGCCAAATAATTTGAACATGTATTGTAACCTATCTTTTAATTCTGTTTTTAACTTTGTTCTTATTTATGCTTTTCTATTTTGACATGTTTTTAATTGTAAGTTGGTCTAAGTCACTTACGTGAGAAGGCAATACAGAAATGTGATGAATTTCATATACTTTTATATACTGTTATATACTGTTTATAGGATTTCATTTTTGAGACACTATGAATACACATAAAGTACATTGAAAAGAAAAAAAGAAAAAAATTGAACATTATTAAATATGCTTTTATTTCAATATTCTTTCCTCATTTTTAAAAAAGTCATTGGCATTCGTCGTTAAAAAAAAAAAAGGCAAACTCATGTTTGCTGACGCTGAAAAGTTTAGAAAAAGAATTTTCTAAATGACCGCAAGAAAGGCTCTCCAAAGACGGCTTTTTTTTTTTTTTGAACACCTGATGAGCCAGTCTTGTAGCGTTTGGGGGGACCGGCTTGCTGAAAGGGGGAGTCCGGGCCTTTATCCGCAAGTCCCTCGCTTTATCACCACCATCTACCCCCAATAGGATCCCTAACAGGATACCCCATCTCTGCAAAGCGCAAGACTGTATTGTGCACGCTCGCTTAGTAAGCTGCGAACGCAGAACTACACTACCCAGAGTGCCTTTCCAGGCATCCCGCTTCTTCGCTCTTCAGACTACATTACCCACCATGCTTAGTGGGGCAACACAAAAGGCCGCAAGAATTTGGACGGAAAGTGACTCTGAGATGGGCATCAGCCCTCCGACGCTGCGGCTTGGAGCCGCCTCGGGACTGAAAGTCCGCTAAAGCGGCGCGCCTAGTTGGGCATGGAGCCCGGTAAGTTCCTGCGATGGGGCTAGAGGAAGGGAGGGGCCTGGACAACTTCGTGGGTGCCTCCCGAGGAATGGGGTGCCCAGAAAGAGATGATTATGGAGCATTGCGCTGGCCGTTGCCTTATTGATTGGGGTGGCTTCTAGGCTGTGTGGACGAATGCAGAAAAGATCCAAAACCTGCGGAAAGAGTATGTGAGATTTACCCGGGAGAGCCTTTTCTTTTGTGACATGTTTGCTCACTTTTCCATTTCAGGAAAAATAGAATCGGGGTTGGTTTCTTTCCCTTCGCAAGATACAAGAACCTTTCCCATGAATTTTGATCTTTTTGTTTTTAATTTGGATGAAATCATCTTTTATTTATTAAATTTATATAGCCACCCATCTCACATACCTGGCTCTGGGTGTCGTACAATAAAACGATCAAATAAGTAATATAGCAATTAAAAAATATAAAGCATTTAAAAGATATAAATAAGACCGTAGAATTATGGACCTACAGCCTGCACACAGTATAGCTGCCTTGGAGCTCCCTACTTGTCTGGGATCCTAAGCCTGTTGAAAGAACTGTTTAAGATATTTCCTAAATGTCAAACCACCATATAGTTCCAACAGTGAGCTGCCAAAGATGACCAGTGATTCAGTGAAATCCCCATAGGAAGCAGTTTGGGAAATCAATTCCTTTTTATACATATATATGTCTGATTGGGGATTAATTTTGGAGATGAGAATGATTTGCCTCCCAAAAATCTGGTTAATCCATTTTCATCAATACTGCAATGTTTTCGATCCAGAAATGAAGTTCTTGTTGCAATATGCCATTTTTTCATTAAATTTCAACATCAGAGACCATTTCCAAAGTTGTTTGGGGATTTAAAGTGTAGAAACAAGTGTGTTTTTCATCAGATTTTCCAATGTTATTTTCAGTGCTTTTTTTCTTAAAAAAAAAAGGTGCCAGAACTCACACACGTCATACAACCCGCCTTGCCTACCCTATAAGGTTCCATCCAAAAAAGGTGCCGGAACTCCGTTCTGGGCGTTCTATGAGGAAAAAAAGCCCTGGTTATTTTGGACTTTTTCTGCCAAAATTCATCCCTCTTGAGAATCAGCAATTTTGCCATTGAATTTTGGCAACATGAACAATTATTGGTGTATAGAACAGTGGGCTGGGTACCCTCACTGTAAACTATAGTATAGAACCACAGAGGTTCATACAACATGCTAAGCTGAAAACAAACACATCATGTGATATGTGAACCCAATCAACTATTTCTTCTAAATATTTATTCTAAACCAATACAGTAGTTTCTCACAGATAACTGAATCATAATTGCACTAAATTCCTGCACTGCACTGTATTTGATTGTTTTAGTTTAACACATTGGGCAGGCCTAGCAAGGTATAAGGTACTTTCTGTTATCTAACACAACAAGAACAAGTAGGCTTAGTAATAACTAAATAAATCAATAATACATGCATAGGCAGAGCCAGTGCTTTTTTTGTAAAAAAAAAAAAAGGTGCCAGAACTCACACACGTTATACAACCCGCCTTGCCTACCCTACAAGGTTCCATCCAAAAAAGGTGCCGGAACTCCGTTCTGGGCACTCTATGAGAAAAAAAAAGCCCTGGGCAGAGCCAATCATATAGACATACACACGATGTGGTAAAGATGCTAGAATAAGAATACAGAAAAAAAGGAAAGAGGGCGTACTCATCTGTTTTTGTTTCAAGGGAGGCTGCATTGTCCAAACACGCTTTTGTAGTTATGTGGCTGGCAGACTGTATGCCAAGGAGCATGGAATGCTTATAACTCCCCACTGAAGTGGTACCTATTTATTTACTCGCATTTGCATGCTTTTGAACTGCTAGGTGGGCAGGAGCTGGGGCAAGTAATGGGAACTCATCCTGTCACACGGTGTTCAGGTCTCAAAGTTCCAGTTGACAAGCCCAATGTCTTAACCACTAGGCCACCACGCCCGCTAAGAATAGGGAAATCCAGGTTCTAAACCTCCCTCAAGCATAGAAGCCATTTGGTTTCTATGTCACTCTCAGGTTTAAACAGCATCAGGCTCTGAAACACACTGGCTAAAGAATAAACCCTTGTTTCATCATGCATTGATGGCGTTGCCATGTGAACTAGGCAAGCAGATCCTGAAATCAAGTAAGACAAATGCTAAAAAGAACAATATATACACACACATTTTTTAGCTATATGTCTTTTAGTCTGTGTGATACACTGCACGGCCAGCTCTTTCTCTTCCGTCCTGTCTAAGAGTTCATATGAACCACTGCCTACTTCCAGAGTGGGATTTAATACCCGTACAGTAAATGGCTTTAATTTTCCCTTTGAACCCACAGAGCCAGCAGTTTAAGTTGTCTAAACCTTGCAATTTAGTACTAAAGGAATCAAAAAAGGAATAGAATATATATGCTGGAGCCAGACTTTGCAACTGCCTTCAGTGCAGTGATATTTCTTTTGGCATTTAAGATTTTAACAAATGTCAGACTATCTCAACCAGAATAAGCCATACAAAGCCTTGAGTGCAGGGAGAGATTTAAGTCCCCCCCCCTTTTTTTTTACACTTGCTCCCTATTTGTTCCTCTGTGGTCAAAATCCCAGATTCCTTTTGGCATCACAGTGGAGAATAAATGACTGATGGGCACCTTCTCTTCCTTCTAGCAGGTGAAGATTGGATCAAGAGAGAAGGCAATGAAGGATCTCTCCAGCCCAGGGTTGCCCTGCTGGTTGGTGTGGAACAGCCAACAAAAAAATTATCTGAGGAAAGTGACTATTTCCTGGAGTCTGAACCACTGAAAACTCTGAAGAGGGATTTGGACATGCATCAGAATCCTTTTACGGAGGAGATTTGTTTTGATTACGAGAACAGTCCTAGGAAGATCTACCCCAACGACCGGCCATTTAAGTGCGATGTGTGCGAGAAAAGCTTCCGCCACAGTTCCAGCCTGTTAACACATCGAAGGCTGCATACTGGGGAGAAACCATATAAATGCACTGACTGCGGGAAGAGCTTCAACACCAGCTCAGCGCTGATTGTGCACCGCCGGACCCACACAGGAGAGAAGTCCTATGTTTGCTCAGACTGTGGGAGGTGTTTCAGTGAAGGCTCGGTGCTCATCAAGCACTGGCGGATCCACACCGGGGAGAAGCCGTACAAATGCGCCCTTTGTGGAAGGGGGTTCCGGCAGAGCTCCCAGCTGCGGGCCCACGAGCGGACCCACACGGGGGAAAAGCCTTACGAGTGCCAGGACTGTGGGAAGTGCTTCAGCACCAGCTCTAATCTCTCCGCCCACCAGCGGACCCACACAGGGGAAAAACCATACATCTGCCCTGAGTGCGATCGACGGTTTGGTCACAAGTCGCATCTCATCTCCCACCAGAAGACACACACCGAGAAGCTGCACGCTTGCTCGGACTGTCCAGCAACTTTCCGCATGCTTCATCAGCTCCTGGTCCATCGCAAGTCCCACCAGGAAGAGAGGCGCTACAAATGCCTCCTGTGTGGGAAGACTTTCAGCTACAGCTCAGCCCTCTTGGCACACCAGAGAATGCACACTGGGGACCGGCCGTTCAACTGTCTGGAGTGCGGGAGGAGTTTTGTCCGGAATTCAGACTTGAACAAACACCAGAGGATCCACACAGGGGAGAAGCCCTACGAATGCCCAGAGTGTGGGAAACGATTTAACCAAAGCTCCCACTTGGTTAGCCATCGGAGAGTCCACGTGAAAAGTGCTGCAAAGAATCCTAGCATGGATGTCCCTGTCCCAAGGGGACGAGAAATTGAGTCTTCCTGAATAGCTCTTTCGCAACATTTCTTTGCAGTCTGCATCAGGGGTCTTTTAAGACTTGTGGACTTCAACTCCCAGAATTCCCTCACCAGCAATGGGGAATTCTGGGAACTGAAGTCCACAAGTCTAAGTCTTAAAGTTGCCATGTTTGGAGACCCCTGGTCTACATTATGATGACTGCAACCTTGTGCTCCTCACAGGAGAGCAAAATCTCATCCCATCCAGTGGGATTTCATTTATTACTCGCGGATAATAAACTTGTAAGACTGTTGTGGGTTTTTACACATGAAAAACTAAAGAAAATTCTGCTCCAACAAATTTCAAATGATCCATTAAAGGATAATAGGTTACATGGCCAGGATATCTTATGGAAGCTAAAGTATATGCTAATTGATGTAACTGGAGCCATTTCTGTAGAAAAGAGCAAAAATAAGAGCTGCAAGACCAGGATACTATTCTCTGGCTATTGAGAAATATTGTTTAGCACTTCTCTGACTTCCATTGTCCTATGAAGCATGCTTTCAGCTTATCCTTGCAAAAATGAGGATTTATAAACTTGTGATATTTTTGCTGTTCAGTCAGATTATATTCTTGAGCTGCTATCATATATGGCCAGCAGCATTTGTCTTCTTATGAGAATGCTGATATTGTTTAAGACAACTGAGACAGAATAGTGTTTCTGGCATTTTTTCCCAAATTGAATTTTTTCAGTGTTTTTAGATATGCAGAACTTCAGTGGTAAGATCTACTGGTGAAGCTACAGTTTAAAGACAACACACTTTCATTGAAGTGATGAAAAAGCTTTGTGGTTTTTTTTGCTACCAAAGGTACAGAGAAATAACTTAAAACTGACATCTACCTATTTTCTATAGATCACGTGTGAATGTAATATCAGCTATCTACTTTCAAAAGAAACACAACTCCAGCTGGCTTTTAATAACCATTCCATTAACCACATTCCCCCTGACTTAATAATAACTTACAGAATTTGATCCCTTAATAATTCCCATCATCCTGATGGCTGCACTAGACTCTGGATGGCTTAGGAAGAGCTGCACTTAAAAATGGTGGCATCTGAATTTTCACGTATGAAAAGTATGTATCCCAAAGACCTCCATGGTTGAAGTTATCCATTTGTTTCTTGAAACTTGTAAGCCTGCCCACCTTTGTGGAAATATAGACCAAATAAGTTTAAAATTGCAGTCTTATTGCAGGATCCTTTTTCACTCAAAGGTTCTTGCTATTCACTCTTAAGTCCTGGCTGACTTCAATCTCTTTCATTTATTAGGATTCCATAATTATTTTTGCTCTTTGACAACTGAGACCTCTGTTTTGTTCCATAATCCTGACTTCCTTTTGCCAGCAAACGTTTCCCTATATACACTGTATAGACCACTTCTATGTCTGCTTCATGTTTTTCACAAAGCAGATCTCTGAAACACAGAGTATATGCTGCAATAAATATGTTAGTCTTTAAACTGCCAGAGATGTCTAGGCCCACTGGTTAAATGGTGTTTTTCTTGACAATACTCAGACTGGAGAGCCTTTACAATGCAATAAGATTACAACCACACATATAAGGAAAATGCTGTTCTGAATAAATATGTTTATGATTCTACTTTGTGGATCAAATTATTTGTTGCAAAATCCAAAGCTTTGGTATTGCATTGTATTTTGCACTTAAGGTAGGTCAGCCTTTCTTACTCATTGATGTATGAAGCCAGTGACAATGCCTCTGAATTTTTATTGGTCTAATACCTCTTTAGAGAGAGATGTTCCAAAATATAAGCTGTGCAATACACAATATTTCTTCCTTCTCCGTTTTCCATTTCCATGTTTTTAGATCAAAGCAATACAAAAATGGTTATTCAAATAATAGTGAATCAGTAGTGCAAAATGAAGCACAAGTGGCTGCTTTGAAGCAATCTGGTGTTATTCGCAGTAGTGGTGCGGATTTTTGTTTTAAAGTAAGTGTGTCTGTGTGCAAGATTAATTATAAAAAATGTTAAACCTTGCAACCAGAAAAATCCAATCAATTGTATGCCAGTACAACATAAGCAGTGTGCAGTGGAACAGCCTTACAGAAATGTATATATAATTGTATTTGCTTGCCTGATTCATTTTTAAAATTTACATATTATTTCCAATTCAGCGTAGAGGTAACATCCTAAGAATAGGTGGGAAAAGAAAGTAAATTCTGCTATTAGTTGAGATGCAACTTACTTCACACAGAAATCTTGTCACTAGAATAGACATAGGAAATCTCTACAGCAGAAGAAAATGAGTGGAGGATTAGGGTGAGGGAGTTTCAAGACTCAAAGCTCTTCTGTCCCCAGCGTGTGAGGAGAGGGAGATGGGAATATACATTATCTGCAATGTCCCAGAAATTTCTCTGTTGAAGGCTTTGACTTCAGATTTCCCAAAAAGACAGGTAGCCGTTCATTTGATTCTAAATTCTTAATGAAAACTGCCATCTCGCAATTTTTCCTAAACGTAGCCAAGAGGACTAGAAACATATTTTATGTTTTGATTAGGCAGCACATTTATTTTATTTTGCACTCTTGCTACAGAATGGTATGGGAGAACAATCCTCCTGGGAGATGAGCGTGTCCAATTAACGTATGTAAGCATTTCCAAATAGCTTTTATTTTTTTCTTCCATCAGAGCTTTCTGCTAGTCAAAAGCCAGTTTGTACAATTGCAACTCCTTCCATTAAAACATGGTATATCCCTGACTGGTGCTTTCAGTAACGTTTAGTACTTCACTACGAATTCAAAACAGAAAGTAGTCATTTCTCTGCTGACACGATTAACCAAAATAGTTCCAAGCAATTGTCACGTTGCCGCTTTACGTCCCATATTATACAAGACTTCTCAAATGGCTGAAATCCAAAGCGCCTGGAATAATCTCAGGGGCATAAGGTCAGCTGAGATCCAGAAGCCACCCAGAACCAAGGGTGAATCCTCTCTTGCTTGAAGGAGGTAGGTGGAAAAGTAAAAATGGGAGCATCCAGCTCGGCATCGAAAAAGGCCACCCACCCTCCCTCATAATCCAGATCTACTCTGATCCTCCTGGGCTTCCTGAGCAGAAACAGGGTAGTCCAGCAAGAGGTCAGGGCTTGCAACTGGCCCCAGCACTGCTGTACGGCCCAAATGCCTTGCTGTGGGCTGAGGCTGAGGCTCCCCTTCCTCCTCACAGACTCCTGGGCAATGCCAATGGCCCAGTTCTGCCCCTGCTCGACGTTCACCACCCAGGAGTGTTTCCCAGAGCAGAAGGCCTCGCAGCCCAGCACAAAGAGCTCGGCATCAAATCTCTCAGGATTGTCCAGCAGGGGCTGTGCGTGATCCAGGTCGGTGACGGTCTTCTGATCCAAGGAGAGGAAGAGGTGGGGATTGGCTGTACGTGGATCCAGTGTCATACTGAGACTGGCGGAGACTGAGAGAAACAGAAAAAGGGTGATGGTCCTGCTGACTTCTCCACTCCAACCTGCCTTCTCAATTATCTCGCTAAAGCAGCGGTTCTCAACGTTTGTGTGACGGCGACCCCCGTCACACAAACGTTATGCGCATGCGTGGCACGGCGCGCATGGGGACGGGGCCCCATGCGCGGCGTGCATGTGTGGCGCCCTCCCCCGAGGTGCGGTGCCGCCCCCATGCGTGGCGCGCATGCGCGGCGCCCTCCCCCGGAGGGGAGAAAATAGCGGATCGCCGCCTTTGGCGACCCCCGAAAAATGGTCGATCGACCCCAAATGGGGTCACGACCCATAGGTTGAGAACCGCTGCGCTAAAGCAAACTGCTGTTCCTGCTGGGACAGCGATACAAATGCTCACAGGCAACAGTGAATGCTCATTTGCCCAACAGCTTAGCCCCAGCATCAGCTGCACCACCTCAACATGCAATCATTATTTTGGAAATTGCCTGTTAGCATCTGCATCTCCCAATTTTTTCTCTTAATCATTTCTTAAGTAAGGTGAGACACTTGCCACTCTTACGTAAGTAGAAAAAAAATAAGCCATGCCATTTTTAAAGGTTTTTTTTTTGTATCCCACCTTTATTATTAAACAGAGATAGTCCTCGATTTACAACCCTAATTGAGCCTGCAATTTTGGCTGTAAGGCATGGCATTTGTAAAGTGGGTCACCGCGTGACCGCACCCAATTTTACAACAAGCAATCGTCATTAAATATAGCAGTGGTTAAGCAGATGCCACAGTCATTAAACGACCCCCTTTGTGCTAGGGGATGTTTTTGCTGGAAACTAGAAATAAATAATGATTTCCAGCAAAAAAATGTCGTAAATCATAATAATGTGCTGCGGGACACTGCAAAGGGCCCTAAAAATGAGCCAGTTACTGAGTGGCAAAATGTGGGGATATGATCTGTAGGGACAATGTCAGAACTTCAAATCGGGGTTGTAACTCCCCTTTTCAGGGTCTGTCATAACTTCAAATGGTCACTAAGTAACCAGTCGTAAGTGGAAGGCTACCTGTAATTCAAGGCGGCAAACACACCTTTCTCCTCCTATTTTCCCCACCACAACGGTGTGAGATGAGTTGGGCTAAGAGAGTGAGTGACCCAAGATTATCCAGTTGGTCTAGTGCAGGGGTAGGCAACCTTGGCTCTATTATGACTCGTGGACTTCAACTCCCAGAATTCCTGAGCCAGCTATGGGAGTTGAAGTCCACGAGTCATAAAAGAGCCAAGGTTGCCTATCCCTGGCTTAGTGCCTAAGGCAGGACTAGAATGCGCAGTCTCCCTGTTTCTCGCCCAGTGCCTTAAGCCCTTGACTAAATAGGCTCACCTTTTAAATTTCTTATCCTTTAAAGTAGGAAATACCATGTTTCCCCGAAAATAAGGCCTATCCTGAAAATAAGCCCTAGCTTGATTTTTTTATTTGTGTGCCTAATATAAGCCCTACCCCCCAAATAAGCCCTAGTTAATACAAGGTGGGACAAGGCGCACAGATAAAAATCAAGCTAGGGCAGAGGTGGGAGATGGAGCTGCCTCATGCGCCCTGCACTCGCTTACCTCAGGGCCCCCTCAGCCAGGCCTCCCACACCCTGACACCTGCCTTGCCTCACGACGGCAGCACCAGCAGCAACAGCTCCATCCAGCAGGAGCCTGCGTGGCCACTGGCCACTTCGTTTGGTTGCTGGTGGCCGTGAGCGGCCGCAGACGAAATCAGGCAGCAGAGCGACAGGTGTGAGGGTGTGGTAGGCCTGGCTGCAGCAGTCCTGAGATAAGCTGGTAAGACATATCCTGAAAATAAGACTTAGTGCTTCCTTTGGAGGCAAATATATATATATATAAGCCCAGGTCTTATTTGGGGGGAAACATGGTACATGCAAACCACTCCTGCAGCTTCATAGTGTTAAGTATTATAAAGAAATAAACTTAACACAAAAGAATCATTAACTTCATTAACCTCTGTTTCTTAACCGTCTTAAAAGAAAAGCTGACTCAGAGTGTGATACAAGCCAGTTCATTTCCAGCTCCTCCCAAAGGAACATTAAGTGTGGCCTCAAGCTATCAGAGACTCTCTACGTCAAGTTCCTGATCTGGCAGTTCCCAATGAAGCCTGCCTTAGGGCCAAGCAAAGTGTGTGCTAAATTTACTGGTTACGCAAAGAAATGTATTTAGCTCTGCAAGGCAGTCTAAGAAACAGCATCTTTTAGTTCAGTGTTTCTCAACCTTGACAATTTTAAGGCATGTGGACTTCAACTCCCAGAATTCCACAGCTAGCATGGCTGTGGAATTCTGGGAGTTGAAGTGCACATGCCTTAAAATTGTCAAGGTTGAGAAACACTGTTTTAGTTAATGTTCAAAACATGCCTGCCCTGCATCAGTGTCTCTTTGCAAGAAGCCCATCCAAATCAGTTGGCTTCATGCCACTGCATCTTCACCGGTAGACCCTTGCTGCAGGCGGGCTATGTTACAGAAAAGCAGCATCCCAAGGAGCACCTCTACAACATAAAGTTTTTCCAAGACTTAAGAGACCGCAAACTTTTAATCCTACCCAGGCTGCAAGCTCCAAAGGTACGCAAGAGTGAAAAAACAAACGAAGCAAAGGCAGCATCACCTTTCTTGTCTGCTCTCGGGGCATCGTTATGCAATCCTGGCCAGAAGGTCTGGGGCTGATCAGTCTGACTCAGGAGGTCAGCATTAAGCCTTTGGGTCTTGCTTTTCTGAAATTTGTCCATCAGTGATTCTAGACAAGAGAGAAGGGTGAATATTTGGTCCTTCTATCAAAAGCACACTGGAGAATTTGCTTTTGATATCTGTTTTATCTATCCATCCATCATTCTCGGTGGGAAGAATTAAAAAAAAATATCCCCACAGAGGCCTAGAACCCATGAAAGAAAGAATCTAAAAATTAGAAAGATTCAGAGAATTTCTGCTCAAAAACTTTCTGCAGTTCTTCAGAACTGTTTGGGCAATGGAATTAGGAATCAAATGTGGCATCAGGAGCTCTGAGCACACCTTTAAACTTCTTGTTTAAAAGTAACACAATCCTACACACCATGGTCCAGAGCTGAAGTGGGATACCTGTGACTCCCAACATTCCCCATCACTGGCCATGATGGCTAATGCTGCTGGGAAGTTTAGTTCAGCAACATGTGGGTGGCTTTAACTTTCTCTGTCTCTGCTCCAGAAAAGGAAAATTGAAAATTGAGATTTCTTTACACAACTTCTTGCCACATGCTTGCTACAAGATCATTAGTAAGAAGTGTACAATCTCCTGTTTCCTGAAGTGTAACAGGACCCCACAGATCATCCTCAAAGAAATGTTTGCCCTGGACTCACTCCTCTTTTAGAATGTCTCTTTTTCTTGTAACTGCTGCTCCAATCATCTTTTTCAAGTGGTTGGTTTTCAGGCTGAGCAAAATATTCTGCTTGGATATGTTCTTAGTACAAAAGAAGTGTCAAAACTCTTTTCTGTACGCTAAGAACAGTACTGAGATGCTTAAAACAGCATTTTCACAGTCCATACAGCAGATCCATACACAAAAGGGACTTTTTGCAAAATATCTTAGGTAATGGTAAGTCAACATCAGGAGTTGCCATTTAAATTTCCCATAATATCCTCAACCCATGTTTTTCAACCTTGGGACTTTAAGAACTGTAGACATCAACTCCCAGAGTTTCCCAACTATCATGGTTGGCTGGGAGCTGAAGTCCACACAACTTAAAGTTGCTAAGGTGGAAAAACACTGCCCTCAGCATTACCATAATACTACTTTGGACCAATGCGGGATGGACATTTCAATGTAAATACTTCTGCTATTTCCCCATAACTTCTTTCAGTATTCATGGAAGTAGAAATTCTCATCCAATCTAGAGCAAGTCCTAAGAATTAATCTCTTCCTTCTTTCCACCCTCTCTACTTTTTTCCCCATTTGGAGGAGATCATTTCACAGGAACAAGGTTTACCCTACAATTACAGAAATGTGTACATCTTACGTAGCTTCCGTACCTCTAAATTTCTTGAAGTTTTCCATTAACAGAGCACTTTGCTGAGAGATGGCCCTGAGATCTTTTTCCAGGTTAACAGGTTTCTCTTGGAAGCAAAGGAGCTCGCCCTTTTCACACCTAGGAGATCAGAGAAGTCCCAATCTATTTTAGTTCTGTGGCTTTCCCTGATGTCTGGCTGCCATCAAGCATATCTGGTAAGAGAAAAATTAGAAGGATAGCCAGACTGTCTCCAAGTTAATTTCCATCTGGCCTCTTTAAAAGAAAGAATAGGGATTTCCTTTCTGTTAGATCTCACAGGAACATAAAATATTTTTTAAAAAAATATATATATATTTTTTCCATAAACCACTCAAATTCATTATTAACCCTGAAGGATTAAAAATCACATACCTGCTTAAAGTTTCCTTGACATCCTAGAGAAACCAGAGACATTTGAGTTACTTTGTGAAGAGGAAAAAGTTATCAGAGAACAACTTTGTTCAGTAGGATTTTACAATTTTAAGAAGAAAAAAAAAGAAAGAAAAATAGAATATAACTAAGGGATCTAAAGGAGATAGTCTGAAAGCAGGAGGAGGTTCTAAAAGCAGATATCCCCTTGAAATGCTTAAGAAACACTTCACTGAGCAGGGAGAGGCCTGGTTCGAAGCTCTACCTCCCTGGGTTTATTTCATAAAGAAAGAACATCCCTCAAATCTGTCAGGGGGGATTCTGGGAAAACCCGATGTCGTTCTTGCTCAAATTACGACTGAATTCACAACGTAGACTGCCATCTTTGTTTTGCCACCTAAGAACCTTTGCAGAGATGCTTCGATTCAGTGAGAAAAAGCCACTACAATTTATGTTAAAAACATAACCTTAGAATGTCCACCTGCAAAAATTCACCCACAGGCCTCTCACAGTGCTTCTCTACGTCACAGATCAGGTCACTGAGAAAAGAAATGTTGTTTGAAAAGCTGGAGCTACTTTCATCCTGTTGCTCTTCCAGGTCACTCAGTTGAGCCAAAAGGCCATTTTCCTGCTCTTCTAGAAACAAGCGGAGTTGCTGGAATGCCTGCACCACCTTTTTTCTCTCTGATTTGATGTCTTCCTGCAGACAACAGAGAAGCGGGCAAGAAAATAAAAAGTCAACAAGACTAAGGTTGTTTCTGTACAATTAACCATAGATTTTAGCACCGGCATATTGTGTCATGTCAGGGAGCAATGCCACTATATCACAACATTGCTATTATTAAATAATACTAAATTTGTCAATGTATTGCTAATGGCTATCATTACAAGTAGCCCTTGACTTAACAATTATAGTTGAGCCCAGAATTAGAATGTAAAACTTTGTGGTCGTTAAGTCGAGGCAGCCACGTGACCGAAAATAATTTTGCGGCCTTTTTCACAATGGTTGTTAAGTTGAACGGCCATGACTATCAAGCGAACCTATTTATTTGAATGGGTATTGTTTGCCAGAAATCAGCAAAAAACATTACAAATCACAATCATGTTACTGCAAAATGCTACATCTGGTCATAAAGCTGACCTGCCAAGCAAGCAGTCATATGATTTCTGGGGAAGGGTATCATAACCACTTATGATGGCCAGGGTACTTTAAAAGCCATAAAATACTTGTTCCATCATGGTTGAAACTTTGAACAGTTGTGAAATGACTAGTTGTTAAACAAGGATTACCGTCTGTGCCATACACTCAATGAATGCATGGAGGGGAGTCTGATTAATCAGATCTCTGTTCTCCTCTCCCCAGAGAGAGAGACACACACATACACACAACAGTTACATTGGACTGAAAAGACAAGCACCACTCGGTTAGACTGTGATACCAGGACTACAGGACACAGGGTCAAGTTCCTACACATCTATAAAACTCATTTGGGTGAATCACTCACTAGAGCCTCACCTACTTTACAAGATGAAACATCAAGCATGCCACCTTTCCTAATGGAAAGACAAGATATAAAATTTTAAAAAGTAAAGGTTTCCCTGTCCAGTGGTATGCAACTCTAGCGTGCAGTGCTGATCTCTGTTTCTTGGCCGAGAGAGCCAGCATTGTCTGGAGACATTTTCCATGGTCATTTGGCAGGCATGGCTATATACAAAGGCACATGGAATGCTGTTATCTTCCCACTGAAGTACTACCTATTTATCTACTCCCATTTATATCCTTTTGAACTGGTTAGCTGTCAGGAGCTAGGGCTAGGAACGGGAGCTCACCCCGTTGTGCAGTGCTTGGGTCTGGAACCTGGGCTGTCAGTTTTCCAGCCAACAAGCTTAGTATCTTTAACTGTTAAGCCATCATGCCCCAAATACATAATAAATAAATAAAATTAAATAAATAAAACATAAAATTAAATTAAAAAATAATATAATAATATAATATAATAAATATAATAATATAATATAATAATAATAGAATAGAATAGAAGAATAAATAGAATAGAATAGAATAACTATAGGCTATAAATCTGCATTCTGGATTTAGTGGACAAAAATTGCTCATGATTATTTTTCAGACACTCAAAATAAAGCTGTATTTTATTTTACAAAATGTGCAACAAAATCAACAAAGTGGGAAAGAGAAACTGCTACAGTTTTCCTTAGTACTCTGTGAACAAGTTGCCTACCAAACACTCAGCCATTTGTTTCTCCGGAGCCTGCCTTGATCTTTCAACAGCCATTCTCCTCAGCTTCAGATTCTGTAGCTTGATCTGGATCTCTTCCTAAGCAAACAAAATCTGTTAGGATTGTTTCCCTACAGTTATTGAAATTCTAAACCATAAAATGCCTGTTGACACCAGTTGATGGGGAACAAAATCAGAGAGAAGAGTTGACCACTCTGTGTTCTGCTTAAAGGCTTCCATGAGGCAATCTGTTGGCTAAGATGGACAACCAGATGTTAGGCTAGACACTGTAAGCTAAGCATGGCAAACTCGCGACGTCACATGACGTTGCATGACGTATCGCGACTTTTCCCCCATTGCTGGCAATGGAGTGGACGCGGTTTCAGTATGATGCATCCGGCCTCGGGCCGACAGTTTGACATGCCTGCTGTAAGCCAATCAAATGTCAGCATCGTTCTGCAGGTTTCTAAGTAGGGAGAAGACAACTAGGAAAACATTAACCACCACTAAATAAATCTCCCTCAAACTGCGTTGGCTTTGGGTGATTTCACAGGCACATCAATGTTACTTCCTTTACAACAACAACACAGAAGTGGCTTGCCATTCCCTCATCTAAGACATTTTTTTCAACTTTCTAATTTAGTTTCAAGTCTGAAATATCATCATACTGTCCTATCCAAATACTAACCAAGTCTGATCCTGCTTAGCTTTTTGGAAAAATACACAGACTGTTGACACAGCTCTGCATTCTCATTTAGGCTATTTTATTGATTTGATTTGGGCGCCACCAAATTCTAAACTGACTTTGCTTGGCACACAATATAAAAGAGCAAGTTCAAAAGTGCAATGAAATAAACAAATAAACAAATAACGTCAAGTAAATCAGATGCAACTATATGCCAAATATATTCAACATGGAATTCCATGCACCCTAACAGGGTTATGCTACACCAGTGTTTCAGCAACTTTAAGATGTGTGAACCTCAACTCCCAATTCCCCAGTCAGCATGAAGTCCATGCATCTTACAGATGTTGAGGTTGAGAAACACTGTGCTAGACTGAGGTAGGGTTTTGATTGGAATGGAAGGAAGGAGAGGGGAAGTTGAAGTGGTTATGCAGATGCATTAAACTTGAAACATTCCCTGCATCTGCTGAAGTGAACTGTAGCTCATTAAATTATACCATTTAATAAAATGTGTTCATCTGAAAAAGTGCTACAGGACTCCTGATTTTCGGCTACAGAGAGTAACATGTCTGCACTGATCTTGGGAAGACCTTCTTTCCTTTTTTTCCCCTCAGTCACCCATGCCACAGTCTGACACTTCAGCCTACTTAACTGAGCTGTCGTTGGGACAATAAAATGAAAGATAAATCTTACTGCCCCTGTGAGCCCTGAGAGGAAAGATTAGATCTAAGAGAATAAATCACAACTCTTTATAAATGGTGTGCTTTGTCTGTTATAAAAACATGTTGAATCTTGTCTGGATTCAAAAGTTAAGCAGGGAGAGATTTTTTTAGCACTGAGTGGAAGATTACCAGAATCCCCGCCAATGGCACACCACTTCCATACTGTTGTCAAGAAAACTACATGGATGTGTCCAAGAAACTACCATGAGTCAAGACTGATTTGAGCATCAGCCCCAAAGCTACGATCCGATGAATTCTTTTCACATGAAAGACTCTCTTCAAGGAAGCCTTGTGGATGTGTCAAAGTGCAACTTCTATTTACTACAGGGATGAGGGAATGATAGAAACGGATTCTTACATTACTGGAGATCATCTTGTGGGGGAAGGCATATACAGAACATACACATTTGATCCCACAGGATTTGGGCAAGTGACTTTATTAGGGGACTGACTGAAGGAACAAATCTAGGGTATCAGTCTAGGTTTCTCAGGGAAAAAAACTAGGATAATTAGGCTGGGTTTGCACAGTACCCGGCATAGTCAGTCCTGGGAAATCCAGCTGCTGCCTCCACCATCACATTAAGTCACAATAAGGTGGTTGGGCTGTACAGCATATATTTATATGGCCACAGCAATAGTGCTGTTCAACCCCTTTTCGGAATTAACCATATTGTGCAAAGCCAGGTTTTTAGAAGTATCCAATCAATGCATAGGTTCGGGTGGGGGGGAGCTCTCAAGCTTGTGCAAGCAGGGCAGAAGTCCACCCCTTCAAAGAGTGAAGAGTAGCAGGTCGGCCTCACCTACCGCCAGCAAAAATTATTTCGTTACCCTGTAATCTTCAGCTGCCTCCTCGACCGGAAGTACCAAGTGACCCCGGTGCTTCTTGGATTTGTCGCATACCAAGCAGATGAAGGCACAGTCCTCCCAGCAGAAAACCTTGAGGGGCTCGCGGTGTTTTTCACAGAGGGCCTCTCCCGTCCACCCTTCGATGGCTTGCAGATGCAGCCCTTCCGACGTCCTCGACTCGGAGATCCGTTTTTCAGGGACGTTCTGAACAGGAGAGGCGGGTCTCCCCAGATCCCCCATGGTCTGGACGAGCAACAGCTGGGCAGAGGCGTCCACCTCCACCTCGGGCCGTGGGGCAACCTAATTCCTCCCCAACACTCCGGGGGGCGGAGAGAGGTGCTTCGCATTCAAAACGCCCAAAATTTCCTAGATAACTTTCGCTTTCCTCCAACCAACCAACCTGGGCGATGGGAGGAGTTGTTTTCCAACTCTCTCGCGTCTGATTGGCGGATAGGATCCTCTCTGTGTGTGTGAACGACACGGAAAGCGGTGCCAAATATTAGCCCCAGTCTCCGTTTGAACGCTGTTAGAGACGGTACGCGGTGGGGATGTCTGCAGATTGAGTGTGATTGTGAAGGGTGTCTAAAATGGCAGTGCACCCTCACTGACGACTTTCCTATCGGCGCCTTGGGAACTCAACTCTCTCCAGCCTTATGTTGTGCAGATAGGTAACACCAGGGCTCTTCAAACTTGGCCCTTTTATGACTTGTGGACTTCAACTCCCAGAATTCCTCAGCCAGCGTGCCTGGCTGAAAAATTCTGGGAGTTGAAGTCTACAAGTCATAAAAGGGCCAAGTTTGAAGACCGCTAGGTAACACGCTTCTCGGAGTCCGCTGCTAAAGCCCGTTTTGAGTTCTGCACGAAAGATTATCTATTTAATACGTAGCAGCTTCTCCTACAATAGTGCTACAGGCTTATAAAGAACAACTTGATTTTCATTTTAAAGGAATTTATTCTCAAGCAGAGGGACTCAATGCATGCAGAAACAGGGCATCTGTGATTTTACAACAGCTGTAGAAGACGAGATTTCTGCTGGCTTAGTTGATGCAGCAAACTGCACCTGTTGAAATCTTTTCTAGGCCACAGGTGCTAGATGCCTGCTGTCTGATGTACTTGGCTACTATGTCCTTAGGTACCATAGTTTATGACTTCCAATATGGTGAATCCATCCAGTTATGTTCAATAAATTATGCTTAGATCCTGTTTTGTTGTGATGCACAGTAGTCTTTAAGCTGGCACAAATCTCCGTTTTATTGTAAAAACCCTCTTTAAATCAAGGACAACTTTGGATAACTTTATGGAAATGCTCAAGTAATTTTCTTGGTGACAATATAGGAGTACTTTGCCACTGCCTGGGTTTTCCTGATGGTCTCATCTGAGTATCAGTGCTGTCTTTCCTTCTCTTCTGAAAATCCGCTAGTTGTAGGATTTGCACTAGACTAGACATTTAAAAATAGTATTATTAGGTGCCTGATTAGGGTTGTGTGAGTGACAACATACAATGAGCCGAGGTGGCACAGCAGTTAGAGTGTAGTACTGCAGGCCACTTTAGCTGACTGTGTTCAGCAGGTCAGCGGTTCAAATCTCACCGGCTCAAGGTTGACTCAGCCTTCCATCCTTCCGAGGTAGGTAAAATGAGGACCCAGATTGTTGGGGGCAATGTAAATATATATATATATACATTGCTTACTGGTGTACACCACTTAGAGAGTGCTTGCACTTAAAGCGATATATAAGTCTCATAAATAAATAAACAAACATCCTACTTTGGACTTGTTATGCGAAGACTGGAAAAGGCTGTACAGGTAGTCCTCGACTTACAACAGTTTGTTTAGTGACTGAAGTTAACAACAGCATTGAAAAAAAGCTGACATGGCCGTTTTCACTCTTATGACTATTGCAGCATCCCTATGGTCATGTGATCGAAATTCAGCCATTTGGCAACTGACTCATATTTATGACAGCTGCAGTGAAAGGGTTTAGGATAAATTAACCTGAATAGCCAAATGAGACCTAAATGCATTCAGTGAATATGGATGTTCATTGTAAGAGGAGAAAAAAAAATCAGAGCAGATGCATTAAGGGATCACATGCAAAAGCAGAAGTGACTTGGGTATTTTTATCAGTTGTGCAAAAAGGTAGCATTGGATTGGATTTCTGTTGACTGCTTTCTTCACAAAACTATGAAGCCCTAATGCAGTGGTTCTCAACCTGTGGGTCGGAACCCCACAGGTTGAGACAAACTGCATTACTAAGAACTCTCTCACTAACACTGACAAGGTAAGCACCTAGTATATAAGTAGACAGTAATTTCTATTCCCTTCTAGCAATGTAATATATCTCGATCAGCGGTTCTCAACCTGTGGGTCGCGACCCCATTTGGGGTCGAACGACCATTTCACGGGGGTCGCCAAACAACGCAGTCCGCCATTTTTTCCCCTTTTCCTTAGCTTTGCTACTCCCTTTTATTTTATTGGCTTTTGAAAGCCAATAGAATAGACTCTCTTGAATAGAGTCTAATTCTATTGGCTTTCAAAAGCCAATAGGAATTGTCCAGGCTGTCTCTGCCCTGCTGAGCCTGCCAAAAGTCCCACTGCAAATGGTGCTGCACCAGTTGAGTAGTCCTCGACTTACGACCGGTTGAGTAGTCCTCGACTTACGACTGGTTGGGGGTCGCGGCATTAAAAAGGTTGAGAACCACTGCCCTAATGCCTTTTATCACAATTTTTCAATTATCCAGCCTAGGAATTTCCCTGTAGTCTCCTATTCATGTTCAACCCAGTTTAGCTTTTCGGAGGTTAACTAAGTGCCACCAGTCACTGAATAACAGTTGTGTAGACCAAGGAAATTTCAGCAAGTCCACTGGGCTTTTTTGAGATCATCTGAAAATAGTGACTTATGACCATTTTTCACATTTATGACTGTTGCAGCATCCCCATGGTTACAGGATCAAAACTGCAGATACTTGACAACTGACTCATCTGATAAATAGGACATGAACCAATTAGACAATTTCCTCAAAAGTCATAATAATCTTTATTGAAGAAAAATTGATGGGCCATAATTAAAGAATTGTATTGACTACAATGCTTTAAGAAAAAGACATGTATAAAGAAACAATATTTAAATGTTTTTATGCTTCTTTCTTATTCTACTCTATATAACAGACTCCCATTTTGAACAGGAGCCCTTGTTTCTATCAGTCCTTTGCTTCTGCAATGCTCAAATTTGTTATGGTTTTTCACCGACTATACAAAAAGAAATTTTCATTGGGATATTGTTCGAGCACTACTTTGAAAAGTGCCATACTGGATTAGCAGTATTCTGAAACATCACTAAACTCAGTCCAAGTGACTGCACAAAACACACACCAAGCTAAAACCACTTTTATACACAATTTTGGTGCTATTTCAAAGTAGTGGTAAACCTATGCTCAAAAGCTGCTTGGATAAGACTTGACAGGTTTGGGAAGAGTTGTACAATAAGGATAGTCCTCAACTTACAACAATTCATTTAGTGGCTATTCAAAGTTACAACAGCACTGAAAATAGTGACTTATGACCACTTTTCACATTTATGACTGTTGCAGCCATCCCCATGGTTACAGGATCAAAATTGCAGATGCTTGGCAACTGACTCATACTTATGACGGTTGCAGTGTCCCAGGGTCATGTGATCATCTTTTGCAACCTTCTAATATGCAGAGTCAATGGGAAAGCCAGATTCTCTTAACAACCATGTTACTAACTTAACAACTGCAGTGATTCACTTAACAAACTGTGGCAAGAAAGAATGTAAAATAGGTCAAAATCCACTTAACAAATGTCTCAGCAACAGAAATTTTGGGCTCAATTGTGATTGTAAATCAAGAATTACCTGTAATGCAGCAGAGAGATAGCTGAAATGTGCAACGTCCATCCCAAGGAGGGTTGATGGTGTTTAGACTGATCCTTGTTTCTGAACTGAGGACTGGCTTAGAGATCTAACAGATGATAGAATGGGACTCTCCCACTGCCAAGAGGAGAATAACCTGGAAGACGCATCAGGAGTGGAGGGGAAGGGACAGGCCTGCATCAGTCTAATGTGGCTAACACAGGTAGCCCTTGGCTTACAACCACAATTGGGACTTTCATCACTTAAGTAAGGCAGGTGTTAAGTGTGTCTCACCCAATTTTAAGCCCTTGTTGTCATGGTCATTAAGTGAATCGTGCAGTCGTTAAGTGAATCCAGCTTCTCCCATTTGCTTTTTGCTTTTCAGAAGCTAGCTGGAAAGGTCACCAAAAGTGGTAAATAAGTGATCCTGGGACATTGCGAATGATGTAAATACACGCTAGTTGCCAAGTATACGAATTTTGATCATGTAACTATGGGGAAATTGTGAGAGTCGTTAAGTGCAAAGTCAGAGGTCCATTCTTTCGGTGTCACTGTAACTTTGAACAGTCACTAAAGAAATGGTCGTATGTTGAGGTCTACCTGTAAGTGCTTGACTAAATCAACTTCTAAGCCTGGCTCTAAATCAAATGAGTGGCTGGTGAAATAGATCAGACTGCTGCCACAGCAAAAGTGCCACAGCTCCTGTTGTACTTAAAGGACAAAAGGCTACTTTATTATTATTTTTATTAATTTCTAATATTACATTTGCATATTTAAAAAGCAATGTGGTAGCTGAGTACAATAATTCCATTACATTTAAATATCATCAATACAAATCTCAAAGTATTACGACAACTAATTCTCTCTTTCCCCCTTAATATATACTGTCTCATATTCAAACACAATTCTTATTCTATCAATCAAACAGAAAATAACTTTCTAACATTCATCAATAATCTTCAATTTATACATATCTTAATTAATTTAACATTCCATCTTTTAGACAGTCAATGACCTAATAAAATTTTCTTAATTTTAATTTTTCCATTAATATTTTAAATTTAACGTTTAATCTTTTTCATTTCCAAATTTTAAATGACCCCAATTTCTATCACGGTTCCCCCACAGTCTAAAGTTCCAGATACACCTCTGATCTATACATGATTCTCACCGTCTGCATCAACCAATTAATAATACGAAGTAATATTCTTATCTTTCTAGTAATTCTCCAGTATCTTAGAATCTCAAATTTAATAGACAAGATTTCTTTTATTTCCACACTTAGTATTTCCTCTTTTTTTTCCTCTTTATGTCTCTTATATCATATTTGAGACTAATAATTTTTTAACCTATTAGCATTTATACCACAAACCAATATACAAATTTAATTTAAAGGCTACTTTAATACTAGAAGCTCAGGACAACTTTAAGCTGCTTGGGGATCAGATGAACAGAATATTATAAATATGAGGCTGAAAAAAAAAGATTGCTGGAAAAAACTGTGTCATGTTAAATGCAAGTAGGGAAAGAATCCAACAGCACAGGACAAACCCAAACATTTTATATACTGATCTTTTTTTCACTCTCTTATTGATGTTTGATAGCAAAGTTGTTTGAAAGGACAAAACAGATGTGAAGCATTTTTTATATAATACAGAAGCTAATGCAGTGGATGTGTTGCTTCTGCTGAGGTATCACTACAATAATTTGTACATAATTCCACCTAGAAGAGTGGACACTGAGATGATTTTTTCTTCTTAGCTAGACGAGAAGAGGAAAAAAGAGCATTAGAAAGTGGGTAGAATCTTGAGGATTTATTTCACAGCACCTGAGACCCTGCTGAAGCTGATTATTGCGACTTTTTTTCCTGCAGACTGTGGTACCGATATTTAACAATATTTCCTTTATACCAGCTTTCCAAAATAGAATCAGTTGCTGATGTCTGCAGATGTAATTACCGTATGCAATCACACTAAAATGATAACGGGAGAGGGCATAACAAAAACGGAGAACTTAGCCTTTGTACCCATTGTTTATATCAGAGGTACACTTGTTTTTGTATGGGGGGTTTTTTTTTAAATGAAAGCTGAGAAAGCCGGGCAAAAAAGAAAATACAAGGAAACCCTTGTGATGCATTTACTGTCTCCTGCTGGTGCCCTTTTATTAGGCTGCTGAGATGATGAGAAACACATTCTGCTCTCTGGGCTACAATCAAAAGCAGCACTGGCTGTTCGGTCTTACGATTTCCTCTTTTTTGCTGGAAGATAGATTGTATTAAGAGAGCTGGAATCTTCCTTCTTCCTGCCAAATGGTAGAATGTCTCGTGAAAACAAAAAAAATCCAAAAATACACAGGGATAGGGCATCAATATATCTATATAATATATATAGTATACCAAGCTAAAAGGTTTCAAAAGGCTAGAGAATTCCTGGAAGCCTGTCACTCAGACAAATCTGCTATCAATAGGCACATAGAGACACACAACATCCACATACCATTCAAAAGAGACAAAAAACCAAAAAGAAAACAAAATGAGCAAAACATCACCCTGCTAACCTTTGGACCCTTCGTTTATATCAGAGGTACATTTGTTTGTGTGGTGTTTTTTTTTTAATGAAAGCTGAGAAAGCCAGGCAAAATACAGGTAGAAACCCTTGAAATGCACTTACTGTCTCCTGCTGGTGCCCTTTTATCAGGCTGCTGAGATGAAGAGAGACACATTCCACTCTCTGGGCTACAATCAAAAGCATCATCGGCTGTTCGGTCTTTCAATTTCCTCTTTTTTGCTGGAAGATAAATTGTATTAAGATTGTATTAAGAGAGCTGGAATCTTCCTTCTTCCTGCCATATGGTAGAATGTCTTGTGGAAACAAACAAAAAAAAAAATCCAAGGGTACACAGGGATAGGGGATCAATATATCTATATAATATATATAATATAACAAGCTAAAAGTTCTCAAAAGGCTAGAGAATTCCTGGGAGCCTGGCACTCAGACAAATCAGCTATCAATAGGCACATAGAGACACACAACATCCACATACCATTCAAAAGAGACAATCAAAAAACCAAAAAGGAAACAAAAAGAGCAAAACACCACGCTGCTAGCAATGAACACCCAGCCGATCAGAGATTAACACCAAGATTAACACTCTACCAACAAACAGGAAGTAAACAATGCCCCAGTGAAGAAAGTACAAGTCAGACAAGTAAGCTAACAGTAAACAACAGCCTAATCAGGAACTACTAAGAACTCTCTCACTAACAGTGACAAGGTAAACGCCTAGTATATAAGTAGACAGTATTTTCTAGTCCCTTCTAGCAATGTAATATATCTAGATCTATATGTATTTGTATATGTACGTATGAAATCCGTCTGTCTGTCTGTCTGTCTGTCTGTCTATCTGTCTATCTATCTATCTATCTATCTATCTATCTATCTATCTATCTATCTATCTATCTATCTATCTATCTCCCTCTTTACAACCCTGTAATCCCTTAATTCAGGGTAGAGTCAGGGTGACTGAATGAAGCTGAGCATTTATTGGTTGGATGCCCTTCCTGATGCCATGTGGAGTTTGCATTCCTTCTCTACACTCTCTTCCATCTCTGTCCACTGCAGTTCCTTACCTTCTCCCCCTTCCATTAATCCAGGTCAAATCTAACTACATAAACATGACCTCCTTTAATTCTGGTTACATCCTTTTCCACACATTGCTGCTCTTCATGCATCTGATAGAGAATATTATTCTTCATTTTGGCATGTAAATTTGGTTTGCTTGCTAGGGTACCTCTGTGTCTATAGTATAGGAAACACACATTTTTACTGGCATTCATGGTTCTTATTAAGCTACTCACAAAAACCAAACCAGCCTGTCCTTCTGATAAACAGGTAGTCCTTGACTTACAGCTGTAGTGAAGCCTGCCCACTGCAGTTGTAAGTCAGGATGGTTGTAAATCAGGTCACCACATGACCAGACTCATTTTTACTACCTTTATGGTGGTCGTTAAGCAAATGCTCTGGTTATAAAAAAACTGCCACAGTCATTAAGTGACCACTGTGGTCATTAAGCAAATCTATTGTTCACTTGGTAGGTAATTAGTTCCTCCCCAGTATAGAACAGTATAGTAGAGGAAAAACTTACTACCACTCTTAGTTTTTTTCCCATAATTTGCTGGAAACTTACAAGGATCTCTCTGTAGTTCAGAAGATAGAGTAGCTATAGAAAAAAAAAATAATCAGTTATGATTTTGCAAAAAAAAAAGTTCTGACATCACAACAATATTAGCTAGGAGAGGAGCAGTGCTGTGCTCCTCATTTGAAGGCAAAAATATGCTTGGGAGCACATAAGGGGCACGCCTGCAATACCACTTTGCACACATTTCTTCCCTAGGTTATACACCAGTTACAGAAAGTCAATTCCAATCCTATGCAATCCTGAGAAAAGATGGACAGTGTGCGTTTTAGTGAGAAACATTCTTCTTTTTCTTCTTGTGCCATATCCGTTATTGGACGTTGGCGATCCTGTTTTTAATCGTCCTTCTCTTCATTAAACTAGACATGCCCAATTCCAGCAACGTTCCTTATATGTTTTAGCCTCCAGTCCCCTGATCATCTTTCTTGCTCTTCTCTGTACTCTTTCTAGAGCAGTGGTTCTCAACCTTTTTAATGTCACGACCCCCCAACCGGTTGTAAGTCGAGGACTACTCAACCGGTCGTAAGTCGAGGACTACTCAACTGGTGCAGCACCGTTTGCAGAATGGGACTTTTGGTCGGCTTAGCAGAGCAGAGACAGCCTGGACAATTCCTATTGGCTTTTGAAAGCCAATAGAATTAGACTCTATTCAAGAGAGTCTATTCTATTGGCTTCCAAAAGCCAATAGAATAAAAGGGAGTAGCACAGCTAAGGAAAAGGGGAAAAAAATGGTGGACTGTGTTGTTTGGTGACCCCCATGAAATGGTCATTCGACCCCAAATGGGGTCCCGACCCACAGGTTGAGAACCACTGTTCTAGAGTCTCAACTCTTTTTTACATAGTAATTCAAGGTGGCTAACATACCTAATACTCTTTCTTCCTCCTATTTTCTCCACAACCCTGTGCAGGAGGGATACTAGCCCAAAGTCACCCAGTCAGCTTTCATACTTAAGGCGGGACTAGAACTCAGTCTCCTGGTTTCTAGCCTGGTGCCCTAACTACTGGACCTTAATAGTCATTATTGGCTGGGTTTTCATGTGTTAAACTACACTGTGGCTTAAAAAAATGCATAGACCCAGACAATATTTTCTGCTTAAATTGAAAACAACCTCAATAGAAGCTTGTTGTATTGCTTGGATTGCTGTTATTCACCTTCTCTGTTTCCCATTTTCTCTCTTGCCCTAGCTGCTGTTTTAATGTAGTGCTCTAGGCTGCTTTGAAAGGTTCTCATGATAGGAAGGCAGGACTCACCTCTTTCCAAAAATAAATGCTATCTTCAGAAACAGGAACTAGAATACAGCAAAACTAATCAGTACTTTTAGGAGCCTGCATGTAAGCTTCCTTTCTGTTCCAACTGCATGGAAGGGATCTCTCAGTTTAAAAACCTGTTCCTAAATGTATGTTTAAACATTATCAGCTAAGCTCATACCTTTGAATTCCCCCAGAGTACGTGTGACAACCTCATTTTGTCTTGTTTGATAAGCAATCCCTTTTTCCACTTCAGGAAGAAGACCATCTAACTCTTGATATTTAGTTTGCCTAAAATAGGAAGGAAACATTTATATGCAGATCAGGTGGATGATTGTAAGCTGAAAGAGGCCTATATAGACCATTCCTATCATTTTTGCCCTAACATATATCAGGAAGCCATAAAGTATCAAGGGGTAAACTTGCTGCTTGGTCAAAGATATTATGGAATATTTGGAGAGAGTTGAATGCTAAGTCGGGCCAAAGTACAGACGGGGAGCTGGGTTTTAGGGAAAGTTTAGCAGGTTATACAATTTTTGCACATGGATTTACACTCGTTTTCATTTGATTTCCCCATCTCAAAATGGTAGCCATCAATGTTGTGCATGCTTGATCACAGGGGCCTTTGTGAACTACGGAAAGGAGAGTTGTAGACTGCAATAGTTCAGCTACTTGTGTTAACCATCTCACAACAGAATAAAAGAATATCAGAGTTGGAAGGGACCTTGGAGGTCTTCAGGCAGGAAACTCTACAACATTTCAGACCAATGATTGCCCAGTCTCTTCTTAAAAACCTCCTGTGTTGGAGCATTCACAGCTTCTAACTTATTATACTTAAGAAGGAATGGATCTTTTAATGAGCTGATGGCACCACTGTTTTGCTCATCAGCTTTCATTTTAGTTTCTATTTTATGCATTTCTTAGATAATCCAGCCCTAATCAGAAGATAAAAAGTCAAATACCTCATTGATGCAGCCTGCATCACCTGGGAAAGGAAGATAAGAAATATTTTAGCATTATGTAATACAGAGTCTACAACAAAATCTTGCCACCTGATTTGGAGCCTCTAGTTCTCTTCCAAGATGTTCCATTTTCCCTCAGGACTTGGCTTCTCATTTCTCTTTTAACAGACCTTCAGCATGCTGTGGTTATAGAGTCTGCAAAGTCTCCTTTGAGTTTTTTCTCACCTTCCCCTAAGCCAGTGTTTTCAACTTTGACAGACAGATGGATCTCAACTCTTCAATGCTTGCTCGGGAATTATAAAAATCAAAGCCCACCCATCTTAAAATTGCCAAGGCTGAGAAACACTGCCACAAGCTTTTCTGATACTTTTTCTTTTATGGAAATGATGCTATTTCAAAGACCAGTGTCTATTTTCATTAACACATAGCACATAAACTGTCTGGTTTTAACCATGGTTTATAGAATAAGTCATAACTGTGTCAATCATAATTTTAAAACCACAACCATAAGTCAAAACAATGTGTGAATCCACCTTGCCTTAGAAATATGGGAGAGGAAGTCGACTTTTTTTCTATCATATGATGATGATGATGTTATCTATTTAGTCACATCTGATTCTTGGCGATTCTATGGGCCAGGTCTCTCCACTTCTTCAGATCTTGCACTACTTCTTTGAGTTGTTCCTGACATATATCACTTTATAAGCCTCTCTCACGGGTATCCCACATGGGAAACAATGACTTTGTTAAGCTATTTTTATCTAACTTTGCCTCCCCCAAGGCACCTTCCTGGTCATGCTGCTAGGAATATGCAAAACCAATAAATCTAGTGGGACTAGTTTGGGAAAGAGAGATCTCCAATAAAACAAGGACTGTCTGTTTCTTGGTTCTCTAGATCAGGGCTTTTCAACCTGTTCACCCATGGTACCACTTTTAGGATATGGCAACATCCGAGTACCACCCGTCGCCTAGCAAGGTGTCAAAAACTTGATGACCAAAAAAAAAAAAAGGGAAAAAGTGATAAAGTACAGGTAGTCCTTGACTTACAACAGTTCGCTTAGTGACTCTTCGAAGTTACAATGGCACTGAAAAAAGTGCCCCCAAGCCACAGCCAAGCAAGATACCTGCCTGCCCACCCGGCGGCGCTCTTCCTCCTGTCCGAGGTTTTCATTGTTGTGAGCATTTCTGTTGAGGATTGGCAGCGGGGATGGGGTAGGGGTGGGGGTTTGGTTTTTATTCCCCCATCTGCTGGGTGGTTGCAGCAGGTTTTGGTCACTTCACATGACCCTGGGACACTGTGATCCTCATTTAATATGAATCAGTGGCCAAGCATTTGAATGTAAATCACAAGACCCTGGAGATGCTGCAACATTCCAGCTGATCGGCGCTTCTTCTGGGCTCAGCAGAAGCGCCAGGATCAGTGCTGAGCTCCAGCTGGAGCCTGGCGCTGATCCTGGCACTTCCACTGAGCCCTGACAGCCCCAAAGAAGTGCCGAGCAGCTGGAAAGTGGCACTGATCCTGGCGCTTCTGCTGTGCCCTGACAGCCCTGCAGCTCCAGCCATCTCTCGCTCAGGCTTGTGCGGTGCTGCCACCAGTTCAGCTCATTCCCCTCCCCCGCTACTTTTCTAGGATGGTCGCGTACCACCTGCCAGGTGCCAATGTATTACAGGTGGTACCCGTACCACTGGTTGAAAAGCCCTGCTCTAGATTTCAAGAACTATCCTAGAGCTATTCTCCAACCACATCTTTGGTAAGATAACGCTCATTTACCCCGGAAGAAAATAATGTCAACTTTCTAACCTGTAAAAACTCAAGCTCTACTGTTGACCCTCTTTCTTCTGCCGTAGTGATAAGGCTATCCAGGCAAGAAATTTCCTCTGAAATTGTGGCAGTACGAACTTCCTGTTCCTTAACTGCTGTCTGGAGTGACTTCCACTGGTCCAGCAGCAGTTGCTTCTGTTCCTCAAGGAATTGATAAATCCGCCGAAAGGCCAATGACATTTTCTGCATCTCATCACTGATTGTATTCTGCAATACATTCCAGCAGGGAAACATGGTTACTGCTCTGAAAGACAGATTGAGGACAAATTCCCCTCTGCTAGTAGATAAATTGAAGAACCTACCAGGGCTTTTTTGTTCCTCGCTGCATTCGTTGCCTGAAGTTTAAGAAGTTTTTCTCTTTTTTTCTTCAAAGATATTAGTTGGTCCTGGAATTCTTGCTAAAAGAAGAACAGTATTTTGACTTAGTATACCTTGTGGCCTCAGATACCTACAAAACAAATCTTTAACAAGCCCCCTTACCCTCCCTATGTGGAGCATCTTAATCCAGCTAATTATTCTTGAGCCGAGTCTTCCATTCAGCACCTTTAAGATTAACCCAGCCACTCATGCAATATATCTGCACTCCAGACTTAATCACCCTCTATGTTCAACTTTCAAAAATAATATGGAAGCTATAAACTTGTTAAGATATAAATCATGGCCTTTAACTATGAATAGTCAAGCCTGTACTGAAGTTCAGCTCTTGAAATCCACCAGCTGGGATTGCGCAATACCTGATAGATTATTGAAGACCGAATGCAACTATGGCAAAGTTTGGTCTACATTATAGAATCCCCAAGATCGTTTGAAGAAACTTTTGGCAACAAAAATGATAATAAAACAAAAAAAAAGAGCCTGCTGTAGATCACAAGCACAGGCTTTATTTGCTTGCTTTGGTTTTTTTTTTTTTTGAAGATTGTTATCACACAGCATTTTTTTTTTATTGAAAGTTTTATAAATTTTACAAAAAGACAAAAACAATACAAAACAAAAAACAACATATACAAAAAAGAAACTAAACATTACATATATATATATATATAAAAAAAAAGAAACCCCCCCCCATCCCCCACCCCTCACAAAAACCCTCCCTTCCCCCCCCTGAGCTTTCCAGAGCAGAATATAGGCTTAATTAAAAATTAAAAAATAAAAATAAAAAATTAAATTAAAAAATTTATATTTATATATATATATATAAAAAAATATCTATATATATATATAAAAATAAAACTTATAAAAAAGCTATGTGATATTTTTGTATACCCAATCTAAATTGTATAAATTTTATCCATTTGTCCCAAACAGCAAGGAACTTCTCTTGCGTTTGTTGCTTTAAGAAAGCCGAAATCTTTGCCATTTCCGCCAGATAAGCTACTTTAAGAAACCATTCCTGCAATGTAGGCAAAGATTCCTTCTTCCAATATTGTCCTACTAACAGCCTAGCGGCTGTAATCAAATTTAACATCAATACAACCTCCTTTGTATCACAATCTGTAACAATACCTAACAAAAATAATTGCGGAGTAAATTTTACCCTCCTTCTAAAAATTCTCTGGATATTCCACCATATTTTGATCCAAAATGCTTTTATCTCTCTGCATGACCACCAAATATGATAATAGGAAGCATCCTTATAACCACATCTCCAACATTTGGGTTGCACGTCAGGGTACATAAGAGACATTTTTTGTGGATCAAGGTGCCATCTATAAAACATTTTATAAAAATTCTCCCTAAGGTTCTGTGCTTGTGTAAATTTGACATTTCTCACCCAAATGGTTTCCCAAATGTCCAATGAGACTGGGACACCAAAATTCTGCGCCCATCTAATCATATCACACAGCATTAAACAGACACTCTGGCTAATTTTTTAAGTGTCCCCGGTGTGAAAAAAAACTCAGCACTGAGATCTCTAGTCAGATACCAAGAAAATGTAAAGAAAAAAACCCAGCGCAGAGCTCACCCTGTGCTCTATTTAACAGTCATGTGCCCCTTTCTTAGGGTATTATATATATCCCTGCAAAAATAGGTCTTGATTATTGCTTTTTCTGCCACATTCATATGTTGTAGCTTTTGTCTCATCCCCAACACAGAAATAAGGCAACCTTAACATCATCCTCAGCTGTTCCACTTTGAAAGTAATAATAACAATAACAATAATAACAATAAAGTTGGAAGGGACCTTGGAGGTCATCTAATCAAACCCCCTGCTCAGACAGGAAACCCTATACCATTTTAGACAAATGGCTGTCCAGTCTTTTCTTAAAAACTTCCAGTGTTGGAGCATTCACCGCTTCTGGAGGCAGACTGTTCCACTGGTTAATTGTTCTAACTGTCAAGAAGTTTCTCCTTAGTTCTAGGTTGCTTCTCTCCTTGATTAGTTTCCATCCATTGCTTCTTGTCCTGCCTTCAGGCGCTTTGGAGAATAGCTTGACTCCCTCTTCTTTGGGGCAGCCCCTGAGATATTGGAATACTGCTATCATGTCCCTCCTCGTCCTTCTTTTCATTAAACTGGACATACCCAATTCCAGCAACTGTTCCTTATATGTTTTAGCCTCCAGTCCCCTAATCATCTTTGTTGCTCTTCTCTGCACTCTTTCTAGAGTCTCAACATCTTTTTTACATCGTGGTGACCAAAACTGGATGTTTTGGATATTCTCCTTTACCTGTCAATACAACTTTTGCCATAGATAAATGTCTTCATCATTGTGTCCCAAGGAGCTCACAGCATCTGGAGCTAAAGTAGATGCCCTGGGTGACAAATGTGGAAGCTGGCCGAAATTGCTGAAGAGCCTGGGCCTTTACTTCAGCCTTCAAGGAGTACCACTGTGCAGGGTGACCAAAAGTGCAAGGATCAGTGAAAGATAAGTGGGCGGGGGGAAGGAATTGGTGCACCACTGTGGTCATAAGTGCAGGTGGGCTGCCAAGCACCAGAAGTATGATCACATAACCATTACTAATTGCCAACCAACCAACTTCTATTTTTTCCCCCAGTCTGCAGAAAGCCACGAAGCTAGTATACTAAACACGGCAGACAACAAATGAAGAATGCATGAAAAAGTGGCCTACATTTTAGCTCTCACAGCAAGGAATATGCCACCTAACATTGTGTGATCTTACCTCCACAGGAAACACTGTATGGTCCTTGTGCTCTTTTGATTTGTCACACACCATGCAGATTGCCATTTGATCATTTTTACAGAAAAGTTTCAATGGTTCCTGGTGCTTCTGGCATATCCTCTCTTTTGTCTTTTCTTTTTCTTTGGCTTTGTCGTTCAGCTTTGAGACAATTCTGGCAATGTTTCCCAGTTCTCGGTTGGGCTTTAAGATTCTTTTCCAGCTGATTGCTCTACACTGAGAACACTGGAAATATTTTTTGTTAATGGAAACCCAATATTCAGTAATGCAAGCTCGGCAGAAGGTGTGCCCACAGTGTATGGAGACTGGGTCACGGAAACTGTCTGAGCAAATGAAGCAGAACAGTTCTTCTTTAAGTCTTCTTATCATTTCCTCTGTGGACATGACTGTCTGTGCTAAACACTGTTTCTTTCTGCTGCTGTTGCTAGATATCCCTCTGGGGAAACAGTGCTATGTTCTCACTGCTTTCACTAAAAAAATAAAGATTCTTTTGTCCTCAAGGTTTATGCAAACAAGAACAACATTAACAAAACTTCTGAATTAACCCGATTGCAGAAGACATCAGAACTTCACATGGGAAAAAAAAAAGAGAGAGAAAAATAGTTTAAAAAGTTAAAATCTGCCATGGAAAGTGCAAGCCATGTATTATGGGCTCAAACAAGAACCCCAAAAGAAATAATTGAACAGAAGTAATCAGGAAGGGCTGGAAAAAGTATTCATGTATCAGAAGTCAGGGTGGGTCCTCCCTATTCTATAAGAGGTTTTGTTGAGGCTGATTGGCAGAACTCCAGATTCCTGGTTAAAAAGGAAATGTGAAAGGATTTAAGCCACTCCTCTAGTAATAAGTGCTTTAAGTAAATATTTAGCAAAACTAAAAGCAAATAGACACATCAGAACACTTTCAATATTCTGTTTATGATTATGTTTCAAGATAGTTGGGCAGAGCTTGCTAAAGCTGTGCTTCAACATTTAGTGGGTACAGCACAGCAACCTGGGTCTATTTTAAAACACAGTCTTTTTATAATTAATTTCTAACCAATCACATTAATAATTTTGTATATTCTTGATGCTTGACTATGAATATATTGCTTTGTGTGTATCTTGCCAATGGAGTATTTGCTTGAATATATTGATGTGCTTGATCCGGCTTTGCAAAGCCTTTATTTATTTATAAATATTTATATTTCTTTATAAATAACTCGGCAGAAAACATACCTATTACTTTCCTCCTCCTATTTTCCCCACAACACTGTGAGGTAGACTGGCCTGAGAGGAAGAGAGTAACTTACTGGCTCAAAATCACCCAATCTGTTGTCATGCCTAAGACAAGAGTACAACTCAGTCTCCTGGTTCTAGGCCAGCATGTTAACCACTATTCAAGTGTTGGGAGACTGAAGAACTGAAGAACTGCTTGAGTAGTCAAAATGAACCCCAATATAGGAAGGGAGAGAAAACCTGTCAGTTGCAAATGGGATGGAACAGAATTCCCCCCCACACAGATTTTTCTCCTACAACTATAGACCTCATCCTGTCCCCCTATTGGCAATTGGGACATGACAGTTGAAGTAAAGACAAGGATAGAAAAAGTCCGAACAGCATTCTTCAAAATGAAAAAGGTCTTCTGCAGTCAGGACATAAGCCTAAGACTGAAAATCAGGCTTGTCAGATGCTATATTTTTTCTATCCTAGTCAATGGAGTAGAGCAGGGCTTTTCAACCTTTTCACCCATTGTACCACTTTTAGGATATGGCAACATCCGAGTACCACCAGTCACCTAGCAAGGTGTCAAAAACTTGATGAAAAAAAAAGGAAAAAAGTGATAAAGTACAGGTAGTTGACTTACAACAGTTCGCTTAGTGACTGCTTGAAGTTACAATGGCACTGAAAAAAGTGCCCTCCAAGCCACAGCTGAGCAAGACATCTGCCTACCCTGCTCTTCCTCCTGTCCGAGTTTTCCATCGTTGTGAGCATTTCTGTTAAGGATTGGCAGTGGGGGTGGGATGGGTGTTTGGTTTTTATTCCCCCCGTCTGCTGGGTGGTTACAGCAGGTTTTGGTCACTTCACATGACCCTGGGACACTGTGACCGTCATAAATATGAATCAGTTGCCAAGCATCTGAATGTAAATCACAAGACCCTGGAGATGCTGCAACATTCCAACTGATCAGCGCTTCTTCTGGTCTCAGTAGAAGCTCCAGGATCAGGCTGAGCTCCAACTGGAGCCTGGCGCTGATCCTGGTGCTTCCACTGAGCCCTGACAGCCCTGCAGCTCCAGCCATCTCTTGCTCAGCCATCTCTTGCCACCTATTCAGCTCATTCCCCTTCCCCACTACCACTTTTCTAGGATAGTCGCGTACCACCTGCCAGGTGCCAATGTACCACAGGTGGTACCCATACCACTGGTTGAAAAGCCCTGGAGTAGAGAGTTGGTCTCTGACAGAAGGCCACCTGAAGAGATTAGAAGCATTTGAAATGTGGATTTACAGGCGGCTGTTACATATACGCTGGGTTGACAAGATCAGAAATAAGGATTGATAAGCTGTCTGGGAAAGCCAAGGGAAATCATCAAAACAATTAAAAAACGAAAATTAGAGTATTTTGGACATGTGATGCGACACCCAGAAAAATACGGCATACTCCATTTAATCCTCCAGAAAAAGATTGAAGGCAAACGAGGTCCAGGTAGAAGAACATCGTGGCTTCAAAATCTAAGGGACTGGTTTGGACAAAACTCAGCAGCACTTTTTCCTGCGGCTGCTGATAAAAAAAGGATCGCCAACATGATCGCCAACGTCTGATAACGGATATGGCACAAGAAGAAGAATTGGCAATGCTGAGAGCAGTCTCCCCCAGTTGCCCCTCCCAAATCTGAGGAAGGAATGAAGGAACCTAGAACTAAGGAAAAAATTGCCTAACAGTGAGAATAATTAATCAGTGGAACAGCTTGCCTTCAGAAGTTGTAGATGCTCCATCACTGGAGGCTTTTAGCAACAGACTGGACTGCCAATTGTCTGGAATGGCATAGGGTTTCCTGCTTGTGCAGGGGCGTGGACTAGAAGATCTCCAAGGTCCCTTCCATCTCTATTATTTTGTTGTTCTGTTCTGAATGCAATTTGCTAGTCTCTTCATCACCACCACCACCCCATCCCCATTTTCTAGCAGGCAGCTGGGATGGAGGACGGGAACGCAGCCGCCTAACTGGGTAGCAGCTTGACGTAGACCAAGCTCTTCCTCCGGGGGCTCGAACAGAGGGGTCAGCCCACCCCAGACCTCCGCAGCGCGGCTGCTTCATTGGCTCTGCAAGCCCTTCGCATCGGCCGTGCGGAGCTGAGGCGGGCGCTGCGAGTTTCCGTAAAGAGATGCTTTGCAGGCTTCAGGCCTTGTTCCAGACGCGCCTGACTGAACTCAGGGGGGGGGGGGCAACTGCAGCAGCTTGCGCCTTCTGCCACCTGGTGTCCCTCCCGCCCCAAATTCACCCCGATTTTGGAAATCAGGGTAAATAGACGGACTGACCAAGCCCCCTTCGGCGGCAGCACAGAGAAGGTGACGTTTCTCCGGCGGGCGGAGCGCGCAGATCAGAGCCATTCTTTCCATAGCTCTGTTCATCTGCAGCTAGAACTACCGGTACAGTTGATCCGAGACAAGGAGAGGGGGACCACTCGGTCGCCATGGAGAACCCGGTGGAAAGCCTGCACAAAGAAGCCACTTGCTCCGTGTGCCTGGAGTATTTCCGAGACCCGGTTTCCATTCCTTGCGGCCACAGCTTTTGCCGCGCCTGCATCACCCAGTGCTGGAAGGATCAGAGCACCAATTTCTCCTGCCCGCAATGCCGGGAAATTGCTCTGCAGAGGAATTTGAGACCCAACCGGGAGCTGGGAAACGTGGTGGAAATCACCAGGCGGCTGAGCTTGCACGCCTTGCAAGGCGCCGCCGGGCAAGAAGGAGAGGAGGGGAGGCCGCTATGCGAAAAGCATCAGGAGGCGCTGAAGCTCTTTTGCAGCGAAGAAGAAAGCCTCATTTGTTGTATCTGCAGAGAGGGGCGAGCCCACCGGAGTCACACGGTCTTCCCTATCGAAGAGGCCGCCCAGGACTACAAGGTATCAGGAAGCGCGCGCGCCCTCTGCCCCCGCACAAGGTTTGCGCGCGCCTGCTCTCCTTCCGGGCATCTCCAGGTCAGGTTTAAAATCCCTGGAGGCTGGGGGAGAGCAAAATCTTCCCCTGAACGCTGCTCCTATTTCACCTGCCTGCATCCTGCCTCGATCTTTTTAGCATGTGTAGAAGCCTGAAACAACTCATGTAATATTTTAACGGCTAGGTTTGCCACTTCCAGTGAAAAAAAATACTGATCTCTTTGTTAATTACAGATAAGAAATTACAGGTAGTCCTCGACCTACAACTGTTTAGTGACCGTTCAAAGTTACAGTGCACTGAAAAAAGTGACCTATGACTGTTTTTCGTACTTAACTACCATTGCAGCATCCCCATGGTCATATATCAAAATCTGGATGCTCAGCATCTGGCGTGTATTTACAATGGTTGCAATGTCGTGGGGTGATGTGATTTTGGGCTCAATTATGCTTGTAAGTCAAAGACTACCCATATATTTTAAATAAGAGGCCCCTCTAGGTATGGCTCAAGACAGGCTGGCATTTTAGATTTCCCTTGCAAAGAAAGATGTGTCATAACCCCACTTCATTCAGTGCAACATTCAGGTATTGTCCAGTGTTGCTTTTTCAGATAACCCCACCTTTTTGCCCTTGACATTTCTTTCAAGCTGCTTCTCGAAGTTGTAGAAATCTTTCCCATGCTCAACCACCTAATTCCTGATGTGATGCACAATCACAACCCTATCACGAGTGATAATTCCTGATGTGATGCACAATCACAACCCTATCACGAGTGATTATCTGTGGTCTCTGAGCCACCTATTAACCAAGTTCTACTTTGCATAGCATTTTCAGCCAGGTACTGCTAGGTACAAATCTGAGGAGGAAAGGGGACAATTAATTATAACTAAATATTTAAAATTCAGATTCTCTTTCTTTAGAAAGAAATTGAATGCCGTCTGCAGAAACTGAAGGAAGAACTCGAGAGACTTCTTCGACTAAAAATGGCTGGAGAGGTTAGACATCAGGAATCTCTGGTTAGTATATAGATTGTTGTCAGATTTCAGGGGCTTGCTGGATGCTTAAATTCTCCCCTCCCTCCTCCCCAAATGCTCTTTCTCTACTCTGTTACTCCCTCCCCCACCCCAGAAGTTTGTTGTTCTGTTTATGTAACACCAGGTTTCCTTTCCCTTGAATTCTTTATATTTTGGAAAGTACAGTTTGATGGAAAGACACTAATTCCCACAATGGAAGAATAACAATAACAGAGTTGGAAGGGACCTTGGAGGTCTTCTAGTCCAACCCATTGCTCAAGCAAGAAACTCTATGCCAGTGGTGGCGAACTTATGGCGCCATCACCCCAACCCCGCCTCCTCCCATGGCCCCCTCCTCACCAGAAGCCCCCCTAGAGGAGAGTTGCCCCCGGGTGTGGCCCATGTGGAACAGCGCAGCCAAGGACATGGCAGCCAGGCAGCGGGGACAAGACTCTGCCCTTGCACCCCGTCACGTGCAGATGATGCTGCGGGGCGTGGGCAGAGGGCATGGCCACCATGGTGCTGCTGGGCCACCTGCGGCAGGCTGTGGAGGCGGTGGATGGCCCACGGGGCGGGGACGATGTGGGGGGGGTGTGGGGGTTTGGGCACTCAGTCTCTAAAAGGTTCGCCATCACTGCTCTATACTATTTTAGACAAATGATTGTCCAATCTCTTATTAAAAACCTCCAGTGTTGGAGTACCCAGAACTTCTGAGTGGATGGAAAGAGTGGATGGAAAGGGTGGCAGAGTTAGCAAAGATGGTGAAATTTACTTTTAATTAATGAAAAGAATTTAATCGAGTTTTGTTTCTACTCGGAAACCACTTTTGGACTTTTTGCTTGAAACTGTAAAAAAGTAAAACTTGGATTTTAGGTTTTGTAAATAAAGAAATGGCTTGAAGTACCATGAAATATAAAGCAAAAGTTTAAAGTTACATATTTTTGTAATCTCCTGCACCAAAGAAAATTGGAAGTCGTTATCATTTGCTTCTCTCTTTGCACTTTTTTCCTTTCCCACCGTTTTTTTAACTTTTCTTTCTTCTATATTTTTATCTTATAATGAAACTTAAGAAAACATTTAAAAAGAAAACAGTACACTTCTTGGAGTTTTGGGCTGTCTCTCATCCTGACTGTGACCTGGCCTGATTAGCTGCTTTGCCCATCTTGACAAGCTGGGTTCAAGGCCCAATAACTCAGATCCTTGCCTCTTATTTTAGGAAATTGCATCTGGACATCCAGTGACTGCTTATCTTCTGAAAACCTTTCCCTGCCCTTTTCTCATATCCATCTCCCTATTAAACTACAGAATCAAACAGACACCGAGAGGCAAAAGGTGGTGATGGAATTTGAGCAAATGCACCACTTTTTGGATGAACAGGAGAAGCTTCTGCTGGCTCAGCTGAAGGAGATGGAAAGGGAGATTGTCAAGCATCAGAAAATATATGACACGAAGGTTTCTGATGAAATTGTTGCTCTTACTATCCTGATTGATGAGATAGAAGAGAAGCTGGAGCAGCCAGACAGTGAATTCCTTCAGGTGAGAGGGGTAGGCTTCAGAAGGGAACCTTGAAAAAAAGGTGTGCCAGATACATTGTGATGAAGCCTTACGTAGCTGTCCTGTGTGACGGGGTGGACCCTCTTCACTGGAGGTGTTAAAACAGGCAGGACGGCCATCTGTCAGAGATACTGTAATTGCAGATTCCTGCACTGGGATTGGGTTTTGACTAGATCAGAGGTAGGCAACCTTGGCTCTTTTATGACTCGTGGACTTCAACTCCCAGAATTCCTGAGCCAGCATGGCTGAGCTTGGAAACCTCTCCCTTTCCCCTCAGCATGGCTGGCTCAGGAATTCTGGGAGTTGAAGTCCACGAGTCATAAAAGAGCCAAGGTTGCCTATCCCTGGACTAGATGATTTCAAGCTCCCTTTCAATCTATATGTTCGACGATTCTATTATATAAAGAAGTAAATAGAGAATTCCATTGGAAGGAATGGTTTTTGATTTGAAGGGGTTATTTCTCAGTTCCTACAGAAAAGTCCACAAAGAGAAATACTTTTGGAAATTAAAAAAAAATCTATATTCTAAAAGCACAGACAGAAATAGGCACCTGCGTGACTATCCTGTCTCCTACCTAACCCACCCAAATCTCTAAGCAACAGAAGTCGAATCTCATTCTGTCTTGACTACCATTTTGTATGCAGTGCTTTTTACCCCAAATCCTCATAAAGCATTTTTTACAAAAAAAATCTGCTAATAACCCGAAAGCAAAAGCTTTTAATCCTTTGTGTTTGTTTATTATTAGTATATCTGTGTTCTTGGAGAGAATAAGTTACAGAAACCCTGCTGTGTGACTCATTGCTAGTATTTCAGATCAGAAATGGAACTGGGGATTGTTTTGATTTCAAAAATTCCCCTATCTTTACTTAACAATCAATGTCAGTCCATTGCAGATAATCTCTGGTGAAACCTCTTTTTGTGCATGCACGTTGCTTGGATGTTTAAATGTGTAACATCAATAATGTCGAATGAAAAAAGTTAGAACATGACTGTTGTTGAGACTAACTTTTGATGTTTCACCTCATCCTTCCTTCCTGACCCACAAAGCAGTATAATATTTTGTATTGATGTGTTGTTGGGAGTTCAAAATTGTATGCATTTAACATTTCATACCATCTGAGAACATACTACAGAAATAGCGAACAATATTGTTAGATGTACTTTTTGCTAAAATTTGCTCTACAAGTCCCCCCATGATCACCAACCTTAGAACTGTGTATTATCCTATGCTTTCATTCCGATTCATTCATTTTTCCACGGGGGTCCTTTTCCTTATAATGATTAGAGGACAACCTAAAAGCGGTTGCATCAGTTTCTCAAATATACTTTCTCTGTTCTTCAGATATAGTGGCTCTAATGAGAATCAACTGTTATATTCATTGTCATGCAGAGTTCCTGTCTTTCTCTCCCCACCCACACTTCTCTTTCTCTAGGATATCAGAAGCACATTGTGCAGGTATGTGGCTTCACACTCGCAACTAGAGGCACATTTTCCTCAAAGGTGCCCTTGCTTTTTGGGGGGCAGATAGTTTGCCTTTGAAAGCTTTTGGCTTCTGCATTAGACGTTGACCTATACCAAGGGACTTCAAACTTGGCCCTTTTTATGACTTGTGGACTTCAAGTCCCAGAATTTCTCAGCCAGGCATGCTGGCTGAGGAATTCTGGGACTTGAAGTCCACAAGTCATAAAAGGGCCAAGTTTGAAGACCCATGACCTATACAAAGGCTGTTCTTTACAGGCATGGTCATAGGCATGGTCCTTGACCAGCAGAAATCTAGCCTGCCCCCCCCCCCAAAAAATCTGCCTCAGTGATGTGGTTGGTGGCTGTTTCTGCCTTTAAAGAGTTTTCATGTGGGACAATTTAAGGCAGGGGTTCTCAAACTTGACAACTTTAAGACTTGTGGACTTCAACTCCCAGAGGCTGAGGAATTCTGGGAGTTGAAGTCCACAAGTCTTAAAGTTGCCAAGGTTGAGAACCCCTGATTTAAGGGAAAGTGGTTGGTGAATTGTCCTGGTTTTATTTCCCCTCCCATGAAGTGTCCTTAGCCAGCAGGAAAATCAGCCACTGTATTCTTAACATGTGATGAGTGGGCTTGGACAGATTCCTGGGATAGAAGATTTAGCTGCTTTTCAAGCTTGCTGAGTGATAGGCCATTGCAGTAGATTTTCTCTACATATGTATCCTATCACTTTCAGCTATTTCTGGTAGGGCACTAAACCAGTGTCTCCAAAATTGTCTGTCTGATAGGTTGCACATGCACTGCGGGGGAGTGAATTTCTATTTTGCCATAAGCTCCTCCCCTTTCTACATGACCTGATACCCAGGTTATTGCTTGGATAATGGCTTAACTGTCTTCTAGAAGAGCTCTAGACCCATATTCAAAAGTAACCCACTAACAGGTCACGGGACAAACAGAGGGATGTGGGGAACATCAAGAGAGAGTAGCCTCTCACTTTGATCTATGCCGTGTGTTGTGCATGCAGCCTGTCCGTCTGTCAGGGGAAGCAGGAGGGTGCAATCAGTAAGGAGTGCAAAGGGAAGGGAGGTTGGTACCTGATTGTGGCCAGCAGCCCCTGTGTCTGTGACCTGTTGCTCAAGCTGAAGGCAGAAGTCTTGTGACAATTTCACCCCACCAGTGTCCCAAGTTAATAAGTGCCACAAAGTGCAGCAAGAGACTGTATACCATCAGCCCTCTGAAGTAGGCCATGGAGCTCTCCCTGCCACACAAACCTGTGTGCAATCCCTTATCAGCAGAAGTAGTAGAAAACCTGTAACACATTCATTTGGGACAAAACCAGCTGGTAGAAATCCTTTTCCTTTAAATTAACCAATAGGCTAGTCCATTTTTTAAACACAACTTTAGTACTCTTGCAAAAATCAGTAATCTTTAAAACAGTCTAGAACTCTTCCAGGGAAACACAGTATTATAATGTAAGAGGTCTCTGTAAAGTCCAGTCAGGCAGTAAGGGAGCAGATGCCTCTGTGGCTTCTGCCCTTTTCTACACTGTGGCCCAAAGGTCCATGAAGAACAGTGGCCAGATATGTCTGCAGCAGCCTAGAATGGCCAAGAGGAGCTAGGCAGATCCCACCTCATGATAACCATCACCAACATAATCAGTGAAGCATTGGACGCTATTGCTATAGCAAATCTTATATTGGAAAGAGGAAAACTAAAATGAGAACAGTTAGATAGGATATCAGCTGCCTTCACGGTGGACTGAGATGAGATGGAAGGCAGCATTGTTAGGATATGTTCTGAAAAACGGGTTAGCGAAGCATCTTGGTGCAGAGACATGAAGATGGGTCCTTCTTGTCAGTTCTGACTACTGTAACTAGGTAGAGATTCTGTTGATCAGCCACAAGTGTTTTAAGAACAGAGTCTAGAACAGGGGTAGGCAACCTTGGCTCTTTTATGACTCATGGTGCTGGCTCAGGAATTCTGGGAGTTGAAGTCCATGAGTCATAAAAGAGCCAAGGTTGCCTATCCTTGGTCTAGAATAACCTGGGGGTTTGAGCTTTCAAAGCACAAGTTCTATCTCTGGAGTCGCCACTTTTGAATTTGCTATGGCTATCCTATTTTGCTTCTTTTCCGGGGTTCACCCAGGTCTGCTAACTCCACTGAAGGATGTCTCTAAGCTTCTCATGCTGCACAAGAGGAAGCTTTTCTTACAATAACGTGGGAAAAAAGATAACCAGAAATTGGGAGGTAGATAACCAGGATGGCATTTCAGAGAACTCTTGTCAAACATTTCTAGTTGCTATACAGTACTTGGGCATAGATGGGCAAATTTTGGAGAGAGGGAAGTTTTGCTGGTCATTTTGAGAGCCTGTCCACACAGTTCTAATCAACGTCCTAACAATCCTAATTAAGACTACAATTATATTTCATACTAATAGCAGTGTATATGCCACCATTTGGACACAAAGTAAAAATAGGTGAAAAGTAGGACACCTAGGAAACAAGGGAGGACCATGTGTTCACTAATAAATATTCACTAATAAATTTTCTAGATACAAAATGATGCATTGAGCCATGAAGAAATACAATGCCACAGATGAAAGACACATGAAAAAGGGCATGTTATTTAGATTAACTGAGAAAAACACCAATTCTACCCACAGCAACTTTAAATGTTATTATGATGGATAATCAGGAAGAAGAGTCCCTATTGTTTGGAATATTTTTTTCCCTTTAAGTGGTAGCACTACAGAGACAAAGTCTGCCTCTTTCAAAATATAGTAGTGTCAGTTTCTACTTTGTGCCAAAATATAGAAGAACAGCATAGCATGAGATAGGAAGTTATTAGTTGAAAGACATAGAAATTATTTACTGTTCCTTTTCATGGTGCAATGGTTAAAATGCCAGTCTAGAGACCAGGAGACTGGGATTTCTAGTCCCGCCTTAGGCATGAAAGTCAGCTGGGTGACATTGGACCAGTCTTTCTTTCTCAGATCAATCCCCCTCATAGGGATTTTTTTGTGAGGTAAATAAGGGGGGGAAAAGTATTGTGCATGTTCACTGCCTTGAGTTACTTATAAAGTAATAAAGATGGGATAAAAATCTAGTAAATAAAGTAAGTAAACAAACCAACAAATAAATAAGCTACAGCCCACACTGGGCAAAGATATGGCACTTTCTTAGGCCTTAGATGGCAGCTCATACTTGCAAACAAACTACTATTCTGCCTGAAGCATCTTTTCACAGACAAACAGAAATAGCAGGAAGATGGCATCAACTTGGGAACTAGATCCAAATGTCTACTTTGCACCCATATTTATATCAATAGCACCATCACTAGCCCCAAATAACTTTAAAGACAGGATTAGGGGTACTGTCACATGCTCTTTCTATTTGATAAGTATCATCATCTATATAGAATAAACAGGCCAGATTGTGCAAAAGAATGAATAAAATGCATGTTTGACTCTGGTGTACAAACCAGTGCAAAACTATAGCAGTGCATTTTAACCTCCCAGAACTCTTCTGAAACAAACTCCATCAGCATAATTGAGTAGGAGATTATGGGTCACATATATCAAAAACTTTCAGGCAATCTCAAATCTTAACATATACAATTGATTTGTAACCCATTTCAGTAGTCAATAAGGTACTTGCAACCTGCATTTGCATAACAACACTGTCTTCTTTCTTCCCTCTCCCTAATTTAAATCCATATTAATTTAGTTAAGTGTTTCTCAACCTTGGCAACTTTTAAGATGTATGGACTGCAATTCCCAGAATTCCTCACACATTTTAAAGTTACGGGTGAGAAACACTGATTTAGCCACTCCATCCAATTGATGAAGTGAGTTGCATTCATGAAAGCTTATGCCTTTTAATAAATCATACTAGTCTGAAAAGGTGCTGCCAGACTCCTGATTTGGGTTTTTTTTAAAAAAGTAACGGAGTATTTTGCCCTTGTGCAACGAAAAATGAAAAAAAAAACAGAGCCTAACTAATTGGTAAAAACTATAAATAATAGTCGAATCCAACAACAGTTTGCCCGGATCTATATAGTGCCTCAAAATTCTACTGTTGTAAAACCAGCTTCAATAATGCATTGAATCTAGATTTATAAATACTCTATTTACAACCAGTTGCTTAGTAACTGTAGAAAGATGCGATGGATCCCCCAAAAGCTATTTATGATCCGATTTTGGAGTTACAATGGCTGCATACCCCATCCCCTGCAGTCGTATGATTGCATTGGGCGTTTGGCTACTGGTTCATCTTTATGGCTGTTTGCAGCTTCCTGTAGTCATGTGACTGTTTTTTGACTGTTTTTGCCAATTTCTGGTGTTTATTTCTGGTTTCTGGGAAATAATGCCCATTGGGTAAAATAGATTTGCTTAATGACCACCAAACCCCCCCCCCCAAATCAGACCCAGTCACATGATGCCTCAACTTACAATCACAACAACTTATGACCATAATTTAAAGCTTAATTATGGTTGTAACTTGAGGACTACCTGTAGTAGTGCCTTAATAAATTCAATAAATAAATAAATGCACTGCCTTTACTACTGGGACTCCCATTAACCATGATTAACCCACCATACCAAGTCAATGTGTCAAAAATTTGGGTTAGGGGGGAAACTGCTTGAAAAAGGTAGCATATAAATCTTTAAATACTCTAGATCCAAGCCAGTGATAGGATGGTAAAAAAAAAAAAAATAGAGAGCAAACGGTACATTGATATGGACATCAATTTAATTTATAGTCAGTCCAATTCCTTGGATCTAGACTGCTGGTCATCCCCCCAAAAAGTATCGATGATGTTGATATACAGCATCTGTTAATAAGATGGGGCAGTTCATTTATTATAACTTGGTTCACAGGTTTGTAGATCCTGTAGGGTTGCAAAAGAAAAGACCGTCATTAGAATATTAGAATATTAATACTGCTAGTAAAGCAGCTCGACTCACTTCAGAAAAATTTCTCTTTTTCTAAACAAGAGTCATGCAACCTTTACTGACAATATTAACCATCTTAATCTCCACAAACATCAGCACCACGAGGGAAAAATGATCTGATCCTTCTCTTTCTAGGTTTGATAAGGAGCCCTTCCAAGTCCCAGAAGGGATGCCACTCAAGATGGAAAAGAGACTAGAAGAGTTCTCGGAGAAAAATACGGTGCTTGCAGAAATGCTGAAGAATCTCAAAGGTACAAAAATTCTGCTATATCAGTGATGGTGAACCTTTTAGAGACCGAGTGCCCAAAAACTGGCCCTGCCCCCGCTCCACCCCCTGACCCATCCCCACCCTGCTGCCTGCAGGGCCACTCACCACCTCCAGGGCTTGCCGCAGATCGCCCAGGCAGCCCAGCAGCACCATGGTGGCCACGCCCTCTGCCCCCACCTCACAGCATCAACTATGCGTGATGGGGTGTGAGGGCAGAATCTTGTCTACGTTGCCTGGCTGCCATGTCCTTGGCTGCGCTACTCCGCACGAGCCACACTCGGGGGCAACTCTCCTCCAGGGGGGCTGCTGGTGAGGAGGGGGTCACGGGAGGAGGCAAGGCTGGGGCAACAGCATGTGTGCCCACAGAGAGGGCTCCGAGTGCCGCCTCTGGCACATGTGCCATAGGTTCGTCACCACTGTGCTATATGAATTACGATTATACTCAGCAGCAAAACAATGTTACATATGTAGGATTCCCCCAACCAGCTGGCTTTACTTTTTTTAGGATTCTCTATGATGTTTCCTCCAGTTTTTCTACCTTTTCCTCTGCTACCTTCAGATAGCTATAGGTCCGTGGTGGCAAACCTATGGCACACGTGCCACAGGTGGCACACAGAGCCCTGTCTGTGGGCACACGCGCCCTCACTCCAGTCCTAGGCCTTCAGCTGGATTTTATAAAACCTTTTTGCTTTAGGTCTCCGCTGCCATGTGCAAAAAAAAAAAAAAAGTTCAATCAATCAATCAATTTCAACTTCTTGCGGGAAAAAAAAAAGATCTCGCAAAGTTGGAATTGATTGATTGAACTTTTTAGTCCTACCCAGTCTGCCGTTACCACCGTAGCCACGCCCACCCAATGGGCCATGTCTACCCAATTGGCCACACCCAGCCAATGGGCCACACCCACCCGCCACCCGACGATACATAAGTAAGTTTTTTGTTGCAGTTTGGGCACTCAGTCTCTAAAAGGTTCGCCATCATTGCTATAGGTAATGCTTGGCTTACAAACATTTGTTTAGTGACCGTTCAAATTTACAATAGCATTGAAAAAAGTGGCGTATGACTGATTTTCACACTTAACCACCGTTGCAGCATCCCCAGGGTCACATGATCAAAATTTGAATGCTTGGCAACTGGTTCATAGTTATGACAGTTGCAGCATCCTGGGATCATATGATCACCTTTTGCGACCTTCTGACAAGCAAAATCAATGGGGAAGCCAGATTCATTTAGCAACCATGTTACTACAGTAACTTAACAACTGTCCTACTTCACTAAACAACTGTGAGAAGAAAGGTCATAAAATGGGACAAATATCACTTAACAACTGTTTCCCTTGGGAACAGAAATGTTGGGCTCAATTGTGGTCATAAGTCAAGGACTACATGTAAGTAGGCATTCAGGGTTCTCTGGTCAAACTCTGACTTCACTGGGTTGTTCCAACAACAGGGAGGGGAGTCGAGCTTCAGACTTCTTTTGAAAGTATTACAAAATGCTCAAACAAAACAGTATATTTATTTTTCTCTAGAGCTTCCTGGTGAATGATAATAAGAATCTATGACATATTTGGATTTTATTCATTTCTTTCCATGCAATTTCCTGGTATTACTGCCAATTTCTTTCTGGTTAGAAATGACCTTGTATGTGTAATTTCTATTTATAAACCTTTTAGGTTTCTACAGTGATTTACATTTTTTTTTCTTTTGACTTATTATCCTGGAAATTAGTCTTCAAGAAGCACTCTAAAAATCTGTGATCTTAATTTGAATAAATATTATAAATGTGTTTAATGTTAAATCAATATTGCCACTTGCAAAATAGATGTATCAGTTAAATCAATTAAAAAAATAATTTAATATTTTTAAAAATACCACCATTATCACAAATTACCCAAATCTCTGAACAGTATTTTTGGGAATATATAGTTTCCCTCAAATCAAGCTCATCACAGAGTGATAGATTTGTTTTTTTTTTCTTGGTAGAAATATGAAAGTGGTTTAGCACTGCCTTTTTCTAGGATATCTTTTTCAACTTCCTGGCATAGTCTATAACCTGGGATTTCTGTTAGTCTTCTGTTGACATACTGCCCCTGTTTAAAGATCAGCCAAAGTCAACTAAGTTTTAGTACAATAAAACAGTATAGGTTTTTTTTCCTGGAAAAATTTGCTCTTCAATACTACCAAAATGGAATGTCTTCAGTCATTCATTGCAAGCACGTGGGACTTTGTGCTCAAATCCTAACATTTTAGTCATTTTTAAAATTAACAGCTTCTTCAAAATGAAATGCCCCCTTTATCTCTTTTTTTTTAGACACTTTGCCCTCAGAACTAGGAACCGAATGGGGTAAGTAAGTGACATTTGAAATAAAGTTTGTTTATGTTTCTTTGGCTCTGCAAGAAAATGATGGCTATTGGTTACAGAAAGATTTGACGTGTTAGCTACTTTAATGCAGCAGATTAAGCCTGATGCTTTTACTTTTGATTTTAAATTCTCAACATTCTGTCCAGGTGAATATTGCATGAACCTGGATGTGCTGTAGGTTTACCTTCAATACAGGGAATCCAAGATCAGTCACAGGTATTTAGCTGCTGTTATCTAATGGGATTACTGTATTTTCCGGCGTATAAGACGACTTTCTAAAGCATGCAAATCGGCGCTGAAGTTGGGGGTCGTCCTATATGCCGAGTCGTCTTATACGCTAGAAATTATGGTATTTTCCGGCGTATAAGATGACTTTCTAGGCATGCAAATCGGCGCCGAAGTCGGGGGTCATCTTATACACCGAGTCGTCCTATACGCCATAAAATATGGTATTTGCATTATTATTGTTTTGATAAAACAAGTGCTTATAAAAGGCTAAACTGGAATATGATAACTGGAATTAAATAAAATCTAAAAACAGGACCTGGATATGTATAACTAAAATGTTATTGATAAATGTATAGATTGACTGAACTTTAGCTAGAAATGTACTAATATGAATGTGATATAATACCTAAGGGAAATAGAGAGGGAACATTTATTGCTGTAAACTGAGATATCTATGTATCACTCTGTTATTGGATTATTGATTACCCTATCACCACGCTGCTTCCTAATTACCTGGTTGTTAAAATTTGAAAAGTTAATAAAATGTGTTAAAAACAAACAAACAAACAAGTGCTTTCATTTCAATGGTCTCATTCATCCTTCCCCTCTTTCTCCCTGCAGTTAACATAACCCTTGACAAAGACACAGCAAACCCCCAAGTCATAATTTCTGAGGATCGAAAAAGTGCAAGATGGGATGTGACTCGGACTGATGTGCCACATAACCCTAAGCGATTCAAGTCCTCTTGTTGTGTGCTGGGTTGTGAAGGATTCACATCTGGGAGACACTATTGGGAAGTCAATGTGGAAGATGGAGGCATCTGGGCGATAGGAGTAGCCAGGGGCTCTGTGAGGAGGAAGATAGAACTTAAACTCACCCCAGAGGAAGGGATTTGGGCCTTGCAAGGAGATTTTGGCCAATACCAGGCTCTCACCTCACCTGTCACTGCTCTGCCGCTCCTTTGTACTCCCAGGAGGATTAGAGTATTTCTGGACTATGAAAGGGGACAAGTAGAATTCTTCAATGCCGACTCAAAAGATTCCATCTTCCTTTTTCCCTCAGCATCATTTGCTGGCGAGAGGATTTTCCCCTTTTTTAAGGTGTTGCTTGCCCAGCTGACGCTGGATGGCTGAAGAGCTTCCTTTGAGGAAGATGCACCTGCATTGTATCAAGTCTGAATTTAAGAGGAATTTAAAAGAAGAATTATGCATGTTGAATGGAGTTCTGGTCTGCATTAATAGTTGCAAGTACTAAAAAGTGGAAGTGGTTCTCCAGATGTAATTAAGTGTAGATCAGTGAGATGACTTATTGCAATGGTTCTCAACCTTTTTAATGCCGCGACCCCCAACCGGTCGTAAGTCGAGGACTACTCAACTGGTGCAGCACCATTTGCAGAATGGGACTTTTGGCGGGCTCAGCAGGGCAGAGACAGCCTGGACAATTCCTATTGGCTTTTGAAAGCCAATAGAATTAGACTCTATTCAAGAGAGTCTATTCTATTGGCTTTCAAAAGCCAATAGAATAAAAGGGAGTAGCACAGCTAAGGAAAAGGGGAAAAAAATGGCGGACTGCGTTGTTTGGCGACCCCCGTGAAATGGTCGTTCGACCCCAAATGGGGTCCCGACCCACAGGTTGAGAACCACTGACTTATTGTGTATATGACACTGAACGTGGATGATGTCTGCACTGTAATCTAGGAAGTGAATTAGAATAACTGATTTTAATTATATGGTAGCCTGTAAAGTTGTGTAGTCTTGTCCCTTCATCTGTTCCTTGTTGTAATAGGTCTTTATCATTTTGTCAAAGAAGATGTCATAAACATTATCTGATGCCTTTGGACCCTATGGACTGAAAAACAAGGTGAAAATAATAAATGGAGTCAAATAAAATGACAGAAGAATAAGTGCTTTACATAGGCTTCAACATACTTGACTTTGTCTGATTCTAATGATAGAAACTCATGTTGTTTATTCTGATTGATGACTTTTTATAAGTTGCCTCTGCTAATTACTGATTTGATTTTATTAATATCAGTATAAGATTATTTTTATATACGTTAGTACTAATCTAATTTGAAAATTCTTGTTCAGTTTCACAAGGCTTTTAAATATCTTTTTTATTCCATATCATTTGTTTTCTGATTGTCCCTTTACATAAATGTTAAAATAAAATAAACATTAAAAAAGCAGGTGCTTCAATACTTGTAATCCTGTATTAGATTTGGTGTCTTGTGAAAAATTTGGAGGAATAAACTACAAATGTCTTTTCTGTGGCAAAGCAAGATTTCCTTTGTGAACTTTTCACTGACTTTTTTTCCTTGACTTTCATTAATACAAAATGATATACATCACTTGCATTATCAACCATTGGAGCAGAGAACATATTTACAAACATGCAAATATATGTGCCTACATAAACATGTTATATAGGGAACAAAAAATGAATCCTTGTTTTGAAGAACCGTTTGGAAAAGAAGGTTTTTACATAAAATGGCAGTTAATATGTATGGTGACCTATGTTATATTGTTTATGTGCCATCTGGTCATTTTCATATGCTAATAACCACACAGATTTCTCCATGACATTTTATTGGTAAAAATACAGGAATGGTTTAGCATCATGTTTCACACTTCATGAATTGATGACTTTGTCACTGTCACCGCGTGTGGTCGTTTGTATACTGCTGCCGAGTTATAGCCACTTGCTTGCTTCAAGCTGTGTGGCTTGGATGAGCTTCACACCTTGAGTGACCCTGCTGAGGATAAAGACTCTTAGCATGTACTGAATTCTTCACTCATCACTCCCAGGAACACTTCCTATTCCAGCCACAATGAGGCACCACACCAGAATATGTGTGTTTGGGGTGAGGGGCGATTATATTATGACTGTGAGGGGAAATGAAAGTAAGTATGCTTCCCCTTTGTCTAAACCAGTGTTTCTCAACCTTGACAATTTTAAGGCATATGGAGTTCAACTCCCAGAATTCCACAGCCAGCAATGCTGACTGTGGAATTCTGGGAGTTGAAGTCCACATGCCTTAAAATTGTCAAGGTTGAGAAACACTGGCTAAACCAGGGGTAGGCAACCTTGCCTCTTTTATGACGCATGGACTTCAGCTCCCAGAATTCCTGAGCCAGCTATAGCTGGCTCAGGAATTCTGGGAGTTGAAGTCCATTAGTCATAAAAGAGGCAAGGTTGCCTACTCTGGTCCAAACTATTTTGGATGCGCGCTGCGGTTCTCTAAATATTCTCCCTTGTTTCTGCAAAGCTGGATTGGTGGTGAAAAAAAATCTTATAAACGGAACACATTTCTTCCTCCATACTGTACATTCGTGTAAAAAAGTAATGCTTTCTTCTCGGCGTTGCAACAGACCGACAGGCACCTCTCCCTTCCTCCTCGGGAATCCGGTCTTTTCTAGTGGGGAAGGAACCCCTCGAGTCCTCGCCTAGACAGACGCTTCCTGGCGCGCAGATCAAGTCTCCCCAAAGCCCAGTGGAAAAGTCCGCCTTGGCGCTGGGAGCGTTTTGCGCAGGAACAGAGCCGCGCACTCTGCAGCCTCAGAGCCAACGCAGCTCGTGCAAGAAAACACGCGGCGAAGGAGGCCAGTGCAACCAGCGTCCCTGCCTCCCTTCCCTTTCCAGCCATAGCTACCGGGAGTCCTCTGGAAACTCTGCAGAGGACTATCACTTGCTCCATCTACCTGAGCTACTTCAAGGAGCCATTTTCTATCGAATGCGGGCATAATTTCTGCCAGTCGGGCATCATCCAGTGCTGGGGCCGCTCGGAAGGCGAGAGCCCCTCCTGATCCAAGTGCCGCTGGTGATCTCGCAAGAGGAGTTTCAAGTCCAACCGGGAGCTGGGCAACGTGGTGGAAGTGACCAAGCGGCTCCGACTGGAGAAGGCCACCGCCTCGCTGGCCGGCCAGGTTTTGCAAGAAACACCGGGAGCCGCTGAAACTCTTATGCAAGGAGGACGAGATGTCCGTCCGTGTGGTCTGCAGGGAGTCCCGAGTACATAAAATTGACCCCATGCTCCCCATCGAAGAGACGGCCCAAGATTGCAAGGTAAAGGGATGCGTCAACTGGGGGAGCCCCACTCTTCGCCAAAGCAGATGGTCTTTCTTAGCTTCATCTCGAAAGGGAGTCCAAGACCCAGAGCAGTGTTTGGCAACGGAAGCAACAATGGGTGAACTTGAACTCCCTCAGGCCTCCAGTCCTCCAGCTAGCATGCAAGGATGCAAAGCACTGGTCTAGTGGTCAACACACCGTGCTGCTGGTCTTTGGCCCTTTTCTGTATGTAGAAGGGAAATGAGACTGAATCCGCTTAGGGACCTATTGTAAGATTGGTAGGATCTCCTTTAAAATGTTCACCCTTTGAGGCAACCCAGACAGAAAACTAAAGTTGTAAATGCTAATTATGCTAATCACACAATCTTACTAGTCTGAATGTGCCTCTCCCTTCTTTGCCTTCACCTTTAAGAGAACAAGGGAGAATAAAGTCTCAGATACTTTCTCAAATTCCATTCTTGCTTTAGACTCTTCTTTTTCTTTTTGACAGTTCTTTTGAATTTTGGTTACTTTAATTTCTAGTGTGCTGTTTTGCTTCATTTGCTTACTCCCTTCCCCCCCATTTATAAATACTCCACCTAAGAGTGGCATATCAACAGCACAACCCCCCCCCCCCCAAAAAAAGGACAGCACTTAATAGCATGTCATTTGGCTAATGGTTGACGCCACAAACTGATACCACATTACTTTTATAATGAAGATACTGTTACAATACAATTTTCCAAATAAGAGGTAATCAAAACCTTATGTTATTCTGTTGAATTTTTTCAGCTCTGATCAAGATACACTTTTATGAATGTCAATATTGCTGAACTCAGTGTGTTCAGTAATGTGTGGTATTCAAGACTGAGACATCATACAGAAATTGCAAACTGCCATTGCAAAAACATCTAAGCGCATCCTAAACAAATATTTTCTCTCTATTCAGAAAAAGATTGCCATCCATGTGAAAGCTCGGAAGGAAAAGAAGAGAAAAACTAAAAGAATCCAAAGAAGATTTGAAGAGCAGAAGCCAGGCTGATGAGGTTGGAGATGGTTATTTCTGCTACTCAGTTCTGGCAGCTAAAACTTTTAAGGACGTTTGCTTTGGATACATATTGCACTAAATCATGTTTGCTTAATCATGATGATAATAAGGAAGAAGGGAGGAAAATGAGGTTGTTGCTGTAGGATGGTGGATGAGTTCGCACAATATGCTAAGCCAAAACAAAACTAATTAAATGGTAAGTTATTGGGACTTCTAATTATAAAGAAGTCAGAGAGCAGTATTCCATTATTTATGTTATGGTACTTGGTAAGAAGCAGCATTTGTTGTGAATTGCCCAGCACTGTGTTTCATAAGGTGGCTGAACATATAAATCTTTTAAATAAAAAAAAACTTTGTAGAATGTCATAGAATCAGCTAAACATTCTGCAGCATCTAGACAGTTTGTATTTATGCAACTGCTATTGATAAGCTCTGCCAGGGGTGTCAAACTGGTGGCCCATGGGCCAGATATGTCATGTGCAGGCCACGCCCACCCCAGCTCCATAAAGGCAAAAAACACCGTGATAAGTCATGATACATCATGTGATGCGATTGAGTTTGACACCCATGAGCTATGCAGTCGTAAAGTGCAATGTCATGTCACCACCTCACTTAGTGACAGCAATCCTGGCAGTCTCAGTTGCTGTTATAGCCCCAGGACCTTTATTCAGCCTCTTTCTTACAAGGATTGTGGTGGCAGAGCTCCCAGGCAGTCATTTTGTCTTCCCTTCTCCTTGCCTTCTGCCCAGTGATGCTGTTTAATTGGTAGTTGGGTCATCCAGACAACAGAGTAGGTCAAGAAAGGAGGGGAGAGAGCATATAAGGACTTTTAATCTGTTGGTTTTTTTTTTTAAAAAATCTTTCTATACACACACATTCCTTGTTGGTGGTTCAAAGTTACGACCACCACCCCAAAACTACATACAGTCCTGTTTCAAAGTTATGATAGCTGCAGTGCCCCTGTGGTCATTTGCCCTTATGGCAGACTATGAGGATAGGATGTTGTAGCACTCCACATCGCTTCACTCCCATCCCACTGCAACAGGACCCCACAGTTAGAGAAAAAAAAATATTAATGTCCAAATTTTGTGCAACAAAATCGAGAATGCTGTGTGCAAGCTTTAGTTGTCCATCTGATTGCCTGTAAAGGACAGTCTACAGACTAGCCTTTAAGTCCTTGCTAGGCTGTACAGTCAGTCAGTTGGATAGCTAAAGCTTACAAAGACCCCAGTATTTATTTTGTTGCACAAGTCCCTATAGTAATTGGCTAACTTTTGGAGATGAAATGGTTTTTTTCCCTCCAGGTCAAGAGAAAAAGTTGCAGGAAGATTTTCTTTCCTTCTTGCTTCTTTCCTCTATTCTTCAGCCTGGAGTGAAGGTAAAGTTTTTAAAAGGGATAGAGATTGGAGAGCAATCTTCTGACTTCAATTCTAATGGTCAGGCTCCATTACAGTTGTAACTCAAGGACTATGTGTATAATTTGAAAGACTTTCAAAGATTCTGCACTTTTATTTTTTTTTTTACTGCAAATAAAATATTAATACAATATATTATGGGGGATTTGCAATGTTGGATATTCTGAGCCTTGTTTTAATCTGTTTACTCAACTGTGGAATATATGCCATTCAGAATCATACTGATTGCACTAGCATATAAGCCCTAGTAATAAATGAAAAATATACATTTTAAAATATATATTTCTCAAGTATCCAATTTTGCATTACTTATGCTAATCATCTTTCCTGTTAACATTTATTTAGAAATAGGTCCTCGGTATTTTGATTTGTCTTTGTTTTGCTTCAGAATATTTAAGATAGCAACACGTTAACTGTTTTTTTTTAAAAAACCCGTATCTTGAAACCAGGCTCCTTCAAGTCATCCTTGATTTTATTTATATGACCGGTAGCTAAAATGGATATTTGGAAAACACCACATACCTGTATTCTTCAAACCCACCACACACTGAAACAAAGGCTTGTCCACCCTAAAGAATGGACACCAAAGCATAAGAAGAGTAATTTATTGTATGTAATCCAGTGCAGTGAAGAGTGTTCAGAACTCTACAAACAAGCAACCTTTACACAAGAGGATGGCCCAACACAGGAGAAGCAACACCACAGGGCCAGAATCAGCAGTATACCTTCACTGAAAAGAAAAAAAAGACTGTTTTGAGGACAATTGTTGACATTTTGGACAAGGAAGATGAAAGAGGAGTGAAGGAATCCATTTATGCCAAAGTGGAAAATTCTTTCCTCAGCAGAGGTATAAGACACAACCCGTTTCCCATTTTTTATGTTATTCTCATTAATCCCCAAGATTAAAACCACTACCAGGGGCACTAGGGAGGCCACATTTAATAACCCATCTAGGGTAAAGGATTTAGGAATATTGACATCCTAATGATTCTCTGCCCATCCAGATTAGGTGAGGAACGAAACCTCCTGGATGACATATATGGGGCCCCCATAACCAATTTGCTCAGATTGAAGGAGTTACTTGGATAAGCAGTAAAACATTTCAAACCAGCAAGGAAAGGTCCAGTTGCCATAACTTAACTTCTAAACAACTTTACCTGGATGATTGAGAATCTTCATCAACCTATTCAAGTAGCTCTTGCCTCAAGCATAATTTTGTTACTAGCTGAGAAAGGCATTGCAGTTTAGATCCATTGGCTAGAAATGGACAAAATATAAGGTATAGTTTGTTGAATTAAGTTGCAGTTGTAACTAAGTTTGTTATATTGGGAAATATATGGGAATGACTTAAATATTTTTGGACTGATAGGTAAAATTATATTTGACAGCATTGTAAATAATTTCTAGATTGCATCTATATTGACTAATTTGACATTTTGTAAGTTGCCGTTCCTTTATTAAGAGTTAATAGATTTGTACATTCAATTCAGAAAAAGTTGTGTCATTGCATTAAAATCTATTTAAATGAACATTCTTGTACATGTATTGATTAATAATATTAAGGATGTCCTTAACTGATTTGGAACTAAGATTAGAATTCAGCAGATCAAGAATCAAGTGTAGGTGTTCTTAAATAGGATTTCGCAGAAATCTCTCAATGGAGATTTCAGGAGATAACATGAAATTTGCTGATCCCTGTATTAAACACTTCCATTATAGTATGGTTGCATAAGGAGGGTTTTAAGTCACAATTGACTTGCTGGGTTCACATATATATCTGGACCAAAACTAGAAATTACAATACATCAGTATAATATGGTTTAGGTGTTATGGGAACAATATCAGACACTGCTCTTGAATTGATACATCTGATAGTAGATTCATAAGTTCCACCCAGCTTTCTATTTCAGGATTTTAATCTGAAAAGAACATCCAAAACATGTGCTATTTTTTTGTTGGCTCTGCAGAAAAATCATCAAGGAAACGGGATCATTCCTTTATGAATAAAAGTTGAGCTAAGTTCAATACTACATATTTAGCTTAATTACATTTATATTCCATCACAGTAATGCTGTTCTTCCATTTGCTTCATGGTTTATAAAATAACAGTGAATTTAATCTATAACCCAAAGTTTACAAATATTAGGACACAAATCACAAATTAGACCATATTTTTGCTTAGCAGTGTAGGGATTGTACAAAAGGGTATTCTTGTTGTTAGCCTAATTACCGACATTTTGCTTCAGTAAACTGTTCTTGCGTTAGGGACGCTATTTTGTGAAGGCAGGAAGAACACATACACAGACCCAGAGATAAGGAAAAGAGTGGGAAAGGAATGAAATGTGATTGGCTGATATTATGTGTACTGACATGGGTTCTTATGATTGGTTATTGTCTGTCTATATAAAGAAGTGCCTAACTTACCAGTGTGTGGCACTTCTGGATGCAGCTACCAGTGTTTCAGATAGTTTTCCACCCAGCAACTTCACTTGGCCAAATAAAGTTCTGTTTCTCTTGGAAGCCTCTGCTTGAGTCTCCTGATTTGCCCTTTTGGAACCTCAAGTTCTTTGGATAGCTGTTGACCCTTACAGCAGGATATGTGAAACAGACCATAAACATCAAGGGTAGTAAATCTTAATTTTGGGTTGCTAGAAGTTTAGAATTTAGTGATACAAGTTTAGTGATACAACACAATTATAATTAGCCAGCGCTCTAATGCTGCACAATGCACTTTGAAAGAAAAATATTCAGGTCCACTCCAAGCTGGGAATAAACAAAATGGAGGCTGCTTAGGAAAGAAGGTTCAGTTTATTGAACAGCAGGGATATCATGCAATTTTGAAAAAGCTGACAAAATGAAGCTGGGAATGATGGGTGTTTAAACCTTCTTGGGCTTTTCTGTTTGGAGTTGTTCCTGTTCCCATTGTTTTTTATTTGAGTTTTTTTCTGTTCCTGTGCAATGAACTTTGGGTATTCTAATGGTGATGGGTTAATCCTATTATGTCCTAAAGGTTATGTTCTGTCCTTGGGAGTCTTTGTTTTTCTAACATCAGCTCAAATTTTCCTGACCATCTTTCAGAACAGGATTATCAAATGTGCATTTCTACAGAGCTGGCCTGCTGAGTTTCTGCTTGGGGAAGACTAGGCTGTTTCTGCCTAAGATTTTCTATTATTCCTTTGGGGAAATATAATATTCTGCCTTTTTTTTAATATCCCCCAAAATATTTCCTTCTCTGGGGGGGGGTGCTGACTTCCTACAATACTAAAGTAAACTCTATGACAGGGCTAGCCACTGGGTTACAAATTGAGAGCAACCACCACTCCCTACTAGCACCAATGATGTTACCCGAGTTTGGATAACGAGAGGTCTGCAAGCCGAGATTACACCAAGAATCCCTCGTTTCAACTCTGAGCTCCAAATATTCCCCTTTATTGAAACTAATTCGTTTGCGATCCAAATAAGCGGACAATCGCCCCGTTTGGGGGACGCAATTTCCGGTAGCCCCAGCAGCCAGCGCGACTTAAAGCAACAGGAAATGAAATTCCACCAAGAGGGGACTTCCTGTTCTTTTGCTCTCCCTTCCGGCGCGCGAAGCGTTAGCGCCCTAACGACTCCCGTCGTCTACCTCGACGTCGCGTCAGCCGCGCCCCTTCCGCGAGGCAGCGCGGCCAATCGGGGCTCCCGCCGTAAGGGCCTCGCGCCGTCTTCGCGAGCGGAGCACATCGTGAGCGGTCGGCCGGCATCATGAGCGGAGGCCTGGGCGGGATGACGGCGGAGCAGCTCTTGCAGCAGAGGCTCCTCCGGAGCCGCCTGCGAGGCGCGCAGCACCCGGGCCTGTCGGTCGGCGGCCCGCTCCCACCGCCGCTGCTGCAGCCCGCCCCGCCTTGCCTGCTCTCGCCTCCTTCGCCGCCCGACTCGCCCCCGCCCGGCACGACGCCCGCCGAGATCCCCGCCGGCCCGCGCTACCCCAGCGAGACTTGGTGCTCCTTGTGCCGCGTCTACTGCCCGGATCCGGTGTGCCTCCCTTGCGGGCACAACTTCTGCACCGGCTGCATCGGGCAGCGCCTGGGCGAGCCGAAGATCAACATCTCCTGCCTGGAGTGCGGCGCCAGCGCCCGCAAGAGGAACCTCCGGCCCATCAAGCCGCCGCCGCTGCTGGCCAACCTGGTGGTGGAGAGGCCCAAGCGGCAGAGGCTCGACTCCTTTCCCGGAGCCGCGGCGGCGGCGGCCGTAGCCACGGTAGTCGCCCCGCCGAGCGTAGGAGTAGCACCCGCGGCGCCGTCGCCGGTGGTGACTGCCCCGACCATCGTGCCGCCGGCGCCCGTCGTCGCCAAGCCCGCGACCCCGCCACCTCGGGCCCCAACGCCGCCGACCCCTCCGCTGCTCCCTGCTCCCTCGCCGTCCCCGGCCGCCCCGTCCACGCCGCCCCCGGCCCCTCTCCCCATTGCCTCCCCAACAGGGAAAAGGGCGCCCGTCGCCCTCGGAGGGGCTGGAGATGGGAGCGGAGAGAGGCTGTGCGAGATCCACCAGGACGTACTGCAGTTCTTCTGCGAGGAAGACCAAACGCCGATCTGCGCGCACTGCGACCGATCCCAGGAGCACCGCGCTCACACCATCTTCCACGTCGAGAGGGCAGCCCGGGATTACAGGGTAAGGGTGAGCCAGGGGGCCTTCCGTCTAAACGACCCTGTCTTCGTTTTTTTTAAATAATTTGTTTTTATTCTTTTTGGGTGCTGTGAAAAATTACAGATCGGGAATGCCAGATAGAAGGACCAGTGTCTATTCAGATTGTGGTTTCCAGTTTACAATATGTTTCCCCAACATAATGTGATGATTTAATAGAGCCACCATTTGAGTGGACTAGGCAGCTTACAAACTTAATGATAAATTAAAATGGTTAAAAATAAAATAAAACAAGATAACCTGGACTAAAAACAACTATGAAAACAGCATTACCCCTATATATTAACCCCAAGCCTAGGACCAAAGCCTGGTTTTAAGGGCTTTTTAGAATCCCAGGCTGTACCATTTGTGTCTTTAGGAGAAGCTATCTAAAATAGTTATTGACCATGATAGGAAATGTACCTTTCCTAGGTGCCATAAAATAACATTTAATAGAAGGTATCAGGTAATGCACAACTCAAAGGTACCACCAGCCAGAAACAATGGGAGAAGAATGATCCCTCAGGAAACCAGGTCCTATGCCACACAAGGTTTTAAAAGTAGGAACCAGCACCTTGAATTGTGTTCATAAGCCAACTGGCAGGCAATGCAGCTCACTAGCAGTACCAACAAGAACGCCCCATTACTGTTCAGAGCACTGTGTTTTGAACCAGCTGAAGTTTCTGGATGGTCTTTAAGGGCATTCCCATGTAAAGCACATTGCAGTAATCTAAATATGAAGTGACCAGGGTTTGAATGAATTGTAAATTGATAATATGGTCATTTAAGTGTTAATTTGACCAAGTTATCTGCTGTGTCGACAACAGGGTTATAAATAAGGGTAACCAGCAATCTCAGAAGTGCTAAACACATGTTTGTGCAATGATCTGGAAGACATGACACTATAAGTAGTCCTCAACTTATAACCACAATTGAGCCCAAAGTTTCTGTTTCTAAGTAAGACAGTAGTTAAGTGAGTTTTGCCCCATTTTATGACCTTTCTTAGCACAGTTGTTAAGTGAATCACTGCAGTTGTTAATTTAGTATGGTTGTTAAATGAATCTGGCTTTCCCATTTACTTTGTCAAAAGATTGCAAAAGGTGACTCTGGGACACTGCAACCATCCTAAATATGAGCTTGTTGCCAACATCCGAATGTTGATCACATGACCATAGAGGTGCTGCAACAATAAGTCTGGAAAATGGTCATGTGCCACATTTTTCAGTGCCATTGTAACTTTGAACAGTCACTAAATGAATGGTTGTAAGTTGATGACTACTTGTATTGCTATTTATCTTTTTTTTTGACCTGCTTGTTTATTATGTTCATCAAAGGTTCTACCATTTGGGCCAAGTAAAGTGACAGCAATTGCCTACCAAGCTACCAATGTTTCTCTAGTGTTCCCTTTTTATAGCACTTAAAGCTTTCACACACACACACACACACACACACCATATACATAACAGTTTATTATATGGAATGCACAACATCTTAAATAATCATACTTCTGTTTGTAGCTTAATCTCACATATTTATTGATAGAGCTTAACATTAAGAAGAGACTGGACAGCTATTTGTCTGAAATGGTATAGGGGTTGGGGGGTTGGACTAGAGGGCCTCCAAGGTTCATTTCAGCTCTATTTATTATTATTATTATTATTATTATTATTATTATTATTATTATCAGCATCAGCATCATTATTATTTATTAATTAATATTATCCTATGTTTCTTTGACAAGACCGGGTTCAGAAGAGAAATTCTTGCTTTATTTTATTTATTTATGCTTGCTGCACTATGTTCTTACAGGTTAGCAGCATCTGACTATTTGATCATGAAAAGGCTAAGTAGCATTAGAGCTTAGTACATAGTAGAAAGACTGTCAGAGGATCCCAGAACTGTACGCTAGGTTTTGAAAGGTTTTAAAAAAAAAACAACCCAATTTTTGCTTCACAAATCCATGCAAGCATTTGAAAAGTCAACTGTCACCAACATTAGGCTCTTAAATAAGGGTGTCAAACTCGCCACGTCACGTTGCAGCGTATCGCAATTTTTTCCCCATTGCCGGAGCTGGGGTGGGCGCAGTTTCGGCATGACCCATCTGGCCTGCGGGCCGGCAGTTTGACACCCCTGCTCTAAAAGAACATTTGCACTAGGACCTTCTCTATTTTTAGCTGTAATGAAATAAAATCTGCAGCTGAATGAAGCATTGTGATATCTGGTGTCCAATATCAAGGTTTTGTGTATTGTATGACTTTGGTAATCTCTGGGACTGTGGGGTTGGGTAGAGATAGAATCAGTGCCCAAGACTCTTGAATTTTGTTTAAGAAGCAAGACTTAGCTTTATGGCTGTCACCAGTTATGAAGCCTAAAAAAACCCCAAGAGCATTCAAACTAGATTACTTGTAGTACTGAGAAGACATCAGAATTTTACTTTGTATACATATTTCTTTGGGACAGACATTATGACATTGGCCCAACAACATTCTCACCTATATTGCAATTATCCACTATAGTATTCCTCAACTTTTTTATTCTGAAGGACCCTTGAAATAATGTTTAAGTCTCAGGTTTCCCTGCATACAAATTATTATACGTATATCACCCAGAGTCACTCAATGAGGGAGATGGGCAGTTTCTAAATTTGACATATAAATACAGTATAGCACTGTGTGGCTTGCAAAGTCAATTACAACCTCTTGCTGAACCTCTAGCAACTTCTCAGGGACCCCAGTTGAGAAAGGCTAATCTAGTTTGTATGCAGTCCGGTTTGGTTCATTTACGGGTTAGTTTGTTGTCTGAACTAGCCAAGTGAGGTAATGTAGTTAGCCGAAGATTAGCATATTAGGTGAACGCAGGCTGCCTGTGCTGTAATGTCCAAGATCCTACTGCCTCTAATCTTCTCCCCCCTATCTCAAGCCATTTTTATTTATTCAGGAGCGGGTTAAGGCACAATTAGAATCCCTGAAGCAGGAAAAGAATGAACTGTGGAATCAGAAGCTGACAGGCGAAAAGAAAATCCAAGAATACACGGTAGGTGCCATTACATATCATGAGCAGAGAGGTAGGGCTTGATTTTCTGAATTCCTCTCTTCCTCACGTCTCCAACAATTCTCCTTGTGTGTTTTGATTCTCCCTTTTTTCAAAGTGTTCTATGGCCATTTCTTCTGTGTCTGCACTGTCTCTTATGCAACACCTACAAGAAGTCCTCAGTTGGGACCAGACTTTCCTTGCTAAGCAAGCTGTTGTTAAGTGAGTTGTGCCCGATTTTTACAACCTAGTTGTTGAATGAATCACTGCAGTTGTTAAGTGAAGCACATGGTCATTAAGAGAATCCCTCTTTCCCCGTTAATCTTGCTTGTTGGAAGCTGGCTAGGAAAGCTGCAAACTGGTGGTCCCATGATTCCAGAATGCTGTATAACACAAATCAGTTTTGCATTCTGCATCTGTAGCGATCTTCTGGTTACAATTCCTCATTGGGATGGTTCACTCCTTTCTCGTCCTGCCTCTTTACAGGAAAAGGTTCAAACTGAAAGGAAGGACATCGTCACTGAATTTGAACAGCTACATCAGTTCCTGAAAAAACAGGAGGAACGCCTGCTGACCCAGCTGGAAGAGCTAGATAAAGACATAGAGAAGCAGAAAGACGACATGATGACCCAAATCTCAGAGGAACTTTCTCGCATTGGCGATGTCATCACTGAGATGGAGGTGAAGTGCAAGCAACCGGCGAGTGAGTTTTTGCAGGTGAGACTTTGCAATCTCAAAAGGTCTCTCTCTTTCTGGCTTGGAGGTGAGCTTAGCAATGAGTCAGAGGCCCTGGCATTGGGCTCCCAAGGTTTTTGGATGTGAGGTTTGTGAATTCCTGGCCCTTTAGATACAGTTGGTCAAACGTGAACTTGGATGTGATCCCTGTTAGAACCAGCACAAGGATTCAACTATTTATTCCTCATGGGGAAAAAATAAAATAAATCTACCTATTGGCGACAGTGGGGGACAGGCCATATAGACAGGTAATGGGGGCTTCTCTGAAAAGTGTGCCCCCTTCCCTTTCTACTCTGCACAGGTGCTGGCATTGGCCTTTCTGGTTGATGTGGCTGTTTTGTGATGAAGCCAGATGAACTCAGTGGCTGTGGGTGGGAGTATTTTCCACCCTTGCAGAGTGTTGACCTTTCATGGGAAGACGAAGGGGGACCTTAACTAGTCTGGTCTGTGCTCTCGTGGCGTGGTGCCCCTGGACTTTTACAAGGAAGAGTTGGAGCTCTGGAGCTCCTCCCATTGCAGAATGCTATGACATCATAGCATTCTGCTGTTGGCAGATGTACTTCCAGGTCCCTCAGCCTGACCTGAAGGCTGTTGAGAAGCTGGCCTGGATGACCCCATTCCTTCAGGTTCATGTCGGGACCCATCGGGTATGGCTGCCATGCAGACCTCTAGTACGTACTGTCCTCCTGTTAATATGGGTTCTCTCAAGGGTGTTTGGGTTCTCGGGCTGCAGCCACTGCAGTGACGGGATGGGAATTCGATGTTGCTCCTAACATTTGGCCGACGGATGAGTGCATGCCTTCAAAGAGACAAGGGCTGTGGTGGGTGGGGAAGTAACTTGGGTGTCTAGAGGACAAGTGGGGTTTCTTTTGTGGAGAAGAACAGGAGGGTGTTGTGCCGTATGTGTGCCTGCAAAAAAGCCTGCATTTTCTGGGATCTCCTTAGGGTCTTCCTGTGGTCCACTCCGTGGCGAACATCATATGTAGCTATTCCAAGGATGTGAGGCTGGTTTATTTTAAAAATCGAGCAGCACCTCCTGCGCACTTGATCTCTTGGCACAGAATCCTTTTTTGTTTTGTTTTTTTGTTTTTTAATTATTTTGCAACCAGCTTTCTGATCACAAGCAACAAGGACAAGATTTTTAGGTAACCTGTGACGTGCAGAGAATCTCTCTGAGGCACAACGGGTGATGGTGAAGAGGCACCGTGATCCTGGGACGGGGCATTGCGGGGCGGGGGCCCTTTGGGGTCCTTCCTTCTGGGCCTGGCCTTGTCAAAGCAAGGCACAGTTGCCCCGGTTGGGCTGAAATAAGCCGTGCCCTCCTCTTCATTAGGTGTGCCTACCAGACAGCCCGCTTAGAGGTCACGTGGGTGGTAAAGCAAGGTGTAGCTGGTGGGCAGGCCTTGGAGGGGGCGCAAAGCCAGCCTGCTCACTGGCAGAAAGGGTGGGCGGACAGTTCGGGGAGGAGAAGGCTGCTGAAAGAATTAGGGCAGCCCTTCTCCTCAGAGAACCAGTTACAGCACCAGGGAGAGCAACGTGGCCCGAAGGCTCCCGTGTGTAACCGGAGCATCCCCCACCTCTTGTCTTGAAGCAAACATCCGATGTTCCACCTCAGGGATCACAGGTAAGAGCCTGAGGGTGACTGGGGGGGCAGGCTACTTCCCCCTGCCTTGTAAGCACCAGAGGCTAGAACAAAGCTTCCACCTGTCATGCCTTGGACAGCGCTCACGGAGTCCTCTGCAGCCCGAGACAAGGGTGCTGAGGCATGCTCCCCGTTAGCCAGCGATAGACTGCAGGGGTGGAGCATTGTGGTGCTTAGTGCCTTTTTTTTCTCTTTTCTCTTTTTGTCTTCTAGGACATTAAAAAAAACCTGGCCAGGTACGTACGATTCTCCTCCTTTCCTTTTTGCACGGGGTTTTCCATCCTAAAGCACCATCCTTGGGCTTGTAGACAAAGGAAGGTCATGCTCGGTGTTCTTACATTCTCTGCTAAAATTGGGGCAATCAAGGTGCTTTCAGAGGGGGGGGGTCACATTAGTGGAAGTAGCTCTGATCTTGTAGGGCAATGTTTCTCAACCTGGCTGTGGAATTCTGGGAGTTGAAGTCCACATGCCTTAAAATTGTCAAGGTTGAGAAACACTGTTGTAGGGAATGTGGGTGCAAGTGCTTAGCTTCCATAAGAAGAGAAAAACGGTAACTGACAAAGCAAGAAGAATTATTTTTAGAATACTGGATTTGCCACACTAAATGCTAATGAACGGAGCACAATGTATTATTAATTCTCCAGGGTACATATCGTCAAAACTGATGTTGGAGTTTTGCAGAAAAAGTCCAGTAGTTTCTATTGCTGGTGTCATTTGCCAGCACTCAAAAATTTGCCATCTGAAGCAATTGTGTCAGTTTGCACACTTGAAATAGGAGTTAGCATTTCTGGAGCAAGAAAGGCAAATATATAAAAAGTGAGATGCTAGAATCTAGTATGCACTAATGCTTCGTTCCTTGGATTAGGATACTAGGCTAGCATGTTCTTCTCAGTGTAGCCCTTAAGAAATGCACACACAAAAAATGCAGAAAGTGACAAATTCGAACTTTGTCATAAGTGGTATAAATGCGCTCTTTAAACAAATTCAGATGCACCGCAGAACAGTTCCCATCAGCTGAGGAGGCGACATCCAAGCTGGGAGACCGACTGGAGCTGTTGTCACGAAAAGGGGTGGTTCTGAAGAAAACGATGAATAGATTTCAAGGTATGCAAAAGTGATTAAATAATCAATAATCTCTAATTGCTAACCCAGGATACTGTGAGTCTAGTTCATTTTTAAAGACTACTCATCCTAAGACATTTTGTGTGCTATTTACTTATAAATAGGCTGGTCTTTAAATTTTGACATAATGTGTTGAGTGGCAGCTTAGAGAGGAGAAAACTCTGTTTTACTTCTAAAATTATGTGATAAGCAATGAGGGCAAGGAAAAGTAGAATAATATATAAGTAAGATAATATATACCAGTGATGGCGAACCTTTTAGAGACCGAGTGCCCAAACTGCAACCCAAAACCCATTTATTTATCGCCGGGTGCCAGGTGGGTGTGGCCCACTGAGTGGGTGTGGCTGTGGTGGTCATGGCAGACTGGGTGGGTGTGGCCTCAATGTTGCTTGTGGGGAGAGAGAAATGTGGGGGCCAGGCAGGATTGGGGGAGATCCACGGGGACTCTGGCAGGTGGGGCGGTGGGCAGGAGGCTCGTCCTGTGGGGTGGGGTGAGGCGAGGCAAGGCAGGGCAGGGGTGCCATTGTCTCAGGGCAAGGCAAGGCAGGGGCCGGGGCGGCTGCTGCCTGACCATTGGCCCCCACACATAGAGGCCAGAGAGCGTATGGGTGCTGGGATGCATCCAGCCACGTGGGACCTTGGGGAGTTAGCAGGTGTCTGGTTGAAGAGGGACGGTTGCCATCTCTGGGGCATGGCGCGTGTTCCCACTGAGGGCTCTGAATGCCACCTCTGGCACGCGTGCCATAGGTTCGCCACCACTGATATATACACACAATATATTAAAATGACATGACCAATGGAAGCGTTAAGTTGAAGGGTTAAGTCAGAATATGATGCAGGCAAAAGCTGCTGTAGGAAAAGAATAACATCAGAATGGTTCTCTAAGCTGAATGTGCTGAGAAAATAAATATGGAGGGAAAATAAAATTCAGCTATTAGAAGCCATTCAATGGACAGCTAAAGTGAGGGAATCAAGTTATCAGATCTACTCTGCTAAAAGCAAGCTGTGTCAAGTATACTTTCTTTGGAAGATAAAATAATGCCTTACTAGCAGATTGACCCTACATTGATGGAGGTAAACCAATTATTTATTTCGTGTACGGCATACAGTGTCAGGGAAGTCTACACATGCTAGGTCAGTGTTTCTCAACCTTGACAATTTTAAGGCATGTGGACTTCAACTCCCAGAATTCCACAGCCAGCAATGCTGGCTGTGGAATTCTGGGAGTTGAAGTCCACATGCCTTAAAATTGTCAAGGTTGAGAAACACTGTGCTAGGTACACAATGCAGTCCCGACAGCCTAGATTGCTAATTCATTCTGTTTGGTGCTTGCACCTCTATTCTGGGTGCATTATGGGTGGGGGAGAGAGAAACTAGCTTTATGCTAATTAACTAGTTGCTCTCGGGTTGCTGGCTCTTACGGGCTCTGCCAGGAAGCCTGGTCCCGTGTCAGTGTCAGCTCTTCCATCATACCTCCTCAGCCTTGCTTCGCTTTGGTGGCATCCTGCCATAAAAAGGGAGAAGGGGTATATAGGGAAGGGGGAATGACAGGATCCAGAATGCCAACGTGTGACAGCAGGTGAAAGATCCAAGGACACGGGCATGAGAATGGAATGCAAACGCCCGTCCAAAAGGTGCCAAACTTTAGAACTGTTACCAAAATACTTAGTTTGAATGTCATCAGACATTTAACAAAATGAACCAAGGGGGCCTGGGAGAAGGGAAAATCACTGGGTTTATGCAGTAATATTCAGATCTGGCTTTACTTACACTGTAACCCAGTGGTTCTCAACCTTTTTAATGCCGCGACCCCCAACCGGTTGTAAGTCGAGGACTACTCAACTGGTGCAGCACCGTTTGCAGAATGGGACTTTTGGCGGGCTCAGCAGGGCAGAGACAGCCTGGACAATTCCTATTGGCTTTTGAAAGCCAATAGAATTAGACTCTATTCGAGAGAGTCTATTCTATTGGCTTTCAAAAGCCAATAGAATAAAAGAGAGTAGCACAGCTAAGGAAAAGGGGGGAAAAAATGGCGGACTGTGTTGTTTGGGGACCCCCGTGAAATGGTCGTTTGACCCCAAATGGGGTCCCGACCCACAGGTTGAGAACCACTGCTGTAACCACTTGGCTTTAGTAAAAGTATACCTTTTCCTACGAATGGAGTCAAGGCTGTTTCTTTCTAAATGCCCAAACTGGGACAGGGCTGACAGCTGGCTTCCACTTTCGGGATACATGAACGCAGTTAGGTTTTTCCCAGTGAGGTGGCTTAGGTTTGTTTTTGTTGAAGTCCTATTTATCTATTGCATGCTTTCAAACTGCTAGGTGGGCAGGGGGCTAGGGATTGAGTGAGGGGAGCTCCGTCTGTCTCACAGAGCCGGGCTTGAACCGCCAGAATGCAAACCATTTCTGTCTGGCAGTTCCAGCATCATTAAGCCACTGCACCACCATATGCCTCTGGTTTTACTGGTTAATCAGTAAACTCAGTTTTCTCCACATTTGAGGAGCTAACTTTTGACAAATGCCTGCTTTCTTTAGATAATGTGACATATGCCATCGAGAGAACAGAAACTTTGAGATCACTGAATGATAAAGGTGAGTTTTTGGGAAACATCTGTTGGGTTTGTTTCTGTGTTTTTACCTTATTTCCAACGAAAGCTGCTTCAGCTACTGAGGATATATTGCTCATGCAGAGCGGGAACATGGCTTGCTTTTCTTCCAGCACTGTGTATAACTTAAATCAATGCGAAAGTCTTAGCAAGTTATTCGTTTTGCATTCACAATGATTTTGGTAGAGTATTTTGCCAAAGGGCTAATGATTGCAAGTTTAATAAGGAAAGAAAATCAAAACTGTAACTCCAAGGATTAGAAACATTCCGAAGCTGGAGATTATAAAAAAAACTCTGAATTCTTTTAAAGTGTTGTGTAGAACTTCCTTTTAATTTTTAGTCACCAGCAGATTGGCACCTTGATTCCCCCCCCCCTTTCTCTTAACTGTGTGAATGAGACAATTAAAAAAAAAATCTGCAAGATTGCATATCTGAGACATACGGCAGATTTGTGATTGAAAAGTACTCTTTGGAGATTTTATTTCCCTAATCTGTGAGGTAGCTGTTCTTTAATTGTAATACTTAAGAGTCTCAGTTGAGTGATCAGTATGGCTCTTGGACATAACAAGCCCTCTGAGTTGGACTTGAAAGTCCTTGTCCTTTGCTTTAACCTATTGATCCATCTAATTCCATCTGATGGCTCTCTTAAGATCTTGGCAGAGAGCGCTCACAACCCTGGAACCACCTTAACTCGAGGATTCTGTGGCTCAGTAGATAATAGTTTTACTTGTTTTTATTTATTCATTCATATTTTTGAACCGCCTGGGGGATTTATGCAGGTAACCTGCTGATTACATGCTGGTGTGATTTCTGGGCATCCCAGTCCAAGGTAGAGTTGCAGTGTATGTGAATTTTGGGGAAGCTGCCAGGAACAGCTACAAATGATACAGAGAGAGACGTAGTGATGCTGAGCCAGAAGCAAGCCTCAGTACTGGAAGGAGATCGAGGTGCTGACAAATGTTGTTTCTTTCTGCTCACAGGAATTCCAACTCTTGATCCGGATTTCTCAAGTGCTCTTCTGCCCCTGGACCAAAGAAATGCAGGAGACGGAGAATCTCAGCACAGGCTGCCTGCCTTACATTATGTCCCTGACACTCCCCAAAGATTGGATTCCAGGGCTCTGGTTCTGGGCTGTGATGGGTTCACCTCTGGGAGATACTTTTGGGAATTGGAAGTGGGCGATGGGGAATTCTGGGCAGTGGGAGTCACCCGAGATCCTTCCAAGAAGAAGGGGATGATGGACTTCAGCCCAGAGGAGGGGATCTGGGCTGTGGGGCTGTGGAAGGGCCAACATTGGGCCCTCACTTCCCCTGTTACGGCCTTGTCCCTGAGCAAACACCCCCAAAGAATCCGAGTGTCCTTGGACTACGTGGGGGAATGTGTGACCTTTACCGATGCAGACACGGAGGACCCCATCTTCACGTTCCCACCAGCTTCTTTTAATGGGACACGTGCCCATCCTTTGCTGTGGGTAGTAGGTTTTCCAGCCCAGACTGTGTTTCTGAGGCGTATGGGTGTAAAATACCCAGTTGAGGTACACGAAATGGATATAATAAGTCCATAATTTTTAGTTATCCGTATAACCCAGAGAAAAATTACAGATCACTAAACCTGCCAGATCAAAGCAGGGTGTTGAACCATTTTGATTTAATGAAATTGGAAAGATTGTTTGTTTTCTCTCTGCCTTGTGTACTGCAGAATGTGATACGGAAGCAGAACGGCTCTCCTTGCACACCAAGGCCTTAAGACTGTTGCCCTGGGGAACAATGGAAGAATTAAAAAAAAAAGTAGGCTGGCTTGGCCTTCCTGGCATAATATCCCTTTTATAGGACATCCTCTTTTACCAAGGGATCAAGATGACCCCTTTCTAGCGCTAGGCTCGAACTTTTTCGTTTTGAAAAATAAAAAAAATAGCTATTAAATTTTGCATTTTTAGCTCCTCTTCAATCAGTTCGCATTTTAATGATTTTTCTTTAAAAATGAGTGCATGTGTTTTGGCTGCAGTACCTGGCAACATGTTTTCCTTTGAAAGGAAAGGCTTTAACTCTGTCCTTGGTGATGAAAAATATTTTTGAGTACCATACGTAAATTTGGCCATCCTAAATTGAAGCACTGAAGTCTTGGCATCTATGATGGCAGTTTTGACTGGACCGTCCTTCCTCTACCAGGGGTAGTCAAACTTGGCTCTTTTATGACTCGTGGACTTCAACTCCCAGAATTCCTGAGCCAGTCCACGAGTCATAAAAGAGCCAAGGTTGACTACCCCTGCCCTACACTGTAGGTTCTTGTCTTCTCTGTTGCTGCCGTTCTCTGAAACTTGATAATAATCTTCCCTGTCTTCAGTCTGATCCTGGAGATGCAATGGACAGAAGTTTGTGTCCTAATGATAATCTGGATGCTCTGATTTTAAAGATGAAATGCAATGTCTGAAAGATACGTAAAAAGAACCCTGGGGTTATGGTTGATGCCTACGGAATATACAAATCATAATAAAGACTGTTAGTATGTTCTTTGGTATATTTCATATTCTGTTTTTGTAGCGTCTCTTCTGTATCCATATTTTTTTTTTTTGTAAAATTTTGCCATGTCTGCTCATTGAGCACAGCATGTTTCTGTAAGAAGGAGCAAGTACCCAAAATAAAGCTGTGGGTTTTTAAAATCATAATTTTGAGAAAATAAAGGCCCAATTTTAATAACACTATCTTTCAATCCTATGCTTAGCTTAGTTCCGCCCAACACCAGGCAAGAGTGTTATCCAATGATTTTGGTTGACTGCAATGGCTTCTGCTTCAGTAAAATGGAACTTTGGAAGTTGAAAAGACCCTGGTGTGTATCAATTATATTGCCTCACTTTTGAGAATGAATTACAACTCCCAGCTGACCTACTTGATCTCAGAAAAAGCAAAGCATGATTTGGATGGAAGATCACTAGGAAGTGATCTGGCTAAACTTAAGTGAAAAAATTGAAGCAAGCTATCTCAATAGGTTTGCCAAGGAAATTAGAGTATTTATTATACTGTAGATTAAAAGCTGAGTTGAATTTGAGACAAGATAGTCTCCCTTTTAATTGTGAAGAAAATAGGGGAATTTAAACAAGGTATGAAACTTGGCTGTAGTCTGTCAATTGAAGCAGCCTTCTCCAGCCTTGCACATCTGGATGTGTTAGAATGGATGCCATTCTTCCATGGTAGTGGAGGATGGGAATTGAAGTCCAGGTTACCTGTAAAACATTAGCTGGCAAACTGCATTAAACCATGGGCCTTTTGGCTGGTATTTATGAGGTACGGCTTTTCTCGCTTCAGGTGTTTTATTTGTTTTATTTCTTGCTCGTGCAGTCATGGAATTGAAATACGCTGATGTCATCTCATACATATTATGGGATGGACCAGGGGTCAGATTTTTGCTTGGGAGTGGAAGAAAAATGTCAACAAATAACTTGCTTTCTGCTTGCTGAGCTCAATCTGGCTAGTGCTGTTTCTACCAGGGGAGCCAAAGTAAAAAATACTGATGGCAATATTAATGGATGTTTCAGAGATACTGCCATTTAACTAGTTATCATCCCTTCCAATTCTGTTATTCTGTTAGCTATAGTCACAACATATTTCATTAGGGGGGATCAAAAAAACATACCAACACAATAAACCAGCATAAATCCATCCATGCTGTGATGAAGACATTTTGAATATTTATGAGGTTAGAAACACCATTACTGGAATCTTTGATCTTAAAAATCTAATCAGTTTACTATCGGATGCACTGCTGAATTTCTCATTTCCAAGAAATTTTCTTGATTATGTACCATCCAGTTGTTATTGACACCTAACTTAGACTTTCTCTGTGAATTTTATTTACATAGACCTTTTCTCTCTTTCTCTCCAACTAAGCTAGAACGGTAGATAGACATCAGATGGAGATGAGATAATTATTATTGGTTTGCAGGGTGAACACAAACTCTGAAGCTTATTAAACTCACATACAGTAGTAGTATTGTAAGTCCAAGATCCTGGAGTTCCAGTGCCCCCTGCTGGCTGTGTTGAGAATATTGGCCTATAGATTCATTAAAAAAAAACTGGGAGATAAGTTAATTTATCAAATGCACTCTGCAAATAAAAAATGATTATCTTAAAGGGAAATGTGCATAACAAGATATGAAAACAAAATGTCACAAAATTGAAAAATTATATAAGAAAGATGTTGAGATACTAGAAAGTGCAGAGAAGAGTGACATGATTAGGGAACTGGAGGCTAAAACATGAATGGTTGCAGGAATTGGGTATGTTTAGTTTAATGAAGAGAAGGACGAGGGCTGACTTGATAGCAGTGTTCCAATATCTCAGGGGCTGCCACAAAGAAGAGGGAGTCAAGCTATTCTCCAAAGCGCCTGAAAGCAGGACAAGAAGCAACGAAAACTTATCAAGGAAAGATCCAACCTAGAACTTAGGAGAAATTTCCTGTCAGTAAGGACAATCAGTGGAATTACTGGTCTTCAGAAGTTGGGGTGCCCCATCGCTGGAGGCTTTCAAGAAGAGGTTGGACAGCCATTTGTCCGAAATGGTATAAGGTTTCCTGCTTGAGCAGGGGGTTGGACTAGATGACCTCCAAGATCCCTTCCATCTCTATATTCTAAATATCAATAATGATCAGTAACATATGTTGTGCATTTGAGGCAGCCTTGGCTCCTGGCAACTGCCTGAATAAGACCCTGCAATTTTCTTGGCATGTTTTCAGAAGTGGTTTGCCCTTATCTTCTTCCTGGGGCTGAGGGAGGGTGACCAGCCCAAGGCTAGGCAGCTGGCTGTGTGCATACATCTCCCAGTTTCTCCCTGATGCCTTACCTACTATACCAAACTATTTGGGGAAATAGTAATGGGGAAAAAATGGCAGCAGGGAAAGGGCACCACTCAGCAAGAGAAAGAGAATGTAGATTCAAAAGAAATGTTGTCCCAGGAGACAGTGTTTTCATTTATGCCTGGCATATAAAACCAATCAAGCACACAAGTTGGAAAATCTCTTTAATTGCTTTAATCTGTACAGAACAAAGGGCACTTGGTTCTAATCTAAAGTTTCCACAGGAAGCACAGGGATTTGATCACAGTGAGTTTTAAATGTTCACAATCAGAAAAATTGTGACATTAGTGAACACAATTTCATTGGCAAACACAATTAAAGCATATATAAAAGATGGACATGAACAGAGGGCGCTGTTGTTACAAAGGAAATCTGAGCCGCCTGCTGGCTGGGGAATTCTGGGAATTGAAAATCCCATAGCTTAAAACTGCTGAGGTTGAGAAACACTGGTCTAAACAGTCTAGTCAATGTATCACAATTTAATTATTTTTCTACTAATTGTCATACTTCCAGCTTAAACAATTGTTAGACCAGGGGTGTAAAACTCAATTTTCATTGAGGGCCACATCTGCATTGTGGTTGTGGAGGGGGGGGGGCTGGGTAGGTGTGGCCAGGGTGGGTGCGGCCTACTGGGTGGGCGTGGCTGGAGTGAGTGTGGCCTACTGGGTGAGCGTGGCCAGCTCTACATCGTTTGCATTAAGGGTGCCTGTGGGGGCCTGGGCAGGAGTGGGATAGATCTGAGGGTCTCTGGCAGAAGGGGGTGGGACGGGGGCAAGTGCCAAGGCATGGTCTATTGAGGAGCCTCACTGTTCCTCTCAGGCCATGCGTGAGGGGCTGGATGGTGGTGCAGGCTGCCCAGAGCCCTGGGCAGCAGAGGTCAAACGCCCAGCCTAGCCCTCGAGCACCCATGGCACCAAGCCCAATCTCACTTCCCCAAGGGGGTGTCCAGCTGCACTTACCTCCTCCTCAAGGCTGTTGCTGCTGTGCTTGCTCTCCTTAGTCAGGTTATTCATGATAGGTATGAGGGCAAAGTCAGAGGGAGGCCCATTCCTTTTCCATGGAAGGAGACCCAGCTTTGTATCCAAAGCTTCCTTAGCAATAGGATGGGAGACCCCCAGGATAGGCCAGGAGGAGGGGGCAAGGGGATGGTGAAAGGGCAGCAGGGCAGGACTAAGGCAGGACTTCCCTGAGATCCTTCCTCTCCTTCTTTCCTTCTTTCTTTCCTTCCTTCCTTCCTAAGAACAGAGTGGTGGGAAAATATTTGAGGTGAGGGAGGGAGGGAGAAAAACAGGCAAGAAATGCAGCTGGGGAGGTGTCACCCTTTGTGAGGAATGAAGAAATGCACCATTGCCTGGAAGTGGCCAGCAAATGGTGCATTTCTTCATTCCTCACAAAGGGTGACACCTCCCCAGCGTGCACCCAGGGGACGGGGCCGACGCGGCAGGGGCTGGCTCCTCGCTGTTTCCAGACAGCCTTGTGGAGCTAAGACTGACTGCGTTTCAGCGTAGATGGCCACCACAAAATTGTACATTGGCTCCTGGCCGGCCTGGGCCAGGGCCAAGGCAGCGGGGGCCATTCCCTCACTGTTTCCACGATGGCTTCGCGGGCCACATGAAACCGCTTTGCGGGCCGCATCCGGCCCCCGGGCCTTGTGTTTGACATGTCTGTGTTAGACCCAGTTCTTGAATTTAAAGAATTAGAAACTGGTGCATCTGAGGATGTGCAGAATGTTTTTCGACACTTCAAAACATTGTCATAGCAATGCATAAGCTTCCCTATTAATAGGGGGCAGTAAACATTGTTGCATGAACAAGGACATCCAGGAGTTTTTCCTCCTGCTTTGCCTATACTTGTATTGCAATTATCTTAAAATGTCATAAATTTAAAATCAGTGCAAAATCAGGTTGTTTGGTGACTGTGGTGATTTTTTCTGGATCTTCCCCAATTGCTGGTTATTAAAAATGAAGTTTATTCAAGTGGGTTAGCAGGATCAGTTTCTAGGTCAAAAGGAACGACTTTGTTAGCCAACTGAAGCTTCTCAGCACTAATGTTAAAAATTAACCTCTGCTGTCATCCTGGACTGAAAAACAATATGAGTCATGTGGAATCTGGAAACGAAACCTAATGAAAACCCCTGCTCTGGTTTTCCTTCTGTTCTAAACTCTGAAGAACCCTTAGCATTTCTCATCTTGTCCAGGAGCTGACTCATTGCCAAGTAAGAAACCAGAAGCTTCAGAGATGACCTTGCAACACCAGCTGGCTTCTGGCACAGAAACCCCTGCCCTGGGTTTTGTGCCCAGCATTCGTGCTCTGTATGCTGCAGTGAAAGCAGAAAGAGAAGGAGAAGGGAATATTGGTGGAGCCATGGCTGCCGTCCTCCTCCCAGGAAACCTTCAAGATGAAGCCACTTGCTCGGTTTGCCTGGAATATTTCAAAGACCCTGTGTCCATCCAATGTGGGCACAATTTCTGCCGGGCTTGTATCACCAAGAGCTGGAAGAGCCTGGAGGTGGACTTCCCTTGCCCCCAGTGCAGGGAAGTATTCAAGGAGAAAAGCCTCAGGCCCAACCGACAACTGGCCAACATGTCTGAGATCATCAGCCAGTTCATCCTGCATGGTGGGAGAGGCCTTGAGGAGGACAGGATCTGTGAGAAGCATAAGGAAGCCCTGAAGCTTTACTGCAAAGATGATCAGAAGACCATTTGTGTGGTGTGTGACCGGTCTCGGGACCACCGACCTCATGCAGTGGTGCCTGTAGAAGAGGCAGCCCAGGAATACAAGGTATGCACCTATCCGTGTGTTGCACTGATATTCTTCTCAGTTTTACAAATGTCTCAAGTCTACCTGTCTCGAAAGCCTTTCCACATTGTACCTGTTCTTTGCTGAAAACTACCAAGAGGCTGGGCATGAGCTTCCATGGAGTAGGTCCTCATTCAGTTCCAGGGATCTCCAAGCCCATCGCTATAACCTTGAGGAGTTATTGAATGCCTGAGTCAACAATAACATGCTGAGAGTTGACTCAACAGCTACCGTAGGTTCAGACATCACGCTTAACCCTAAACCTGCTATATTCCCAGTACATGCTCTGGTTTAATGGGATGGATGTCTTGTTTCATCCAACATGCAGCCAAGCCAATGGCTAGCTTCTTACATCTGCTGAACCAGAAAATCCTATTTTAGTCTATGTTATGCAAACATCAACAGTCTTTCTATGTTCCTTAACTTTCCCAGAAAAAAAAATCCAGTAGAAGGGAAGCAATCTTGAGAAAAAATAATGGTATGCACAAAACTTCCAAATATTACCTATAAAAAAAATCATTGCTAACCTTTCTGTATTTCCTTTTGATTTCTTCCATTAATATCTCTTCTAAAAGCTTAAGGGAGGATACATGGGGATTTGACCCAAAAGCAGCAACCCAGAATGGTGGCCTGAAATATAATAATGGCTGGAAAAGTCACTGTGGTTGCAGTTGGGATTTAGATCATTATCTTGGCGGTTCCTTTCCAAAAGTTCAATCACTGTACTCCTGTGATGGGAAAACCAAGAAGATTTCAAATGGAGAATAGATTCACTTGGATCCCGTATAAAACTCTATACATGAGGCCTCCTTGGGTGGGCAGGGGTTATACAGTATGATTCCCACCTGGAATTAAGTTCCATAGCTGTCCCTAGGTTTCGTTCCAAATTAAGCCAGGTTCAATCATGTCTATTGAAAAGTAATGGAATTGTTTTAGTCTTCAGCACTGGGCAAAACGAATGGCCCCTGGATCATTCTCTTCCAAGGATTGAACCTCACAGGAGGTCTTTGGCTCGTTCCTGCCCATATATTTCCCTTTATAGCAGTGTTTCTCAACCTTGACAATTTTAAGGCATGTGGACTTCAACTCCCAGAATTCCACAGCCAGCAATGCTGGCTGTGGAATTCTGGGAGTTGAAGTCCACATGCCTTAAAATTGTCAAGGTTGAGAAACACTGCTTTATAGGGTTAAAAGTTGCAGGGGGTGGTGGAGGGAAGAGGTCAGCAAAGCCCACCAAAACCCCTGAGGGTCAGAAGAGCTGAGGCTGCTCAGTCTGCCACCTGGGTCAAGCAGAGGTTCTGCAGGCTGACTGGACAGGGAAACCTCGCAGGACACCAGGTCCTGGATGTTGTGAGTTGGGCTTTTCAGGGGGAGGAGCAGATTTAGCTCCCTGGATATCCCCATACCGAATGGGCAGGACTTTTCCTCAACCCTTTTTAGACAGAGGACAAAGAGAGGAGCTGATTGCGCCTTAAAGCACAAAGATTAGGTATGTTTTCCATTCAAAATTTTTATTTACAGTTGAAGACCAAACCCAGTTTTCCATTTTTCATTTTCCACAGTTTTCCATTTCCATTTTTTCTGTTCTCCAATGGTAAACAAAATAGTAACAAAAATAACACTTTGTGAACATTTGCTCCCAGAGAGATAACCTTTTTACTCCCTTGCATGAAAATCAGGGTAGACGCTTGTACAGTCTTAAAGTTTCATACATATATATATTATTCCATATGGACTGAGGTTCATGAAATCTTGCACAGTAGTACATTTGTTCATCTCAAAAAATATCACAAGGTTCTTCCCTACAGTAGCAATGACTACCTTGTATTGTCAATATACTCATTCCTTACTTCAGTGGTTCTCAACCTGTGGTCCATGGACTCCTGGCTGGGGCATGATGTCATCACAGGGATCTGCAAAAGCTTGAAGAAATCTTATAATTTAAAGATATTTTAAATAGATTAAGAATACTTTTTGGAATAACAGATTTATTTTGATGAAAATTATGTATTGGAATTGAAAAAAATGTTGATTTTTTAGATTGGGATGGTTTTAATAATTAATGGAGTGTTTTAACTTAGATGATTTTTTTTGTACAATAACATAGATGTGATAAGGTATGACAATCAATTGGATGAAATTTGAAGTTTCTGTAATGAATTGAAGTGAATTAACATTATTTTTTAATTAAGATAGCTATTGTGTAATGGAAGAAGAAATAAATGAGATTGGTGATAAAAGGAGGGATGAGAAAAATTAAGAACAAGAATATATCTGGAAGGGATACCTGAATTGATAACTTGCTGAGTTAAAATGAAATTTGATTTTGGTAATTGTAAACTGATAAAGTTTTAAAACAGGTTTAGTAGTAATAGAAATTTAATTTAGAAATGGAATATTTTAAACGTATTATGTTATTTGAGGGAAATAGAGAGGAGACAGTGAATGTATTGAGTTGTTTATTTATGTTTTTACTTTGGAATGTCTGATTACCCAAACACCACGGTATGTCCTGAGTACTTTTTCTTAAAAATTAAAAAACTAATAAAATATTTTTAAAAAAAGAAGAAGAAAAGAAATCTTATAATTTAAATGTTGGTGGTTCATGGCCATGTTCCATAGCCACAAATGGTATTTAAAGGGGTCCATGGTAGTGAAAAAGTTGAGAACTACTGCCTTACTCCATTTAGCAGGATTACTAAAATCACCTGAAAACATTCAAATTGGCTTTTAAGCGTTAAAGTCAAAAAAAAACATCCTGTTTTGACCCAATGGCTATAATCACAGTTTAGAAAGAAGGAAGGAAGGGAGGGAGGGAGGAAGGGAATAATTTATGCCACCAGGATAAATAAAGCTGTGCCATGGTTCTGCCTTTCTTGTCCCCCAATTCTTTAATAGTTATTGAAAGTAATACATTTTTAAATAATGTAGAGAAAGTAAGTTAGTAACAAAAGATGAAGCCTGCAATTTTAATATATAAATTTCTAAAGCTGCCTACAGATGAGTTCTAATCTCCATTTGGAGTAAATGATTTGGGAATAACAAAATAGGAATTGCCAGATGGGCTGATTGCAAACTGTAGTCATTGAGACAGTCCATGCCAGGCAAGAAATGGTTAAGTGAAGAACCAAATTCCTTATCTATTTCTGGAAGGAAACCTTCCCAAAGTTGGCACAAGATCTCAGACTGACACTGATTCTCTGGATAGCAGAAGCCAGGCATGTTCTTTATGACTCTGGTGCAGATATCCAGTTAAAAATAGAAACTGCAACTGATGAGATGATAAGAGCAGATGAGCTGATACACTCCTGAGAAGAAATGAGAAACTAATTTCATATGTAAGCTTGAGGGCCTTCGCATTATATTCTGCAATCTTTCTTTTTCTACAAATGTCCTATGAAGAAATGTATAGATCAGGGGTAGTCAACCTTGGCTCTTTTATGACTCGTGGACTTCAACTCCCAGAATTCCTGAGCCAGCTAAGCTAAGCTGGCTCAGGAATTCTGGGAATTGAAGTCCCGAGTCATAAAAGAGCCAAGGTTGACTACCCCTGGTATAGATAGTCCTGGACTTATGGCCACAATTGAGCCGAGACAGTAGTTAAATGAACTTTGCCCATTTTATGACTTTTCTTGCCACAGTTATTAAGTGAATGACTGCAGTTGTTAAGTTAGTAACATAGTTGTTAAGTGAATCTGGCTTCCCCATTGACTTTGCTTGTGAGAGGGGGGCAAAAGGTGATCACATGACCCTGGGATACTGCAACTGTCATAAGTACATGTCAGTTGCCAAGCATCTGAATGTTGATCACATGATCATGGGGATGCTGCAACGGTTGTAAGTGTGAAAAATAGCCATAAGCCACTTTCTTCAGTGATGTTGTAACTCTGAATGGTCATTAAACTGTTGTCAGTTGAGGACTATCTGCACTTTGTAGAGAGTCTGTTTAGCAAGATTCATTGAGAAGAAAGATGGTTTCCATAATTTGGGCAGCTCAACTATTCCTCATTTAGAATCTATCTATACGTGGAGAGTCCTTAATTTTGTTTCTAAGAGTCTTCCTGAGATCTGGCGAGGAGGAGAATCTTTTCACTCTAATAGAGACTCTTGCAGCTGGCTACCTACATCATCCTTTCAGGAATAATTATTCCTCTGGGAGCAAACTTGTGTACTTCCTCTCTCTTCTTCCATTTCAAAGCCCAGGGAATCCCTTCCCCATTCCTCTCTCTAGCTAGAAAGCACCAATTAAATCACCACAGTAAGAAAGATCAGTCAACTGGATCTCCTCCTATTTTTTTTTACTTTTACTTTAAGGCAGCCATCTTAGAAAATGAATTTCAAATGTCTACATTTGCCTCCAGGTACAGATATCCAACCTTAGTCTCTGTAGCATAGAGAAGATTAGTGATTTAAGGCAGGCTTATGCTTTAAATCAGCCTTCCCCATTTCAGTGCCTTCCAGATCACCAAGCTATAAAAACCTTAATTTCTGCTGAGAGGTGTTGGATTTGATGAGGGTTGTGATCAAACAGACTAGGTTTTGAAGCTTGTGTGATGCAGAAATTTCACTACAAATTTATTTAAGCATACTGGGCACACACAACCTATATTATTTTTGATGTCTGGGTCCAATCCCAGTTCAACTCTTTTTCATTATAAAGTGTCCTATAGCAAGTCAACTCTACTCAAATTTGTGTGCAACTGCCTTATGCCAAGTCAGAGTAGAGCCCATCTTAGATAAACCTATTCATTACACTTCCTACTGTGGCTCTTGTGAGTTTCCTGCACAAATATTTTCCTTGGAAATCACTAAGATTGCACCTGAGCTCTTCTATAGGTAAAATAATAGCTCTATCTATATATAAAACAGTGGTCCCCAGCATTTACAGCTTGGCAGCCTGGTGGCAGGAGAGGAAGAGGGGATCAGCCATACAAATGGTGGGCCATGCTGGCTCTCCGCTCATGCAAATTGAGCTGCACATGCATGCATGCTAGCCCACTGCTTACGCAAGTCAAATTACATGTATGCCTGTGTGCTGGCCAGCTACTCGTAGGGCCTAGTTCTGGACTGGCCACGGCCTGATAGTAGGCCTCAGCCCAGGATTTGGGGACCCCTGTATTACAACATCCAAGAAGATTTGGCCACTGAATTGTTTCACTACAAGTCATTTAGAATATGAATTCTATAGAAATTATGTTTATATTTCAATATAGCAAAGACCATGGCAATGTCTTCCTTCCTTCCTTCCTTCCTTCCTTTGACTCATAGCGGCTTACCACAATACACTGAAATAATAGTAAAATGTTATACAATAAATAAGAATATGCCATAATATGACATTTAATAGTTGATGTAATGGCATATAAACCATTACAGCTAGGGGCTTCCTAACATTCATTTTTCACAGACTCATATTTTTTCCTGTGGATGCATGGAATCTTCTCAGCAGGACAAATCTTGATTGCCTCAAAATTGTTAAAGCCTTTTTTTAAAAAAACCTAACTGTATACTTTGGACCTTAGGAACAAATACAGACTCGCTTGGATTTCTTGAAGAAAGAGAGACAAGAACTCTTGGAATTCAAAACGCAGGATGACAAGAAGAGCCAAGAATTGCTGGTAGGTACTTATTGTTACTCAGAAATTGGCAAGCTTGTGCAGCATTGTTCAATCAGATGCAGATATGTGACTCAATAAGATTTTTGAAGAAAATCTTCAAGAAGGATATTATATTTATTAATGTCTATGGAGATTCTCAGTCATCTTTGACTTTTTTTAAAAAGAAAACCACAGAAACCGAGAATCAAAAGGTCCTCTCTGAATTTAAAGGGCTAAAACCCTTTGAGTTTATTAATGTTACAACCACAAATCAGGCATGAGACTTCCATGCTCAGAAGCACTGGTCCCTATTTCCACATACTGAGGTGGAATAATAAAACATGCCACTGTATGTTATCTGCTCCTAGTAGTTGTTTGAAAAGCAAGATGTAAGTAGAATAATATATCAACATCCTGTAGGAGAGTTTCCCGTCAGGATCAGATTGGAGACTTCTTTGAGAAACATTTATTTATAGAATTCAATTTATATCTTGATTTTCTACCTATAGGGCATTCATATACTGTATTACAGGTAGTCCTTGATTTATGACTGATTTTATTATTAAGTAATAAAGAGGTTGATTATAAAAGAAATAAAATACTGAAGTCTAGAGCTGATGTCTGAATTTCTAAAGATAAGTTCTACAGCTCAGCACACAACTCATAATTTCGCAAAAGAATCCTTCACAGGGGCACAGCTACAGTATATCCTGATTATATAGCTCTGCAACCTGGGCATTGTGAGCCTAGCCAGAAGGCAAATCTCTTACATTCAGGTGAGGAAAAGAGGAAATTTGCAAGGGGCCAATTTTTATCACCCCATTGGTATCCCAAGGATGAAGTTACACCAGCCCAATTTTCTTCCCTTCCTTAATCAAGAAGTTTTTCCCTGTCATCTAATCTCACAGTCTAGCATCAGTGGGAAATACAGATAGTCCTCAACTTACAATAGTTCATTTATTGACCGTTCAAAGTTACAACAATAAAAAGTGATATATGACCGTTTTTCACACTTAATGACCATTGCAGCATACCCATGGTCATGTGATCAAAATTCAGACATTTGGAAACTGAGACATATTTATGATGCTTGCAGTGTCCTGGGGTCACATGATCATCTTTTACGAACTTCTGACAAGCAAAATCAATGGAGAAGCCAGATTTCACTTAACAACTATGTTACTAACTTAACAACTGCAGGGATCTACTTAACAACTGTGAAAAGAAAGGTTGTAAAATGGGGCAAAAGTCACTTAACAAATGTCTCACTTAGCAATAAAAATTTTCGGCTCAATTGTGGTCATAAGTCGAGGACTGATGTATTCTGGTTTTAGGCTAGTCTCACTGAAACTAATGTTCTTCAGCTGTATTGATAGAGCTGAGGTGGTGCAGTAGTCAGAATGCAGTATTGCAGGCTAATTCTACCGACTGCCAGCAGTTTGATCCTGACCAGCTCAAGGTAGATTCAGCCTTCATTCTTCCTAGGTCAGTAAAATGAGGACCCAGATCATTGGGGATAATATGCTGATTCTGTAAACTGCTTAGAGAGGGCTGTAAAGCACTGTGAAGAGGTATATAAGTGCTATTGTTATTAGTTCGCAAAGCATGGTGGGTGATTAAAGTGGGAAGTCTATTCCAGTGATAATTCCTGAAGGATAATTGTCTTCTTCTTCCTCATTTTCTCTCTATGACTTTTTTAAAAAGAAAACCATAGAAACTGAGAGACAGAAGGTCCTCTCTGAATTTGAAGGGCTACGCCAGTTTCTTCATGAACAAGAACAGGTTCTCCTTGGACAGCTGGACAAGATGGAGAAGGGCATCGTGAAAAGACAGAATGAAAACATCACAGAGCTGTCCAAGGAAATTTCCCTCCTCAACAAATTCATTGCTGATCTGGAGGACAAAATCCAAGAACCATTGCTTGATTTCCTCAAGGTAAAACTCAACAACAGATAAACGTAGGAATTTTGTGTCACATCAGATCTTTTTGTTTTAGCACATTTCACTAGGTGTTGAGCAAACTTAGCTATGGTTTACTCAATCATATTAACAATGAGGCAATTTAGTGACTAGCTAGACACTCTGTGGCTGAATCTAATAGGGCTTAGTTTCAATAACGAAAGAGATTACTAGTTGGATTTACTAATATGTTATCTGAAGTCTTTTCAACTGGATATGTTTGGGGCAAATTATATGCATGTTGCTTTCTACCTAAATACTTTAAATTTTACAGAAATTATATCAGCGGCATAGTAGAGCTGACCAGGTTAAAAATTACACAATTCTAGGAGAGTATAATAGAATCCTGCTGATCAAGGAAACGGCATTTATGTACTTGCATGCATCAGTAAACAGGGATCAAATAGTATATAAAAGAGAAACTGTCTGCTTACTTGGGTAATGTTTTAGGAAGAGGGAAAATTGCTTGTATTTTCTAATTTATTTAAATCAGTGTTTTTCAACCTTGGCAACTTTAAGATGAGTGGACTTCAACTCCCAGAATTTCCAGCCAGCATGTCCACCCATTTTAAAGTTGTCAAGATTGAAAAACACTGATCTAAATTTGTCCATGAACTAGGGGCAGTTTTCCCCCCAATGTTTTAACAGTTCTGGGAATTGATAGATTTATCTGCAGGCTGGAGACTTTAATTCAACAGCTTTCCTAAATATAGATCTGGGGTTGTTTGTATTTATATTGAATAAACACTTCTATCTTTGCCGCTTGAAATTTGGAAAAAAAAAAAGTAGTTCTCCCTGGCGTTAGGTTTTTGCCAGGAGCACTACTCTCATGTTACACCTGATGTTTCCATACTATAGAGTTTCTTATGACTATTTAAAGACTGCCACATTCTTTTCTGGAGATGGCTGCTCTGGAGAAATTAAGGTTAAGGTCCCCTTAAGTGCACATGGTATCTATTAATATCTTACTGTACTTAAGGATGGTGGTGGAAAGTGCAGAGGAAGGTATATTGAATATTCTGCAGCTTTTTCCCTGGAAAGATTCAATGTCCACCTGATTTCGTGACAACTCAGAGAAAGCTGAATTGGTTCTACTTTATCAGGGATGTTATAGGAAGCTTTTCATGATTAATTGACTAAGCCACATGTCCTCCTCAAAGCAAATACCAAAAAGCAACAAAACGAGTAGTAGGGAGAAATAAGGCAAATGTATCATTTATTCATTTTTCAAATTGCCTGCAGCGGTTTACAGTACTAAATAAAATCAACCTTTTAGTGAAAATGAATTAGGTCTAGAAGTCAGTAATAATAAAGGCAGGCTATCAGAATAGTAAAAATACATTGCTACATAATGTAAAAAGTACTTGAGGAAAGAAATGCCAGCTTATAAAAATACAATTTTTATAATAATTTTCAGACTACATTTAAAAGTAATGACTGCTAAAATCATAGAGGTAGGCCTTGTTTAACAACTGTTCACACTTAGGGCTGATGAAAAAGTAAATTTACGATCTTCACAGATCTGTAAAGCAAAGGAAAGCTGAAGTAAGTTCATAAGCACTGTTGCAGTTTCACTTAGTGACTGCTTTGATTAACGACTGAGTTGTGGGTTCCAATTGTAGTCACTAAATGAGGACTACTTATACTTCAGTGAGGATGGAATTCCACAGCTTGTGGGGCCAATACAAAGAAGGCTGAGATCTTAGTTAATTGCAGTCAAGTCTCCTTTCTTGGTGGCCCCATCAAAAGACTCGTAGTTGATGAGTGGAATTCCCAGTTAGCAGTACAATAGGTAAGGACATCTCTTTCCCTAATCCTCTGTTCTTTTCTCTCTCTCTCTCTTGTAGGATGTGACAATTACTATTGCCAGGTATGAAGCTGCATTTCCACCCTCTTTCCATTTGTGTATGAACAAATGAAAAAGTCAGTGACAGCTGTTCCAACTTTATTATTATTATTATTACATGCTGTGTCCCAGCCCCCTTGGATCAGGGTTAATAATCCTAGGCTGTTGATGTCTTATTTGTATGGAAATAAGATACTCTTCTGCTCTGCAAGTCTTAAGTTTCCTTCATCTATATATGCAGTGGAGCTAGCAGGAGCCAGATTGAAATATGGGGATGTGAAGAGTGACTTCTATGTATTCAGAGAGTTTGAGTTTGCTCCAGTTTAAAACTTTTGCTTTGACCAGGGTTGCCCAACTTGCCTTAGCTCCACAAGCAATAGCAATAGCACTTACTCAGACTTATATATTGCTTCACAGAGCTTTATTTTATTTTATTTTTATTTATTTATTTTATTAATAAAATTTATATGCCGCCCAATCCCTAGGGACTCAGGGCGGCGTACAAAATTAAAACAATATAACAATAAAACAATAAATAAGTACATTCATACAGCATGTCCAATCGTATCCCACCCCCCCGACCCCCCGGGGGACATCAACCTGCTGGAACAGGAGAGTTTTAATGGCTTTCTTAAAGGCCGGCAAGGTGGGAGTACTTCGAATCTTGGGGGGAAGTTGATTCCACCAGGTCGGAGCCACCACTGAAAAGGCCCTTCCCCGAGGGCCCGCCAGCTGACATTGTCTGGCTGAAGGAGGCCCAATCTGTGGGACCTCACCGGTCTCTGGGAACTATGCGGCAGTATGCGGCAGTATTACCGCTTTACCTCTTTAAGCGCTTTACAGAGTCAGCCTATTGCCCCCCAACAATCTGGCTCCTGATTTTACCGACCTCAGAAGGATGGAAGGCTGAGTCAACTCTGAGCCGGTCAGAATTGAACAGCTGGCAGTCAACAGAATTAGCCTGCAATACTGCATTCTAACCACTGCGCCACCACTGCTCATATAAAAATAAATATGCAAATCCGAGCATGTGGCTTCAAGAACGCCAATGAAAGTTGACATCAGGCTGTAATTTGGGAAAATTGTTTAAACATGTGACTGCAAATAAATTCACATGAAGTTGTTATACAAAGGTTTTTCCTGACCCACCCACTTTTTGGAATATGGCTGCACTGTTGTCTTACAATATGTGAGTCTTCCCAAGCAAGCATTCTCTGACTGTTTTAGAACTTCCAGAAGTGGCTTTACCGGAAAGAAATTCTGGAAATTGTCTTCATGTATCTGGAGAGCTCCAGGTTGGGTCATCCTGGAGAGAATCTGTCCATGTAATTCCTAGGAATCTACTCTCAAGTTGATGTTATTTAATCAGCCAATCAAACAAACACCAAGCTGAGGGAAGGGTAACTTAAAATTGAGATGATTTCAACCTTTCTTTCCCAGAAGTATGAAATAACCAGTAATGGGTCCTTGAAGAATCTATCTGAAGGTCTTTTTGTCTACTTTGAAATGCAAAATCTGAAATTTACTTAGAGCCAAAGAGCTTGGGTGCATTACAAACGTTTCTTCTGTTCTTTGGCCATTAAATTTTCACTCAGATCAAAAGCGCAGGTGAGAAATAACAGGCTGCTGAAGCCTCAAACTTGCCAATTGTCCTGAACGATGAGGGAAAGTTTGGGATAATACAGTTATCAGTCCTGATATCCTTCTTTTTCTTGTTTATTAGAAGTGACAGTGTTAAATGTCAGAAGCCTATTCCAGTTTCCTCTGACATGAAGGGCCACGTCTCAAATTTCTCTCTGAAGACGGTGGCACTCAACGGAGCACTTAAGAAGTTCAAAGGTAGAGAAAATGAACACTTGCCAAGAAAACCTAATTATTTTAGCATCTAAAGAAACTCGGGGCATGGAAGCTCTGATGCTGGCAAAGAATAACAAGAATTACTTGATCCTTCATTTAATAATAATAATAATAATAATAATAATGATGATGATGATGATGATGATGATGTTGGAAGGGACCTTGGAGGTCATCTAGTCCAACCCCCTGCTCAGGCAGGAAACCCTACACCATTTTGGACAAATGGCTGTCCAGTCTCTTCTTAAAAACTTCCAGTGTTGGAGCATTCACCGCTTCTGGAGGCAGGTTGTTCCTTGTTAATTTAAGGTGACCAACTTTTTTACAATGAAAAGGAGGACACAAATAAATTGAAGAAAAAAATATCGTAAATAAAAGAAACATTTTATTCATTGGAACAATAATACAGACAACCTGCATGTGCAAAGTTTGCCAGCCGGGTGTTTTGGCGAGCTCAGCAGCAATTCCTATTGGCTTTCAAAAGCCAATAGTGGGAGTAGCACAGCTCATGCTAAAGTTGAAAAAAAAAAATCAAAAAAAGGTGCCGGAACGCCGTTCTGAGCATTCTATGAGGAAAAAAAAGCCCTGCAGATTAGTCTTCAAATATTGAAAAGGAGGACATGAAGGAGGACACTTTTTGAGGGAGGACAGAACTTACAAAAGGAGAACTGTCCTCCCTAAAGGAGGACGGTGGTCACCTTATAATTGTTCTAACTGTCAGGAAGTTTCTCCTTTGTTCTAAGTTGCTTCTCTCTTTGGTTAGTTTCCCTCCATTGCTTCTTGTCCTGGCCTCAGATGCTTTGAGAATAGCTTGACTCCCTCTTCTTTATGGCGGCCCCTGAGATACTGGAACACTGCTATCATGTCCCCCCTCGTCCTTCTCTTCATTAGACTAGACATACCCAGTTCCAGCAACCATTCCTTGTATGTTTTAGCCTCCAGTCCCCTGATCATCTTAGTTGCTCTTCTCTGTACTCTGTTCGTATATTATATAGCTGTGCTTGGAAAAAAGGAAATTAACTAATTAGCTCAACTGCAGTTAAGTTTAACACTTAAGCTAGAGTGAAAATTACATGTATGATAAAATCATGTTATATTTATGTTAGAGATTTTGCATGATATAAAAGTGGATAAGGCTATCCTTTTATACATCTTAGTAGCAAAGTACTTTGAAATAAATTATATTAGTAGAGTAAATAGTAATAACATTCTATACTTCCAACTTAACATCCAACTGTATGCCTTTACTAATAGGTTTTACAACAGGGTAGGCCTCTTATCTAGTTTTACCACACACCATTCTCCTCAAGCATGTAGTAGTCTGCTTTTAAGAGTGATGTTCAAGAAGAAGCTTTGATAGTTAGATGGGATTGTAGTATGGCCCTGCAATGGGCCAGCAATTTTTATCCCTAATATTATGGTGGCCAGACTGAAAATGATATTCTGTTGCTAGGATGCTGGGGGATCTCATCAATCTGTGGAATTCATTCCCACAAAACATGGTAATGGCTAGTTTTAGAAGAGTTGGCTAATTTATAGAGGATGGGTCTACTGCAGTGGTTCTCAACCTGTGGGTCGGGACCTCATTTGGGGTCAAACGACCATTTCACGGGAGTCACCAAACAAGGCTATCCACCATTTTTCCCCCCTTTTCTTTGGCCACACCCCTGGCACCCAGTGATGTATAAGTGATTGGGGGTCACCACAACATGGGGAACTGTATTATGGGGTCACAGCATTAGAAAGGTTGAGAACCACTGGTCTACTGTATCAAGGGCCTTTAGTCTTGAAGAGTCAACGTGTCTCTGAGCTGAAGGCAGCTTATCTGCAAATACCCAGGAAGTACAGATAGTCCTTGACTTACAATCATATGTTTAGTGACTGTTTGAAGTTATAATGGCATTGAACTGGTGATTTATGACTATTTTTCACACTTACGACCATTACAACATTGTCGTGGTCATGTGATCAAAATTTGGACTCTTCCAACTGGCATGTATTTATGACAGTTGCGGTGTCCCGGGGTCATGTGATCCCCTTTGGTGAACTTCTGACGAGGAAAGTCAACGGGAAAGCCAGATTCATTTAACAACTGTGTTACTAACTTAAAACTGCAGTGATACAGTTAACAACTGTGCCAAGAACAGTCGCAAAATGGGGCAAAATTCACTTAACAACCGTCTTGCTTAGCAGTGGAAATTTTGGACTCAATTGTGGTGGTAAATCGAGGTCTACCTATATTACAGAGAAAGGGTCAGATCCCTGCCCAGAGGCATCTGATTAGCCATTGTCTGAACGGCTGAGTCTGAATCAGCGGAGCTGTTCCTATATTCTTAAGAGTAAGACATACAGAGCATATACGATTGAGGACTGCTGAGTTCAAGGTGTTTGGACAAAACTGCTTTCTGTTGCATTTTAGATCTGACTCCTTGACAGGTGTGTTGTCTTCTTTCAGATCATCTCCGGGATGAACTGGGGAAAGGTGAGAAAGGTAAATGTTATAAGCCAAACAAAATGGTCAGAGACAAAATCATGCATGCAATGCGTATTCGTAGACTTTCAACGCTTCCTGTTACCCCAGTAGGGCAATTTTTAAAGGTTATGTTAAATGTTACTTTTCTCTCTGACATGTTGCTTTTCCATTAATTTAGCAGAACTTATTCATAACAGTTCATGGTTTTCTATTCTGGACTCGATGGGAAAGTAAATAAGGTAGATAGAAAAAGTGATGTTTCAATAATGGAGTACTTGCTACAAGTAGTCCTTGACTTACAACTGATCACTTAATGACTGAAATAATGACAGACCTCCCAGGGGTACTTACATCTCTGTTCTGAAGTTCCAACAGCTGCCCTCCATCCCCACCTCCCTGTATTCACAAAACCACATTACACGTGGTTGCATTTACAGCCATTTGCAGAGCCCAGTGGTCATACAACTGTGTTTTATGACAACTTTGCAGAAAACCAGCATTTATCTCCAATTTTTGGCAAAACTAGCCCATGCCAAACAAGGGTTCCCTTTACAATTGTGGTATTTGCTTAATGACCACCACAAAAAAGGTCATAAAATTGGGTCGGTCACATGGATTATCACTTTATGACCTTTACAACTTACAGTTGTAATGGACAGGTTCCATTATGAGCCTAAGGTGAGGACTATCTGTAAAAGAATTCAATTTTTGGTGCTGGTATAATAAACAAGGCAAATCATGTCCAATTAATAGATGGGAGTGTTCAGATAGGTTCAGATAAGCAAAGAGATTTCAGTGAAAAATACACATATTGCTCAGTACTGTTACAATGGTCTGCCTTGTCTAAGCAGGGGTGGGGAACGATGGCCCCTTTATGATCTGTGAACTTCAACTCTCAGAATTCCTGAGCCAGGCACATGTTCACAGGTCGAAAAAGGGCTATAGTTCCCTATCCCTGGTAAGGAGAGAAATTCTTTTTTTACTTACTGACTTTATCTAGGCATAGCTTTTTATTTAAAAGAAAAAATGAAAACAAAACAAAATACTCAACAAAAGAAAGGGGAACCCTCTAATTTTCACACACAGACCTTTGCACCCGCTCTTGGCTGCTGCTTTTCCTTGCTATTACTCTGGTTGTGATCGTTGACCTAGTGCTATGTGCTTCAACTTAGAGGACTTGCTTCTGGATCCGGAGACGGCCAACCATCTCCTACTCATCTCGCCAGACCTCAAGACGGTGCGGATGGGCTGCCGCAAGCAAGACCTTTCTGACAACCCCAAACGCTTTGACACCAATTCTCGAGTCCTGGCAACGGAAGGGTTCAAGTCTGGGCGGCATTACTGGGAGGTGGAGGTGGGGTCTGCCGATGGCTGGGCCTTTGGCGTGGCCAAGGAGTCGGTGAGAAGGAAAGGGCTGACTCAGTTTTGCCCCGAAGAGGGCATTTGGGCCCTGCAGCAAAATGGGGGGCAATACTGGGCAGTCACCACCCCTCAACGCACCCCGCTTTTCCTGAACGAGAAGCTTCTTAAAGTTAGAGTCTACTTAGACTACGAAGGAGAAGAAGTGTCCTTTTACAACGCTGACACCATGCAACACCTCTTCACCTTTAACATCGCCTTCACAGAGAAGATGTTCCCGCTCTTCTCGGTGTGCTCCACTATAACCTATATTAAACTTTGCTGCTGAGATTGAAAGGATGCCTTGATAGAAGCAGGAAGAAGCCGTGGTGGTGGAAATGCTACTTGTTTTGAAATATGAGGCTGACCTCCAAGGGAGACACAAGGGTTTGTGGGAAAAATAGGTGAGAAAAAAAACCTGGCCTCTTTCAGATGGGAGAAGCTGGCAGTGGGGCTGAAAACTAAATCTTGGGAAAGCTGCAGAAGATGCCACCAATTTATCCAGGTGTGCAGCCCTGTTAATAGGCTTGATGTTTGAGCTTCTGCTTCTAACCCAATCCTATCACACAATTAGGTAGGATTGCATCTCGCCTGTCTTGAATATTGAGAAGAGGTGTAATTTCCCCCCCCCTTCCTTTGGAAATAGCTGTAGGGAATAAATATGACACAGAGAGGGTTGAGTGTGCCAAAATTGCATACAGGACTGTCTTTCCCCCCCCAGCTACTACGTCTTTCCTCCAAAAGAGTTTAAAAGGTGATGATTTGTAACAGGGAAGTGGTGGATAAAAGGCTTTCCCTTGCCCAGTACATTCTCTCCAGCAGGGTCTCTAATTTGACGTTAATATGAACACTGATACTAACAAAGGAGAATATTTGTAACTCGGGGTTGAACTGTGGGGTCCTTAGTGCTCTCTAAGCATGGATGTTTTCTTGCAGGCATTTCTTTATCCAACTAGGTAACATAATCAGTATTAGAAGGGTTTACTCTGTTTATATACAACCGTTGGTGGGAGTGTTCTTGGTAGTTCCTTGATTAGGCTGTTCTTTACTGTTCGATTGTTTGTCTCATTTGGTAGTTCCTTTCATTGGGGTATCATTTACTGCTTGTAAACGTCTTGTAAACAATCAAGAAAACAACCAAACTCTAGGAGCATCAAGAACACCACATAAACATGGTTCTTAAACCATGGTGTAGGAAAAACAGCTGGTCAAGAGACTTCAGAAGAGGGTAAAATATCTGCTCTCGGGGTATCTTTGTGGAGGAAAGAGAATAGCTTGGGGCATCAAGATATGAGATGCCCACATACTGTGCAGTTCCCAGGGGCAGTTGAAGAAAGATTTCATCCTACAGAGTCAGACAAAGTTAGAGCTAATGCATCTGTTTACTATTAAAAAATAAGTACTTTTGTTAAGTTTATTTTTTTCAGCTTTAGCTCTTGGGACTTTGGGATATCTCAGTGCAAATGATGTGTGACTGGCTCCTGAATGCAGGGAAGATTGTCTTTGGTGTGGCCTTGAGGATTTTCTGCACTTGCTATACCCTGCGGCACAGAATTGATTGCTCCTGGTAAAGAGGCTTTTGCAAATAAATCTGGAAGATGTGTTGGATCCCTGAAAACATCCCTCCCTCCCCAGCCCTTGTATATGTACACCCAGAGAACAGCAAGCCGTTCTTTTTGTCTAGCTCAGTGGTCTTCAAACTTGGCAACTTTAAGATTTATGGACTTCAATTCCCAGAATTCTGGGAGTTGAAGTCCTCAAGTCTTAAAGTTGCCAATTGTGGGGATTCAGTGGGCTTTGTTTGCCCATCCCAAATAGCTTGGAATATGCCATCCGTCGGATGGGATGCTGTGGACTTGCTTTACAAGAATCTATCATGAAATGGGACCTGGGATTGACTGAGCTTTGGCGTGGCTTGGAAGAAGCACATTTGGGAAATACAATATTGATAATCTAGGTGTGGATTTAACATGCTCTCCTGTAAACTCCTACAACCCTGAAATCATGCTGACTCGACATGCCCACATGTAAATAAACTGGTTCTTATCAAGATGCTTGGACCATATTGTGTTCTTTTCTTTTCTTTTTTCTTTGGAGTAAAATGGCCTTAGGAAACCTATCTTGATGTTCCCATGGCTAGCAAAGGGTGGGGGGAGGTAATTGCGGAGTGTTATTTTAAACAATTGGTACACAGGTTGGGCATAAACTCAGTCCTGTATCATTTCCAAATTATCACCATTGCCATCATGGACAATGATGAAAAGTTCCAACTTTTCTTGCTCTTGGACATTACTCAGAAGAGGCCTTGGTCTCAGGCAGCAGAGGCAGTGGTGGGATTCAAATATGTGAACAACCGATTCTCTGTGAGGATGCTTCTTCCGGAAGTCCGTTCTGGGCCTGGGCCACAAAAAATTACCTACCGGTTCTGCTGAACTGGTGTGAACTGGCTGAATCCCACCACTGGGTGTAGGGCTGAAAACAGCAATGGGGTGTGCTTGGGGTAGCAGAACTGGATTTGTACCCCAGGACCTGCCCCACACCCAGTTAAGGAGTGTGACGGGTATATAGATGTTCAGGAGTCAGATTTAATTGCTGGGCTCTTCAGCTTCTGGGTAAGGGAAAGATAAGCAGGTTCTCAGCTATATATGTTGGCTTGTCCGAGTCCTTCAAGAAGGAAGGAAGGAAGGAAGGAAGGAAGGAAGGAAGGAGGGAGGGAGGGAGGGAGGGAAGGAAGGAAGGAAGGAAGATTATTGATTGTGCATGTATTCTATCTTTAATGTATGATTATATATGCTATCAAGGCTACCATCATCTGCATATTATATCCCTCTACAAATTTTGAGACCTGTGATTTATCACCTTTGCCTTTTTCTGCCAGTATTTCTAATCCTGGCCTTAATCCATTACTGTGTACTGATCTGAAACTCCGTTAGCCATAGCTTTTTGCCATTAGTATATACTTTTAACCCAAGCTTGCATATTGTATCAAGTCCCCATAGCTCCTCTTCCTATCTGACTTTGCTATCAGTGAAGTCCTAACACCCCCCCCCCGCAGCTGGAAATGCCAGAGTAAGTTTCCGAATAGTGGATTGCATTTAAATGAACCCCACTTTTCCTTCTGAGGCTTAGTGTGTGTGTGTGTGTGTGTGTGTGTGTGTGTGTGTGTGCGCGCGCGCGCGTGCGTGTGTGTGTGTGTGTGCGCGCGCGCGTGCGTGCGTGCGTGCGTGTGTGTGTGTGTGTGTGTGTGTGTGTGTGTACACAGCACTCTCTCCTCTGGGGTTTCCCATAACAGTTCTGTGGGGTAGGCTGGACTAAGACACTCAGTTCGGAACAAAATCAGAGTCACTTCAAAGCCACATTGCTCAGGGGTATCAGAGGAATCCTTGCTCTTTCTTAGGAAGATTTGGGTCTTTTTTTTTTTTTTTTTAAAAATCAAATTAGGCCTATTTTATGATTTAATAGCAGTTGTGGTGGGTCTACAGTCTTTGGGACAGTCACCCAGAACAAGCCTAAAAAAAAGAGGCAAATCTGAAAGATAAAAAAATTACAATTGTTTATGACTTTGCTTTATCGAAGGAAAATTCAAGAGCAAACCCAAGGTAAATTTTACAAAAACGTATGTTCTAATAACAATATCTAAAATCGAGCAGTATATGTACATTCATTAAGACGACAATTTCCCTTCCATATTTTTTCCCATGAATTTGAAAGGGATATATTCGTACCATAAGTGACCAAAAGAAAGGTAAAAAAAAATTAGTTTTCGAAAAATAAAGTATAGTTTTCTGAAATCAAGGAAGTAGGGTCACCGTAATGAGCAGTAAACGTGTCAAATACTGTGTATAGGCATGAGCCCATAGGATTTTTTTTTTTTTCTTTTTTATTTGCTGGAGAACTGTGCGCCGTCAAGTCTCCTTGTAGACAGCAGGAGGCACTGTTTCCACGCAGTCTCTTTTCCTCTCCAAAGTATGTATATTAACGCAGCAGGGAGTGCTTCTGCGTTACTTATTGTGGAGCTGCTGCCTTTGCAGATGTGGAGGGACAAAATGTAGGGCTTATTCGAGAAGGATCCTTGGCTAAGGTCTGAAGATGGTTCCCGTTTAAGGGAGGAACGAATTGGCATTCCGCCATAAGGCACTAGCGAAGAGGAGCGTTAGCCTTATCTATAGGAAAGAGGAGCTCTTGTAGCATGTGGGCTCCATAGCTCAGGGGTTAGAGCACTGGTCTTGTAAACCAGGGGTCGCGAGTTCAAATCTCGCTGGGGCCTTCCTTTTTTTTTCCCCCCTTCTCCTTTTGCTTTTCCTACCTTGGAGAGGATTGACTTTTTTTTTTTTTTGTAATCTTGCAGTCAGTCAGCAACGACAGCATTTCAAAGCTTGTACAGGATTCCAGTTTTGCATAACAACCACATCACCTAGATAAATGGGCACTCCAGAATCTTTGTTGTTGTTTTTGTTGTTAAGCCCTGAAAAATGGGATCATTTAAATTCTGCCGCTCAATGCTAGAACAATTCAGGCGGGGAGGGGGAGATCGGTGGTGAAGGGTAGATTTGCAATGCACACCCTTCCTAGAAAAAGCTGGATTAGGAGGCATTTTAATAGATTCTGCAGCGGGGTTTCTTCAGCTTTAAATTATGTCAGTCATGGCGTTGTTTAAATCAGGCGAGAGCCGGGAAATCACGGTTGTGTAACTAAAGAAAGTTTCAAAGGAAACAAACAAGTAAAAAGCAAAACGAGACAGAAAAAAAAAACACTGAAAAATTGCTTGCGAGGAATAAGTAAGCTACTGGAAGACATTATTCCAACGGCGGCTCGTTGGTCTAGGGGTATGATTCTCGCTTTGGGTGCGAGAGGTCCCGGGTTCAAATCCCGGACGAGCCCTTTTCTTTTGTACGTTCCCCCTTCTTTTTAAAGAGACAATTTTTCCCCGAATTTCCGAAACAGGACTTTTCGGCCTGGGAGACCCTTAGCTTATAGTTTCTCCTTTTATGTATCGCAAAAAGACATTAAAGTGAGGGCGGAAACTTTGAGCCGTTCTTGGCTCCGAAGAGGGAAAGTTTGCAACAAAGGAAACCGATATGACGTTGAACTCTTTCTACAAAATCCAGTTAATTTTAGCAACCCCTTCCTGCTTAGACGCATGAGGAAGGCTTTGGGGAAAAAAACTCTTGGGTTTGAAATACACGCGTCTATATCCAGAATGCAATCTTGGGTGTTCTGTTGCAGGGCGAGAAAACGAGGCCAGTCGAAATCTTCGTCCGCTCAGGATAAAGACTTCCCGGTTACTTACTCTTAATGTAATAAAACAATAACACTATATAGTTCTTTGTCCACAAAAATAATAAATTAAGGACCATTCAGGAAAAGCAAAACCGAAAGGAGTTTCTGTAGTGTAGTGGTTATCACGTTCGCCTAACACGCGAAAGGTCCCCGGTTCGAAACCGGGCAGAAACAGCTATTTGATCTTTTTCTTTTTTTAATAGAAAATAAATGATTAATTGGCATAAACTACAATCCTTGCCTTGCAAATGCTTAGCTTGGCTGGATAAAATGGGATTGCCCACCCAAAATGCATGCCTGGTGTTCGGCAAGGCTCCAACCAACTTTCTGAGTTCCGAAAACTCCCAAATGTGCTTGTGTCACTTGCGAACTTTAAAACTATCAACGTATTACAGCTTTGCTTTGGTTTTACGTCGACGCGGGTTAGTCTGAAGGTTTTCATTAGATCTCCCAAAATTAGGACGAGTTGGAAGATGGAAGCTACGATGCATCTCTCTCGGATCCAGTGATTTCCCGCATCCGGAAGCCATATAAGGCACAGTAATAAAATACATTCATTAGTGAGTATCGTAACCCGGATAATATTCCATGAATGGCGAAAGTGAAAGGGTGGTGTAAAACTGAATGGCAGCGGTGGGATTCGAACCCACGCCTCCGAAGAGACTGGAGCCTTAATCCAGCGCCTTAGACCGCTCGGCCACGCTACCAGCTGCTAAAGATTTTGCTCTTATTTTCCAAATTCCATTTGTTTTGATAATGAAAACTGATTTTCGTGTTTCTAAAGAAGATCACAGTCTAGTTCAAAATCTGTGAAGAAGCGTATGTATTTTTTTTAAACAGTTCATAAAAAGTGCTAATAGAGTCTTAGGACTGCGACCATTTAAACAACAGGTATATTCCAGGAAGAGAAGGCAAGCGTTATGATCCACAAAAATAATCCAAACAAAGGATTTACACAGAAGCAGTGCTTTTTTTCTAAAAAAAAAAAAAAAGGTGCTGGAACTCACACACCTCATACAACCCGTCTTGCCTAACCTACAAGGTTCCATCCCAAAAAGGTGCTGGAACTCCGTTCTGGGCGTTCTATGAGAAAAAAAGCCCTGCACAGAAGGAATTAGTCACTATAATTTATTCCCAGTCCCAGGAAAAAATAATAATAATACTGTAACCCAGTGATGGCGAAACTTTTAGAGACCGAGTGCCCAAACTGCAACCCAAAACCCACTTATGCATCCTCAGGTGCTGGGTGGACGTGGCTCGTTGGGTGGGTGTGGTCCATTGGGTAGGCGTGGCCCATTGGGTGGGCGTGGCTGCAGTGGTAACAGTAGACTGGGTGGGACTAAAAAGTTCAATCAATCAATTCCAACTTTGCAAGATTTTTTTTTCCACGAGAAGTTGAAATTGACTGATTGATTAAACCTTTTTTTTTTTTGTACACGGTGGCAGAGGCCTAAAGCGAAAAGGTTTTATAAAACTCAGCTGAAGGCCTAGGATTGGGGCAACAGCGTGTGTGCCTACAGAGAGGGCTCTGAGTGCCGCCTCTGACACCCGTGCCATAGGTTCGCCACCACTGCTGTAACCTCTAGAATGGTCTGTGTTATGTACTGAGCTTAAACTGAGGAACAGGTGCAGGGAGCTGCACTGAAACCGTTAGCAGACCACTTGGCCTGCTAAGCCAGACTGGATGTCTACAAGTTAGTTAGTATGCATTTGAGCGGGAGAATACATTGCATTCGTTGGCTGAACCCGCCCCAAGCTGAATGTATAAATAG